GCCCCGCCCCCATCGCAAACAACATCACACGGAAAAAAATACACAGCCGATATCTTTTGTTTTGTTTTTTTTTTTTTTGGATCTGCTCATCCTCTGCCTGGCCCCATTTCCTCATCGCCTCGCCGCCTTCGATCCTTGGCTGCTGCTGCTGCTCTCGCCAAGCAAGTGTCCGTTTTGCGTTGCGGTTGGCTGGTTTTGCAGCCGTCGCTGTGCAATCCGCAATTTCGCTGCTTGTCTTTGCTTGTGTTTGTTGTGTTTGCTCCCAAAGTGAAATTCTAACATACGAGAAGAAAAAGAAACAAGAAAAAGAAGCAAAAGAAGAAGAAAAAAGACAAGACTGAGATCAAGTCGAAAATGTGAGTGAAGTGAGTGAAGTGAGTGAAGTGAGTGAAGTGAGTGAAGTGAGTGAATTTAGTGTGAGTAACGCGTTTCACAACACTCTCAAAGGCAAGAGGCGTCGGAATAGGGCAATGAAACCTGCCAGCGAGGGAGCTGAAATACCCGCCGCCTCTCAAAAGCAATGAAAAGACTCGTTTTTTTCGAAACCCGACTTGGCTCACAAACCCCAGCTTTCAGCGAGCTCCTCCTCAAATCAATGTACAAACGCACTTGCTTGGATTCAACAACCTTCTCCATGCAGTGGCTCATTCTATCTTTGCTTCTTTTTGACCATTCTCGATTCTTTGCCTCAGTCAAACCATCAAACCATGGAAGGTGAGCGACCGCAGTGCCCAGCTTCGTCAAACCGCAGTCCATGCCCTTTCCCCCCCCCCCATCACGACGCCATTCTGACATTTTTGTTGCTTGTTTATTTGCACAGATCGGCCACGGCGTGCGACGCGCGGCAGCAGGCAGGAGCAGCGCGAAGGCGCCATCGAGCGACTCAAGTAAGCACCAGTTCACCTCCCTCCCTTCCACTCTCCTCGTTCCCCTACCCCGCATCGACGGCTGCGACCTCCTTCATGGTTCTGTGTTGTGTGTTATCGGTGCGTCCTGCAAAGTGACTCGTGGCTGAGTGTAGCTCCGCGAGCGTAAGCGCGCTTGGTCGATTGGGTTTTTTTTTTCCCGCCAAATCTTCCCGCCAAAAAACCACCAAAAAGTCGTCAAAATGCATCATCTGCTCGACAAAACACGCGTGCTCCTCCAAATCTCCAGCGATGCGCCGCTCGTCGAAACAAAACAAAACCTTCATGCTCATTACGCCCTCCTTTTGCTGCTTGTCAACAGGGCTGCACGAGCGGGAAAGTCCGGACTGCAAGTCGAGCTTCAAGAAAGCGTTTTCGAAGAAGTGGATGACGATCGCTCGCCCGGCCAGCGCATGGACGAGGTCGACTTTGTTGTTGACGACGATGGCAACGGCTATGTTGATCAGGTAATGCTGCTTGCACTTTTGCCGTGGAACAAGCAGAATGTGGGGCGTTGGCGTTGGTTGTCGTTTCTGCTCCACCTCATCGCAACTTGACCAAACCCATCATCCATAGGGCGGTGAGTGGTGGGAACACGACGAAGATGACGAAGACGGCTACGGCTCGGAAGAGATGGAAGGGGCAAATGCAAGCGACGAGGATGCCCGCCCATCCAAGTCTAGCAAGCGCGACAAGGCCAAAGGCGGGTCCTCCAAGTCCTCCTCCACTGCTGGCAAGGACAAGGCAGGCAAAAGTGCGAATAATGCGACCAGCAAGCCCCAGCCCGCGGGACCCAGTCGCATTCACAAAATGTTTGCAGCACAAGCGTCGGCGGTCAGCACGGGGCCTTCTGCGCGCGTCGGAGGCCAGATGCTGGGCGGAGCCGAGTTGTCCGCAAACGGGGCTGTAGCCGCTGATGTGGGCACCTCTCTCAAGCCAGATGAGGACGCCTTGCTCACTGCAGTCATGAGTGACACGGTGACGCCCGTCGCCAAACGCGTCAAACCCTCGGCCTCAACGTCTGCTGGCCGCCCCAAGCCAGGCGTGCCTGGCAGCAAAACCCGTGCCGCCCTTTCTGACATTGCGCTCTTTGGATCGGCCAAACAAACGGCTGCTGCAGCCGCTGAGGCGCCGGCAGTGTCTGCCCCTGCGGCTGCTGCTCGCCGAGTAGTGCAGCCAGCGCGACCAGCAGTTCGCAAGGTAGCCGCCCCGCCGTCTCGTGCCGAAGTTGCTGCCGTTGAAGCGCCGCATGCAATGCAAGTCGATGACAATAATGTCGACGAGAGCGCCTCTCCCGCGAAGGAGGCCGACTTGTTTGAGGTCGATGCAGTTGACGAGTCTTCCATGGACTTTGGCGACAGCATGGACAACGTTGACATGGACCAACTGCTGCGAGCGGAAAAGCTTGCTTCGTCCAAATCTGCGCGCGGCACTTCCCGCGCTGCTCCGCGAATGCTTCGCGCCGTGGACGACGATGAGCCTGCGGCTGCTCCAGTTGCCAAACCGGCCAACGCCACTGTCGTGTTCTCTTCCAGCGATGCGTCCATGATGGACACGACTCCGGATGTGAAATCACGCGCGTCCGCCATTCCGTCGCGTGCAATTGCCACCGTCGCTTCTCCAGCTCAAGCAGCGCCTGCTCCAAAGCAAGCTGCACCCACAGTTGCGCTTGCAAGCGCTGCTACACCGCTGCAACTGCCCACAGTGTCCAGTTCGTCCTCTGCCCTTCCGCTCAAGACCGACGAGGCCGGTGTTCAATACGTTCAATTCTACTGGCTCGACGCATACGAAGACATGACCATTTCGCCCGGTTTGATTTATCTCATCGGCAAGGTCTGGTCTGAGACGGACAAGCGCCATGTCAGGTGAGTATGCTTGTGGGGGGGGTGATTGTTTGTCTACGATGCCTTGTTCATGCGCTCACAGCAAACCAATTTATTTGGATTGGGGGTTTTTCCTTCGTTCGTTTGTTTGTTTGTTTTTTTGTTTTTGTTTTTGTTTTTGTTTTTGTTTTTGTTTTTGTTTTTGTTTTTGTTCTCTTGCACTCTCCCAGCTGCTGCGTCGTCGTGCACAACAACGAGCGAAACATCTTTATTCTTCCTCGCGAACACGCGTTGGATGCGAATGGAATTTCGACCGCTAAGGAAGTGACGATTGAAGACGTCGAGGACGAACTTGACAACGTGCGCGCAAAGTACCGCATCGAAGAGTGGCGCTCCAAGCCTGTTCAACGCTTGTATGCCTTTGGCCTGCCTGGCGTCCCGGCTTACGCCACCTACATCAAAGTCAAGTACTCTGCCGCGCTTCCGGCCCTCGCAGCTGCCGATCAATCCGGCAAAACGTACTCTCACATTTTTGGCACGACCACAAGTTGCCTCGAGCGCTTTCTCGTCAAGCGCGCCTTGATGGGCCCTTGCTGGCTCAAAGTTCCGTAAGTTTCTGGTCGCGCTGCCATTCTCTGCGCCGTTTGGGTGCTCGCGCGAGTCTCATTCTTTTTTTTTCTGTGTGTGTGTGCGTTTGCAATCTCTCTTCTCCCATGCAAACAAACAGATGTCGACCCAACAATGGAGCGCCCGAAACGTGGTGCGCACTTGAAGCGATCTGCGACAATCCCAAGTCCATTAGCAAGATTGCGGCACGCGATTTGCTGCCACCTCCTCTTGTGGTCTGCAGCCTGGCGATGAAAACCATCCTCAATGCATCCAAGCACAAACACGAGGTTGCAGTCGTCTCGCTCGTTTTGCACACAAACGTTTCCGCCGAGGGCGAGATGCCGACGACTGGATATGAGCATCTCACGCTTGTGGCCAAACCGGCCAACCGCACCCTTCCGTTTGGGTTTGCGAATGCATGCAAGACTGCAGGTTTCACACTCGAATCGTGCGACTCGGAGCAGCTGTTGCTCAACCGATTGATGAATACGATCGGGCAGGCCGATCCCGACATGCTGATTGGTCACAACTTTGTCGGATTTGACCTCGATGTGCTGCTGCATCGCATGCAGGATCTGAGCGTCCGCACCTGGTCCAAACTCGGTCGCCTGCGACGATCGCAGATGCCGCGTCTCTCCAACCACCATGGCTCGGACGCGTCGTTTGGCGAGCGCATTGTCCTTTCTGGTCGGTTGACCGCGGACATGTACTTGCAAGCCAAAGACCTCGTCAAGGCTCGAACCTACATGCTGACCGAACTGGCGCTGCTGCAGCTGGGCGAAGATCGGCCTGAACTGGACATTGAATCCATCTCCCAGCGCTTTAACGACTCTGCCGAACTGATTCAGCTGTGTCGATTGTGCGAAAAGGACGCCGTCCTCTCCGTTCGCCTGGCTGCCAAGATGATGGTCATTCCGCTGACGCGTCAACTGACAAACATTGCCGGCAATCTGTGGTCGCGCACGCTGCTCGGCGGTCGTGCAGAGCGCAACGAGTTTTACCTGCTGCACGAATTCTCCCGTCCCACGGTCTGGGAAGCCAATCGCAAGTTTATTCCGCCAGACAAGATTTACGCGAGCCAGGTGCGCAAGGCGGCTGCGGCGGCTGCAGCGGCTGCAGCGGGCAAAGGCAATCGTGGCAAAGCTGCTGCTGCAGCGGCGGACGAAGGAATGGACGAAGACGACCAAGGCCCGTCTGATCCGGCATCCACCGCGGCCGGTGGAGGTGCAGCGGCCGGTGCATTCAAGAAGCGCAAGAAGGCCGCGTACGCTGGTGGTCTTGTGCTCGAGCCAAAGAAGGGCTTTTACGACCGGTACATTTTGCTTCTCGATTTCAACTCGCTGTATCCGTCCATCATTATGGAGTACAACATTTGCTTCACCACGGTGGACAAGCCGCAGCCAGTGTCAGACCCGACAGGCCTGGAGGATGGCAATGGCCAGCCGCTGATGATTACACCTCCCGCTGAACTCCCTGCAAAGACTCGCAAGGATGGATTGCTGCCCCGTGTCTTGAGCCGTCTCGTGCAGCAACGTGCCTTGGCCAAGAAGGAGATGGCCAATCACCCCGAGCAAAAGCAGCAGTGGGACATTCGTCAGCGTGCCCTCAAGCTCACGGCCAACTCGATGTACGGCTGCCTCGGCTTTACCAACTCTCGCTTTTACGCCAAGCATCTTGCCGAGCTCATCACGGGACGCGGTCGTGACATTTTGCAGTCAACGGTGGATTTGGTGCAGCAGCAACTCAACCTAGAGGTCATTTACGGTGATACAGTACGTTCGGGATGAGGTGCATTTGCTTTTGCTGCTGTCTTCTATTTTTTTGCATTCTAAACAGCCTGTGAATCACTTAATTGCGGTGTGTGCACGTTTTTACAGGATTCAATCATGATTAACACTCAATCTATACACTTGCCAGATGTGCTGGAAGTGGGACAGCGAGTCAAAAAGCAAGTCAACGACCGCTACAAGCAGCTTGTGATTGAAATGGACGGCATCTTCAAGTCCATGCTGCTGCTGAAAAAGAAAAAGTACGCGGCCCTGTCTGTGCATCTGAAGGACGGCGCGGTGGAAATGGTCAACGGAGCGCCGCGCGTTTCCCGAGAAACCAAGGGTCTGGATATTGTGCGTCGTGACTGGTGCGACTTGGCCCACGACGCGGGTAACTTTGTGCTCAACCAGATTCTCAGCGACAACAATGCCGCATCAATTGATGACGCTGCTGAAGGCGTCTTGTCGAAGGACGCTCTGGTCGAGCGCATTCGCACCTATCTGTTGCAGCTGGCCGCCGACGTGCGAACCGGCAAGACTCTGCTGAACAAGTTTGTCATCAACAAGGGCTTGACCAAAAATCCCGAAGAGTACGCGGACAAGAAGAGCCAGCCGCACGTCCAAGTTGCCCTGCGCCTAAAGGAACAAGGCAAAGCCGTGCGTGCAGGCGACACAGTCCCCTACGTTATCTGCAGCGGTAGCCAGGAATTGGGCCCGGCAGACCGCGCCTATCACCCAGATGAGATTCTGCGCGCGTTTTCTCGCGCCATTGCCGCGCAAGCACAGCTCCCGTCTGACGCACCGCTCCCTCAGCTGGACATTCAAACGGCAACATCTGCGGTACCGGCTAGCGCGATTGCGTGTGAGCTCAATGTCGATGTCGAGTGGTATCTCAAGTACCAGGTCCATCCCGTCATCTCGCGCCTGTGCGATCCGATTGAGGGCACCAGCGCCGCGCTCATCGCCGAGTACCTTGGCCTGGATACGACCCCCTACACCCATCGGACCTCCAGCAACGGTGGCCACGACACCGAAGACGCCGCCATCCTGGAAATGAGCGATGAAGAGCGATTCCGCGAGCGCAAGCGAGAGAGAGAGAGAGAGAGAGAGAGAGAGAGAGAGAGAGAGAGAGAGAGAGAGAGAGAGAGAGAGAGAGAGAGAGAGAGAGAGAGAGAGAGAGAGAGAGAGAGAGAGAGAGAGAGAGAGAGAGAGAGAGAGAGTTTGTGTGTTTGTGTGCTTGTGTGTCGTTGGCAAGAGCGTCAACTCATTCCTGTGTTTTCTTTGTGCTTGCACAGGGTCCTGGTTACCAAACAGGGATGGCTTGCCCAAGGCCCAACTGCACGGGCGAGTTCCGTGCCGTTTCTGTGATGAATCGCTTGACAATCATGATGCGAGGATTTATCGATGAGTATTATCAGGTGTGCATGCTGCTGTTGCGGTTGGTGTGGTTTTGCTGTTGTCGAGCGCTCTTTCGTGCTGTCCGTCTCCGGTTTTAACCTTGTCTCTGTGGCCTGATTCCTTGACTTGGCAGGGCTGGATGAAGTGTGACGATGCAGCATGCCAACAGCAGCGCACCCGCCAATTGTCTGTGAATGGCCGAAAGTGTCTCAACCCCGGCTGCAAGGGCACCATGCGTCTTGAGGTACCATCACAAAAATCTGTCGTGCTCGGGTTCTCGTGTGGAGATTCACTGACTTTGTTGTTGCTTGTGGTGGATTTGTTGTTGGGGTTTTTTTTTTTTTTTGGACTGGATTAGAATACCGATACAAAGCTGTACACTCAGCTGTTGTACTTCCAGCGACTGTTTGACTTGCAGCGCGCCTTCCAGAAGATTGAAGATTCCGAGCAGCGAGGTGTGTTTTTTTTTTTTTTGCTTCGAGCTTGGATGTACACGACTATATTTGTCGGCTGGCACTCATTCAAACCGTGCCTCCGTCTCTTCTGTATATAGCGTTGGCCGTGCGCATGATTGAGCCCTACCGCGCGGACATTGTTCGCGTGCATCAGCATGTCAATGCCACTTTCAACAAGTCCGCCCGACAATTTGTGAATTTGCGCTCGCTGTTCTCGTTCTTGCGAGGCCCCACAGGTACCGCTGTCGATGATGTGGGCTGTTTGTAGGTTGTTTGTTCGATGTTGCTAACACTGTGCGTTCAAACAGGTGTCTCGAGCAAGCCCGGCAAGTGAGGGGTGAATGCGTTCTTGTCCTTCCTTCCTTCCTTCCTTCCTTCCTTCTGCGTTAGAAGTTGCTGCTTTCTTTTCCATGCTTGGTGTTTCTTCTGTTCTTATGCATTGTTGCGTGCGCTGCCTGTCGATTGATTGTCCTGTACCGATTGAAATGCTGTTTTGCCTTCGCTGAACTCGTCGTATGCTCCTCGACTCTTTCCAGCCCTTCAACCTTGACTTCCAACAGTCAGTCATTGTTTCTTTTTGTAGTAGTTGTTCAATCACACTCTGATATGCCTGCACCAAAGATCAACCGCGGCAAGCAGCCCAAGATTGACCGCATCACACGCGTGCAAAAGCAGCAGCGCCGCCGCGCGACCGCCCAGCGCCAACAACAGCGTGCGGATGCTGCCTCGGCTGCCGACGCCGACCAGATGCAAGACGGCGACGAGCCGCGCTACAGCGAGAGCGATCTGGCCAACGCCGTCCAGGAGCGGCTCCTCCACAAGGTCATTGCCAAGCAGACGAGGTGAGCGCTCACGTCTGCAGCCACCACGCAACACCATCGAGCATTTGGCAGCACGCAAAACCGACCTGGTAGCGGGGAACCAAGCGGACGTGGGGTTTGCTGAGCTGGGCTGAGCTGAGTGGTGGTCGTTGATCGTGGTTTGGCACACATGGAACGCAGGCAAGCCTCAGTCCCAGTGTCAGTGTTGCCCACCCCGCCCCCACCCCGCCCCCACCTCAGCTCGTGTGCCGCGATTCGGGGCGCATTTGAAGCAGTTTGAGATGGATGGAATTGTCGCTTGACGGATGGCGGTCGTGTGCGAGTGCTGCAATGCGCACACACATGGGCAGTGCATTGCGCCACCAACCAGCAACCTTCCTCGCATTCATTTCTAAGCACGCAGTGATTTAGTCACAGCGTAACCCTGCACTTGGCCAGCAGCAGCAGAGAGACGATCGCTCGAGATGCAGCTGCTTTCCAAATGCTCAACAACGCTGACCTTTGACACACACTTTTGCTCCTATCAAACACAGGACAAACCCCAACACAAACACAACCATTTCTGGCAAGAAGAAGCGTTTGTTGATGAAGGAAATCCGACGAGCGCACAAGGAGAGCGGCGCCGCTGGACCCGCTGTCAACCCTCAAGATGTTGGTACGTTTCATCAAACAAAAAGTGTTCCATGGTGCACGTCTCTGTGTTTTCGTTCGTTGGCTCACGTTCCAATTGTGCGCATGTGTGTGTATGTGTTACTGTGACGCACAGTGGTCGCCATGGAGGTCCAAAGACCAGCTCGTGGCAAGGGTGCCTCCGACGTTGCGCCCATGCAATAAGATGTCATTGGTTGTTTTGTTTGTTTTGTCACCTTTTTTTTTTTTTCGGCTCGACGGATGGTTGTTTTGGATTTGCGTGTACTGTCTCATTCTTACGAAACTCAACGACAAGGTCGGTCTACAATTGCGCATGACTGGCAGAGACCAAAAACCCCTGCGCCTCACACACACACACACACACACATACACACACAAAGCACACTCATCCCCTTCATTGACTCTCAGAAAATGCCAGGAATGAACGCGTAGGGAACAGCTTCGAGGTAGCGATCCCAGTCCTTGCCGTACTTGAGCGCACAGCGGGTCATGTCGCGGTCGTAGCGGTGGAGAATCATGGAGGTGAAGAAGATGACGTAAAAGTACGGGAGGAAGTGGCCAAAGCCGCACGACAAGCCCCAGATCAGGGCAAAGCAAATGTCACACGAGTAGTGGATTTTGCGGGCAAACTGCCACCAGCCGTCGACAAGCAACGGAGAGCCCGACGCGGTTTCAATGACCTTTGGGTTGGTCAGCGTTCGCCACGGCAGGTTGGGGAAGGTCCAGCGCTTGACCACCGTGCCTTCGCGCTCGAGCCGGAAGTGGTTTTTCTGCGACTGGGCAGTGTCCCAGATGTAGTATGCCGCGAGCAGAATGACGGCGAGCGCCACGACAGTTGCCACGCTGTACTCTGGATCGTGCGTCACCAGGTAGACAGACTGCAGGCAGTACAGGAACGGCACGCCCGCAAAGTTCCAGAAGGACAGCATCCAGCCAAACTTTTCGTAAAACATGTCCCAGGTCGGCGGAACATAGTGCTCACCCTTGGCGGTCGCGTTCGCGTACAGACCGTGGGCAAGCACGAGCAGGTAGAGCGAGGGTGGCACGGGCTTGTCCTCGCTGGCCAGCTTGGCGACGCACGAAACCGTGTTGATGAAGAGCAGATACCACGAGATGCGAATCTCGGCAAAGAACTTGAAATCGAGCAGACCAATGCGCGGGTGCAGGATGGCGCCCATGAAAAAGTCGTAAATCACGCTGCCCGTCATGCGGTGGGTCATGTTGGCGGCGCGGCCGTAAACGTAGCACGCGAGCGCAACGCCGTTGCCAGCGAGGACGGCGGTGGACATCATGCGGCCCATGTTGTCGTAGTACCAGACAAGCGGGCTGTGCTCGAGCTGGAACAAGTACTCGTAGGCCGGCTTGTAGAAGGCGATGGCGATGCCGACGAGGGTCAGGTACCACGAGAGCAGCCCGTTGCATCGGTAGACGAGGCGATCGCCCTTGTCGTCGGGGCGACCCAGCAGATCGAGACCCGGCAGGACGCACGCAAACACGCCCTCGACCACGACGAACGCAACGTAGAAGGCGAGCGTGGCGGCGGTGGGAGTGGTCGCCTGGACGAGCTGGCTCGCCGCGTGGCCGACATCCGCGAGCGAGGTCGGCGCGTACATGTTTCCGCCGTTAAAGTGGAGCGCGTAGTAGACATAGTACAGGATGACATGGCTGACCACCATGATGCTCAAGCACCCAACGGGTCCTCCAAACTCGTACGCAGTGTGTTCCACGGCGCGCAGGGCAGCCGAGATCGTCGTCGTCGTCGCCGTCGTCGCCGTTGTCTTCAAACCGCGTGAAGTCGCAGCCGACGAATGGGAAGCCGGCGTGCGTTTGCTCGCAACAAGCGGCGTTCTTCCACCCCGCGACTCGGACCCGGATGCAGATCCAGCCCCAGACCCAGCGCCAGGGGCAGCCAGGGTGTCTGCGTTTTGCGTTGGCGTGCCTGTGGCGGCGGCAGAAGAGGCGGCGGGGACGGTCCGGCGGCGGACTGGCGAGGATTGCTCGTTGTTGGTGCTGGATCGTGACCGCGACGGGCTCCTTGTCGTCGTCGTCGCTCCCCCTGCTGCCGAGGCTGCTGCCTTGCGCGCGGGGCTCTTGCTGCGAGTGGCGCTGCGACTGCGGCGTTGTTGCTCAGCCGACGGCGAACTCGAACTCGAACTCGAACTCGACGGCATTGAGTAGAAAAAAAAAAACGAAAAAAAAAGGGAAAAAAAACCGGTTTTAGAATGATTTTTTGGATTTTTTGTGTTTTTATTATTGGAAGTTTTTTGGCGGGAAAAAACAAAATTATGAATCACGAAAACAAAAACAATGATGATTAAGCAAGTTAAGTGAAGTGATGCACAAAACTGCAATGGCATGAAAACAAGCAAAGAGTAGCGCAGCGCACAGGACGCAAACGAAAAGCACAAAAACCGCTCTCTCTCTCTCTCTCTCTTCATCGCGCTCATTGCTCCTGCTCGCCGCGCACACACGACTGCCCATCACAGGACAAACGGAATGATGCGCTTCGTCCGGCGCTGGTAGTCGACATACTGCGCACCGAGCTCGGACACGAGCATTCGCTCCTCGAGAATGATGCGCGCAGTCCAGAGCGCCGTCATGACCGTGGCAACGATCGCAAACACGGCAAGATTCTGAGAAACCACGAGCGCATGCGAAAAGAACAGGAGAATGTTCGCGAGGTAGCCTGGGTGCCGGATGTAGCCATACGGCCCTGCGGTGATCACTCGCTGGCCCTCCTGCACCTTGAGCGAGCGTGTAAAGTAGATGCCGAGCCTGTGGGTGAACGAGTCCAAACAAGTGCTGAGTGTTCACGTCTCTTGTTGATACGTTTTTTGCAATCAAAAAGCCGAACATCAACAGAACAGACGGGTCTGTACAATTGCATGGAATGGAAACGCAGCCAGATTGCGAATGCTTGAATCGCAAACACGAGCACGATCGCGATCGAAGGCAGCGAAATCGCAAACGATGCAAACACGCCCAGCGCACCAGCGAACGGGAAGAACGTGCCTGTGGGTGCAAGTACGTCGAGCAAAAAATCAGGGTGAGTGAACCGAACAATCCGCGCGGGTCTCGGAGTCTCAGAGTGCCCTCAACCAGCCAACCAACCAACCAAGCAAAACCGCCCCAAAATGCTGCATAGATTGAACACACAATCACTGATATAAGGATATATCCAAATTGCTCGGACTGATTTCGTGCTCGACGAGTATCAACATTTGTAGGAAAACTCAGACGACCCAGATTGGCACACGTTTTGAGACTGTCATCAGTCGCAGCGCTAGGCTGCACTTTGATGTGCTTACAGAGAACGAGGACAATCACATTGGCGCGCGTGGACTTGTCGGAGACGGCTCTGGCGGTGGAGCTGCTGTGGCGTGCGTAACGCTCGGTGCCAAACCAGTATACGACGACCATGACGAGCGAGATCAGCGAAACCCAGCTTGAACTGCTACTCGACGACGACGATGATGATGATGCTGATGATGAAGTTGTTGTTGCTGTTGTTGTTGTGTGTGGTTGCTGCGCTGAGGCTGCAGAACAAGCGGCAACAACCAGAAGCACCGAAACGACCGCGCAAATTTGCCAATGCATTCGCGTTTGTAAGATTGCAAATCACAACAACAACAACAAAGACTGAGGACGAGGTCAGAGTCAGAGTATGGATGGAAGCAATTCTGATCAGGACAAGCGCATGTCAAGTCCTTGATCTATCAGGGGCAACGGGATCCGAGCACAATCTGCCCAAGCTCAACACTGAATGCACGAACGCTTCCGCAATGTACTGCAAAAACTGCTATTAACAACAGGGCTATGCGGATGCAACATCATACACGGCCTGGCCCCATGCTTCGGCGGACACTGGCGTCGTTGCTGATAGGGGTGCTGGTGCTGGTGCGGCAAGCTGCTCTGTAATCCATTCCTGCACTTGCTCCAACGACTGGAACGTCCGGCTGATACGTGGCACGATGGTTTTAGATTCCAGCTTATCCATCACTTCTTTGAGAATGTCTGCGCGTGCACCAGCATGCATCAACGCGTGAGGACAGGCGAGTGAGATGCGACCCCTCAAAAAAAAAAAATCGACCAAAAAATGCAACACAATCATCAAAACATACGCAAGAGCCGTCCCTGGTGAGTGCCAGACAGCACCCATGCGTGCTCAAATAAGAAGCACAGCGATGCAGACTTTTGCAATAGTAGTTGAGACTCTGGCGGATCGAGCTGAAACAGAGCAACCCAAAATGCAGCGTGAGTACAAGCCAAAAAACACCAATCAACCGACCAAATCCTACGCGCGTTGCAGACTGCCAAACTCAATCTCCAACCAACCGGCGCAAAGCCCCCCCCCCTCCTCCTCCTCCACCTCCGCCTCCATCAAAATCATCTCCTGAAAACCCCGCAAATACACAAACATTTACCTGCAAGTGTGATACGCTGGTCACCCAGCGGCCATGGACAGCAAGACACGATATCAGCTCGTGTTTGCTGTAGAGTACTTGTGTCGGATCGACCTTGTTGTATTGACGCACGAGACCGCTGTCGATTATCACATCCACACCGAAACCGGACGTCTCTTGCATGACGGCACTCACCAGCGGCGAAACGCGAGGCGTGCCCAGCAAGCTCGCAGCACCCGCTGAAAATGGATATGTGCGACCAGCAGTTGCACTGGAGCCGCCCGCCGTGCCTATTGCGGTGCGAATCACGATAGCTTTGGGCAGACTGGTCGAAATCCACTGTGCCTCGGCGTCGTTTGCAGCGGCAACCAGCACACGAGCGCCCCACGCCTGGGCCAACTGAGCAGTGGCAAGGGCAGCAGTTTGCGGATTTGTCACTCCGAGGACGAGCACACTCTCGCCGGGGGCAATCCGGGCCTTGTAGTGCAGCGCCGTGAACGCCATGACGCCTGGCTTGAGCGCTGCAGCAGCAACGTGGTGCGGGATGCCCGCCGGCTTGCGCACAATGTTGGCCACGCTGACGAGCGCATATTCTGCGAGTGCTCCGCCCGAGCCCGAGCCCGAGCCTGAGCCTGAGCCTGGAGCAAGCAGGCCGACGACCTCATCGCCGACGCGCAGCTGCGACCCGACGACCGCCGCGCCCAGCCGGACGACAATCCCGCTCACCTCGCAGCCCGGCACCGCGGCAACAGGCTGTTGTGAGGGTTGCGCTGGCGATGGTCCTGCTGCGCTCGAGCTTGAGATTGAGCGGCTGGCTGATCCCGCCGCAGCAGATCCCGCCGCGCTTGCTGCACACAGGCGCAAGTCACGCAGATGGACTGCGGATGCTCGGACCTCGAGCAGGACTTCATGTGGCAGCGGAGTGGGGAGCGGTCGCGAGTCGGCCACCGCGAGCTGCAATGGCGGTGGCTCGGCCAATGCATCCGACTGCGACGAAGACGCGGCGCCGAGCGCGACAGTCAGCGCGCGCATTGTTTTTGAGAACTGAGACGAGGAAAGAAGAAAAAGAAAGTAATCACAACGGAGAACAACGAACAAAAAAAAATCGGAACAAAGAGAAAAAATATGGCAAAAACGTTAGATTGGATGTTGAGTGGAAACGAGCGTTGATGGTTGATTTTGGCCCAAGTCACTCACTAGCATACAATGCAATGCAGAACAACACGACATGCAGGCGAAAAAATATCTGACACAGAGCGGTGGGAAAACAAAACGAGATGGCAGAACGATGGGGGGAAAAGCAAAGAAAAGCGCAAATACACAACCAAACATGCAGCCAACAAAGCCGCAACAAACACACTCAAGCAACAAACCACACCTGTACACAAAAAAAAACAATCGAAAAACAAAAACAAGCTGGCTGATACACTTAAACGGCAGGGCGTGTGGCGGAAAGACCTCCAGCAAACGTGCGCGTCAACTCAAGCAGCAGCGGCTGAGGGAGGGTCTCGAGCGCACGGCCGCCCGCGATCGTGGCGGCATTGCGGAGGAGAAACCGAAGACAGACCTCTTTGAGCTCTGGATAAAACTCGGCAACGCGCTCAAAGATCGGGACAACGTTGTCGACGGTGAGCGCAAAGCGAAACTCGTCCACGCAAATGCGGCGAACCTCGGCGACGTCGTACTTGTCGGCTGTGTGATACAGCCACGCAATCACGTCGGGCGACACCTGCACGGTGCCCGTGTACATGAACTCGAGCAGCTTGCGGAAGGCGCGCGGCTCAATGTCGGGAATCACCACTTGCGACGAGGCTCGCTCAAGCGTGTCGTGGGCAAACATTGGCCGGAACACTGGGCAGCGCGCAGACAGGATGTTGCGATGCGCGGGAATCGAGACGCCCTGGACCACGAACGTCACGTCGGCAAACTCGCCGCTGCTCAGGAGCGCGCCGAGATCCTGGCTCAGCTTTGAGCCAGTGTTGACTGGCTGCTGCCGCAGCGAGTTCATGACCTCCTTGCGAGTGGTCTCGTCGTAGCCCGGGTCGCCCACCAGCTGAACGCTGTCAATCTCGCACCAGGTCGTGGCACCGCGGCAATTCAGCTCGAGTCGAATGTAGTTGGAGGCGACATCCAACCGCTCGAGCGGCGGTGTAAAGATGCGCGACGTGACATGGTGCGGCCCCACGGTCGGCGCTCCAGACCACAAGACAACCCAGTTGCCCTGCGGAACGCGAGCCATCTCGGTGGTGGGAGTGGCGGCGGGTGCCAGCGCGGGCGCCGCAACCCGTCCGCCGGGCAGATCCGTCCGCTGGAGCGCCAGGATGCGCACGACCGCGCCCGGGCTGTTGGTTTCGTAAATGTTGACTGCCTTGATGACGACGGGCTTGTGGAACTGCAGGGTGACAAACTCAGTCTCCATGCCCACGGTGCCTTGCGCCCAAGCCCCCTGGATGTCACCCATGGCCGGGTAGACGCGCGGCGCCCCGATGATGCATCGCGCAGCCCAGGTGGTCGTGTTGTACTCTGAGCTCCACTCGGGGACGTCCTGGACCCACTGCTGCGACCACTGCTCGGGCAATGCCTCATAGTTGGAGCCCAAATCGAGCTCGCTTGTCGGCGTTAGCAGCGCAGTGATCTCGTTCAGCAGCACAGCAACGTCGTTGTCCGAGCACGACAGTCCGCGGCTGAGCGTGCTATTGCGCAGCAGTGTTGTTGTTGCTGCTGCTGATGATGCGGAAGAGGTTGAGGCTGAGGTTGAGGCAGAGGCTGAGGTTGAGGATGGCTCGGATTCGAATGCTGACCTCAGAGTTCGGTGAGGCGCTTCTTTGGCGCTTCCGTCCTGCGAACGAGCGACGCGCGAGGAAGAGTCTGCATTGACATCAGCAGCAGCAGACGACGACGACGACGAGGAAGATGAAGAAGAGGAAGAGGACGGAGACAAGGACGAAAACCAGGATGTTGACATGCTCAGTGACAAAGCCAAAGATGGACAAACTAGACTGAGCGCTGACTTGCTATGATACATGTATGGTATTGGAAGGAGAAGAGATTTAAACAAACAAAAAACAAACAGAGAGAGGAAGAGTGGAAAATGCGATTGAAATACGAGAAAATGTCGTGATTGACAAGCTGACGATTCGGCAATGCAATTTGAAAACGAGTCAAGGACAAGGACTGCTGAGCCTTTTTTCAGGATGTCATGATGTCATGGTTATTGCTATCACAACCTCTTGAGCCAGAACTAGCGGCTTTGCATTGGAAAAAGTAATCAGTGATTCAACAGGAAACAAAGCAAATGGAGGGGGGCAAGGCATGTCAACAGACACCACAACAACAACAACAACAACAACAACAACCAACAAGTGCAACAACAACAACACGTAGCAAGCTAGAGCAACAGGTACAAAGCAAAAGCTACAAAAGCAACACGGCGAAACTACAGGTCAAAGCGACTGCCAGAGTCGTCAGAATCATCCTCCCACCCATCGTCACTTTCAATTTCCGACTGTGCCTCGTCGCTGCTTGCTGTTGCTCGGTTGGGACTGCGAATCTCGACATGCTCACGATCCGAAATCGCTTCGTTGAAAAACTGGTCAACCAAGTCGCCTGCTTCATTCCCGACTTCGCCTTCGTGCTGGCGCAAATCATCCAGAATCCCGAGTAAATCCGAGGTCGCGATAGCCCGAGTGACAATGCGATCGTCGGGAGCTTCAGTTGAGCTCTCGGCTTCCAGCACTGCACGAAGTCCCTCCAAGACTACACGCATGGAGCGGGGCTCGATGGTGCCTCCTCTGCAGCAGTGCAACATGGCAGCAAATCCGCCGAGCTCGTGGACAAGACTACACATTCGAGCGACAGACGCGGGCAAAAACCAACAGCAAAAGGACAACGAATCAAACAAGTGTCCGTCAGCACACCAACCAGCGCTGAACAAGTTGCACGAGAATCAAAGCAACAAAAACACCGTCCGTCGGTTGCTGCAACCACCAAAACCACACACACACACACACACACACACACACACACACACACACACACACACACACACACACACACACACACACGTACAGATGTTGGGAGCGACGGCCACCAGAAGCCAAGTTGCTCAGTACGTAGATGGCCTCGTGCTTGACATGCTGGCGATCGTTTTCAATGATGTGAATGATGCGCGGCAAGACACCGGCGTCAATGACTTGTTGAATCTGCTGAGTGCTGCCAGCGGTGATATTGGACAGCATCCAGCACAGCTCTTTTCGCAACTCAGTTCGAGGGTGGGTCAGCAGTGCCGCGCAGCGTGCGAGAAGACCATGCTGGAGGAGCTGTTGCGTTTGATTGTCGTCGCCAGTGGCAATGTTGGCACATGCGCGTACAGCCGGTGTCACGATGGAGTTTGCCACTCCCGCGCCTCCCAGAAACGAGATGAGGATGGGAAGCAGCGGGGCGCGCTCTGGTCCTCCTCTGAGAATTGGTTGGCAAGAGATGATAGGCAGGAAGTTGAACGGAAACGCAGGACCCCGGAGGTAAACATGGGACCCAAAATAAAGAGAGTAGAGTGGTACACAAGCAATGAGAATTTCACAAAGTTACCCAACAACACGAACCCTAACCCCCTGTTCCCCCAAGTTCACTCGGAAAACCTCGCCTGCCTCGCCAAAAACATCCAACCTCGTACTCACCGAAAGTCAAGCAGCGCTTGGATGCGCTGGTTTGGGCCATCGCAAATGTACGAGATTGCCCAAAGCGAGTCAGTGACCACACTTTCATCGTCACGAAGCTCCGTCAAAAGACGATAGAGGATGGCGAGGGAGATTCTCACGTGGTCGAGCAGAGGCTGCGGCTTGCCTCGACACAAGTTCGAAATGGCCCATGCAGTGTTGCGAACAAAGGTAATGTCCGACCTCAGGCGTTGAGAATCCAGCTGGGACAGCACACGCACGAGCTGTCTCATCGCCCCGGCCTCGAGACAGTAATTGCGCAAAGCTGGCGAGTCGCCGGCAATGTTGCCAAGCGCCCAGATGGCTTGATCTGCAATCCGCGTGCTGCTCGAGGCAACCATGCGGATGAAGCGCTCGACGCAGTTGGCATCCACGACTGTCAGGGATTGTGTCGAGTTGCCAGACGCAATGTTGGTGATTGCCCAAGCGGCCTCGTACTGCAAATCGACATCGTCGGCAACGTCCAGCAGGGAGACCAACACGGGCACGCAGCCCGTGTCAATGACCGTGTTGATCGGAGGCGCGTTCTCAATCGACAGGATTCGACGAATGTGGATGCACGCGCTGCGACGAATCTCCGGGTGGGAGGAAACGAGACGGGCGGCCACCTGCTGCACAAAGCTCTCGGTGACCGTGAGAGTGTCGCGCGAGTAGTCAATGTGAACGTCGCGCTGTTGTTCAAAGGTGTCACGCAGTCGGGCCATCACTGCCTCCTCGTGGTGTCGTCGCTTGCGGTCGGAAGAGCGTGGTGGGAATCGGTGTGAGGCCTTCAGCATCGAGCAGTGCTGGCCGTGGCATTGGCGCAAGCGCGCGCGGGATTGCTGCTGCTGCTGCTGCTGCTGCTGCTGCTGCTGCCGCTGCCTGTTGCGACTGCTGTGCAGTTACAACGGACGCAAAGTAGCGCTGACGGATGGATTCGTCAAACAGGGCGGCGACGGCGGCGCGATCCACCAACGGGGAGCGCGAGAGACGACGATCGCGAGGCTCAAACTCGAATCGGATCGGGTCGTCCGCTTGCACCGCCGACTCCTGCTGCTGTTGGGGTTGTTGCTGTGGGGCAACAGCTGACGTCTTTTGCTGGCGTTTGGTCTGCGAGGAGGAGCTCTCATTGTCGCTCTCATCGGATTCCCAGGCATGCGCTTCCAGCTCGGCGTCAGCGTCCGGGGCGGCATCACTCGTCGCGCCGCGGTTGGCATTTCCCCGGCTTGGCGTAGCATTCCCGGCAGTTCCAGCACCGGATGAGCCAGCGCTCGTAGCCGCAGCAGCAGCAGCAGCAGTAGTGTTGTCATCGACGAGTAGGATTGCGCGTCGGAGGGTGGCCATCCGCCAGCGCGACTCCGAGTCCTCCGCCAGCACCATTTCAGCGTGCTTCCCCTTGCTGGTGATGGGCACGGTTGGCTTGTACGTGTGCGTGACGATGCGCGACTGGATGGAGAGCGCGACCAGCTTGCGCGTCGCCTCGTCCATAGCGAGCTGCTTGGTGCCTGCGTCCGCGTCGGCGTCCGCGTTCGTGCCTGCATCCGCGTTCGTGCCTGCATCCGCATCAGCAGCAGTCGCAGTGGCAGTCGCAGTGGAAGCAGAGCGTCGGCCAAAGATGACGGCTTTGCTTGCTTTGGTTGAATCAGCGCTGCTGCTCCGCCCTGGAGTCCCATCACCGCCATCACCGCCATCACCAGCCGCAGATGCAGATTGAGATGCAGATGCAGATTGAGATGCAGATGCGGATGCGGATGAGCCTGTGGTGCTGCTGTCTGCAGGCGCCGCCGCCGCATTGTGACGCGTTGCAACAAACCCTCCGCTCGCATCAAACCGGAGCTCCCACCCAGCACTCCCAGCACTCGAGCCAGTCGCTCCACTCGAGCCAGTCACTTCAGCCACTCCAGTCGCAATGGCAGGCACAGCAGCATTATTGGCACTGGCACTGGCACTGGCATCGGCCGCAGCGGTCGTCGTCGTCGCTGTGCTGACTTGTTCGCTCATGGCTTTTTGATGTTCGGACAAAAAAAAATGAATGAATGAATGAACGGTTGATCCAGAAATGAATACAAACGCATGATGCAACATGAATAGGAATAGGAACATGAACAGTAATGCAGTGCATCAGCAGGTGGTGGATGCGGGGGATGCGTGGTGGATGAAACAATGGATGAAATGTCGATTGGAAGGCCCAGTCATTGTACTGTACTGTAGTAGATCGACGAGGAGAAACAAGGGGATGCAAGGAACTGGCACTGCTCGGGCAGGTGGGCCACCTCGAACATCACATGATGCATGCACAGTTGAAGCAAGCATGCATGAATCGATGGGGTGGGGGGTTTTTTGATTTATTCGCGAGCTGTGCTACGACTACGACTACTACTACTATTCGCGACGAACAGCGGGGATGCGAAGAACGGGCACGTTTCCGCTACCGCCGGAACTTGCTCGCTCGGCCTCCTTGCGGCGCGTCTCAGAGTACAGGATGGCAGTGCCAACGGCGACAATGATGCCGAGTACTTGCATGCCGACAAGCTGCTGCGAAAAGAGAATCACACCAAGCGTCAGCACCAGGCAGTTCTTGACGTGTCCCAGGACTTGGTACGTTACGGGCGATGTGCGGGCAACAACATAGTAGTTGGTGAGATTGACACCGATGGACAGCAGCGCCGAGATCAAAATGAGCCCGACAATCTCGCCGGTTGGTTGAAACTCCCACAGCGGCACGACGCCCGGTTGGGTTGTAGCGGGGGAATCGGACGAGCCAGTCGAGGCAGTTGAGGCAGCAGCAGGAGCTGCAAACAGCCACGTTACCAACGATCCGTCAAAGAACGGCGCTAGTACGAGCAGGGCAAGCGTGTTATACGGCGATGTCTGGTGCAAGAGCTGCATGGCGTTCAGGCCCTGCCGCTTCTGCACCTGCTGCGTTGCAATCTGGCCAATGGATGTGAATGCAACCATGGCGATGGCAATCACACAACCAGCGGGGGTCAAGCTCAAGTCGAGGCTGGTCGTGAACGAGACTGCAATCAGCATGACGGTCAGAATGGCGGCAATCTTCTTGGATGGGAGCTTCCCGCTCATCATGTACTCAATGGCGAGCATGGACGGGATGGTGATGAGCTTGGCGAGCTGGTACGTAGTGACCGAGTTGACGGCGAGTGCAAAGTTGGACGCGACGACCGATCCGACGCAGCCGGCGACCACCGGGAACAGTGCGCCAAAGCGAACAAACTTGTGCTCGACGACGCCCAGGCGGACGACGACGGTCATGACGCCGAACGCAACGGCAAAGTGGAGCGCAGTGAGGAAGGTCATGTAGACGAATCCCGCCACGGCGATGCGTTTGTTGACCAGCACGATGCCGACCGAGCAGATGATCTGTGACCGTGATAGAGAGTCAAAGTGGGGTTCAAGTCGGGGGAAGTTGAGTGAGTTGAGTTGAGTGGGGCTTACAAGGCGGATTGCTCTCTGAGAATTGGCTCCACAACTGAAGCCCACACGCACACACACTCGATGGCTTACATTGCATAGAATGCTGGCGACTAAGAGCAGACTTGTTGAAGCGGAGGATGAGCCATTCACTGAACTACTACTGCTGCTGCTGCTCCCATTGCTTCCATTGCCATTGCCAGTGCTCAGATTCACGCTCGACTTCATTCTTGTGTATTTGCAGTTGTATTGGCAAAATAATAGTAAAATAAAAAAAAAGAAGTGGATTTCATCTGGAATAAGAAAACTAGCAAGCTCGGCGGCGGCTCAGAGGAAGGAGCTCTGAGCCGATCAATCTCCTGCCATTGAGATGCTCAACTCCTGGCTCCTTTTGCTTGTTTGTGTTTTTCCGCTTTCATGCATAATAATGTTGGCACATGCTCTTTGGCTGTTGTGCATCCTCTCATCTCTTGTTGTTTTGCGAGCGAGAGAGAGAGAGAGAAAGAGAGAGAGAGAGAGAGAGAGTCTGAGCTTTTTGCTTGTTTCCGTTATTCTTCTTTCCCACCAACCCATCTCATTCATTCCCATCATGATAACAACATTCATACGCAGTCCTTCTTATCATTTTGACCACTCTCATATGATGATGATGGTCGCCACCACCGCCGCCCCTCCTCCGCTTCGTCGCAGCCGTCCCTCGCTGCCTCTGCTGGCGGTCGCCCTTGCGCTGCTGCTAGCAATGGCCTTTGCCCAGCCTGCGCCTGCGTCTGCTGCGCCAATGCTGCCTGTGCGCCACTACGACCGCGACGCTGCTGCTGCTGCTGCTGCTGCTGGATCCAAATTGTCGCCGACGGCTGCCCTTCGGCTCTCCCTCAAGGACATTTCGGTACCTTCACTCTCTCACTCTTCACTCTCTCTCTCACTCTTCACTCTCTCACTCTCTTTCACTCTCTTTCACTCTTCATTCTTCACTCATTCTGGCCTTGCTTTTTCGATGAGCAACAAACAAAGACAAAAACGAAGAAGAAGCAAAAACGATTGATAATGATTAGAAGAAGAATAATAACAAAGCGGCGAGTTTTTTTTTGTGTGTGTAGAAGCAAAAACGATTGATAATGATTAGAAGAAGAATAATAACAAAGCGGCGAGAAAAAAAAAAAAAAAAAAAAAAAAAAAAAAAAAAAAAAAAAAAAAAAAAAAAGAGTATGAAATAGTGGAATAGTGGAATAAGATGAGATGGTGAATATGCAACGAAAAGAAACAATGGTAATAGAGCCAGAAGAGAGAGAGAGAGAGAGAAGAATGGGGTGATTGCCGCGGTCGGGGTTTTCGCTTTTGCTCACTTGATCGCGCCCCGCATGGACGCATGGACGCATGGATCAAGTGGATTGGATTGGATCATGTGGATGGGATTCGTATTAGGGTTAGGGATTGGGGATTAGAATCGATACCTCTGAATGCGATGCCAACTGGTGGGATTGCACCGACGAACATAGTTGACCTTGTTGGCTTTATCAAGCGCATTGGGATGGGTTGCGATTCGAGTTGTCATGCTAGTCCACTGAGATTGCATTGGGACACTGACTAATACATTCGACCCCTTTTTTGTTTCTGACTTGCTGAATGTTATTTCGGTGGTTGGTAGCTGCGCTGCGACGGCTGCAAGGCCCTCTTCCTCGCGTTCGACGCCGGCTTCAAGGCAAACCTCACCACCGACGCCATCGTCAAGATTGCCATCGACATTTGCGTCGATTTCAAGATTGAAGATTACAATGTGGTATGCTTTGACATGAACAATCCATCCGAAATGAGCAAACAACAAACTCCTCACACGCCTGCCAATTTGGTCGACATTCTTAGTGCTCCCTGATCGTCCCGCTGTTCGCCCCCGAAGTGCTGGGCGTCATCTCGCGCACCGTCCTTGGCCCGGAAGAAGCTTGCGTCACCATCGGCGAGTGCACTGGCGATGTTCCGTACCCCTGGCTCACCTGGAACGTCACTCTGCCCAACATCCCCAAGCCCCCGACGCCAATCCCGCCGACTCCTCCGAGCCCCTCGTCTCCCCGTCGCCGCGTTCTGCACGTGTCCGATCTGCACATTGACCTCGAGTACACTGTAAGATCGCCATGTCTCGAACATTTTTTGTTTTTGGTTGGGTTTTTTGTTTGTTTTTTTGTTTGTTTGTTTGTTTGTTTTTTTGGCCTGGCCTCACGTTCTGTGTGACGTCTGCAGCCTGGTCTCGACACCCAATGCGGCGAGCCCCTCTGCTGCCGCCCTCCCAACAAGGTCGGCGTCTACCCCAACATTGCTGGTCTGTGGGGTGACTACCAGTGTGGTAAGGCCGTCGTTCTTTTTCTTCTTCTTCTGCTTCTTCTTCTCTTTCTTTCTTTGAATTCAACCACGCTCATCTTTGCCACTCACACTCCCAATATCATCAAAACCCCCTTCTTCCAGATATGCCCTATCGCACCGTCGAAGCCATGTTCCGCTCGATCGCGCAGTCCTCGCCCAAGATTGACTACGTGTTCATGACTGGCGACATTCCTGCGCACAACGTCTGGAACCAGTCGCGCGACGATCAGCTCACATCGCTGCACACGGCTTGCAACCTGATGCGCACCACCCTTCCTGGCATCACCGTCTACCCGACGGTCGGCAACCACGAGAGCTCGCCCGTCAACTCCTTCCCGCCTCCGTACATTAAGGGCGAGCAGAGCAACCAGTGGCTGCTCGACGCCTTTGCCACCGAGTGGGCGACCTGGCTGCCCGCATCGACGATGGACACCATCCGCTATGGCGGCTACTACCAGGTCGAGATTGAGCCCGGTCTCCGTCTCGCTTCGCTCAACATGAACTTTTGCAACAATGGCAACTACTGGCTCTTTGTCAACGAGACCGACCCGGCCGGCCAGCTCCAGTGGCTGATCAACGTCCTCCAGACTGCCGAGACTGCCAACGAGAAGGTGTACATTATCGGCCACATTGCCCCCGGCTCTTGCACCAAGACCTACTCGTTCAACTACTACAAGATTGTCGACCGCTACGAGAGCACGATTGCCGGCCAATTCTTTGGCCACTCGCACCACGACGAGTTTGAAATCTTCTTTGACGAGGCGACGCTCTCGCGCTCCACCGGCATGGTGTACATTGGCGGCTCCGTCACAACCTACACTGGCATCAACCCGAACTACCGCATTTACGACGTCGACGGCGGCAGCACCAAGGCGGTTGTTGACAGCTACACGTACTACCTCAACCTGACACAAGCCAACCTGAACGGCTCCAGCGACCCCGTCTGGCAGTTTGAGTACTCTGCTCGCGACGCGTACAACATGACCAACCTCTTCGGCCCCGACTGGTACGACTTTGTTCTGCGCATGAACACGGACAACAACCTGCTCAATCTGTACAACTACTACAACGTCAAGTCGGCCTACCAGCCCTCCTGCGATGACAACTGCAAGGCCAGCACGCTCTGCAGTCTCGTCCAAGCCCGTCCGGACAGCAGCCTCTGCAAGAACGTGACTCCTGCCGACATGCTGTCGCACCGCCGCTCCCGTGAGCGGTGCTGAAGCATGTTGTTGGTTGATTTGTTGTTTGTTGTTTTTTTAAAGTGTGTGTGTGTGTGTGTGTGTGTGTGTGTGTGTGTGCGTGGCTTTGCGAATTGCGCTTTGTCAAGTGCAGCACGACGTTTGATTTCGATTTTTACTGTATGACAAGTTGTCGATCAACGCGTCGATCTTTGATTTGTAAAATTGAACTGAATCTCAAAAAAGTCGGTTTGAAAAAAATGCAGTTTGTCTTCAAGGCGTTGTTTCACTCTTTTTTTGACCTTAGAATCGTAGAATGAAGATTGCCGTTGTTGGTTGCGGACATGGCGAGCTGGAGCGCATGTACGAGACGATTGCTCACATGGAGCACGAGCGGAGCATCTCGATCGACCTGCTGATTGTCTGCGGCGACTTTCAAGTAACGTGTCCTCTTGAGCATAGTGTTGACCATTGTGGAAGGAGTGGAAGTGAGTTGGCGGGAAGGGGGGAAGGATTGGTGCGATTGGATTGAGTAACTCAACAGAGCTGCTTCCTGGGGGGGGGACTTCCACTGGGCCGCCACTCCATAACGCACCACATTCAACACTCACCCACTTGCCAATGAATATTGATCCAACCCCCACAGGCTGTCAGGAACGAGCGCGACCTCGACTTTATGGCCTGCCCGCCAAAGTACCGCGAGCTGCGGACCTTCCACCGCTTCTACTCTGGCGCTGCTGTGGCGCCCGTGCTGACGCTGGTCATCGGAGGCAACCACGAGGCGTCCAACCACATGTGGGAGCTCCCCTTGGGCGGCTGGGTCGCGCCAAACATTTACTACCTCGGCTACGCGGGCGTCGTGCGCGTCGGTGGACTCCGCATTGGAGGCCTGTCAGGCATCTTCAAGGACAACGACTTTATGCGTGGACATCACGAGAGGCCATTCCATGTGGCCGACGAAGGCATGGTCCGAAGCTTTTACCACGTCCGCGAGATGGACGTGTTTCGGCTGATGCATCTCGGTCGCAGTCAGGTGAGTAAGGCTTGATTTCTGAGAAAGTTCCATTTTGGCTGGGGGGGGGGACAACAAAAACATACATTGAGAACAATTGAGAGCAAACCTGGCGTTGGTGCTTTGCTCTGAGATCGATAAACACAGAAGAATCCACTCACTTACCAAACTTTGGCCAAAAACAAAAAAACTTCTGCAGGATGAGCGTCCGATTGACGTGTTTCTGAGCCACGATTGGCCGCAAGGGATTGCCAACTATGGCAACGTGCGGCGACTGCTGCAGGAAAAGGCGTTCCTGCGACAAGAAGTCGAGGAAAACACGCTCGGCAGCGGGCCCGCCGATGTCCTGCTACACGCCGTCAAGCCCCTGTTCTGGTTTTCCGCACACCTCCACGTAAAGTTTGCCGCCATGGTTCCACATCCGCCCACACCGCCTGGTCCCGGCCAGGTACGAAGCCGTGTTTGTTGGCTTGTGTTGGTTTGTGTGGCGCTTGCTGCCGCGTTTCTGACCATTCTCGTTCACTTGCCTGTCCTGCGTTCTTTCGCTTTGACACACATTCTCGGACCACAATGACAGGCTCCAGACGCAGCTTCGGCAGCCCCTCGAGCAACTCGATTCCTCGCTTTGGACAAGTGCTTGCCCGGCCGACATTTCATCCAAGTGGTGGATGTTCCTGCGCCGGCAGATGGGACCGGCACTGTTGCATTCGAGTACGATCCGGAATGGCAGGCCATTTTGATTGCAACGCATCAGTTTATGAACTACTGGTCACGGCAACCGATTACCATGCCACCACTTCCGCTGCAAGAGTCTGTCATTGCTCTCGAGTTGGCCAAGCTGCGCGCGCGGACAAGTGACTGGGCAATTCCATCCAACTTTGTCCCGACTACACCCACGCAAGAGGAGTTCCAGCGGGGAGCAACACCAGGCACCTCCAAGTTTGAGACGCTCAACAATGTGACGATCAATCCGCAGACCGCTCTGCTTTGTGCCAAACTGGAGATTCCCAACCCGTGCGCCCAAAGCATTCTTGGGCGACGCGATGTTGGCCCCCTGCCCCAAACAGCCCCAGTAGCAAGTGTCGTGCACAATCCGGACGAGATTTCACTGGACGATGAGGACGCCGCCGCGGACGGCGCCCAGTCCGGCAGTAGCGTTGTGAACAATCCCGACGAAATCAACCTTGACGACGATGTGATGGAAGATGAGTCGCATGGTGACGATGACACTGTCCACGACGATGCACCAGTCAGCGAAGCAATCTCTGGGCCCAGCAACCCAGCCGAAATTTCGCTAGACGACGAGTAACACGGCGTTCAGCGCCCTTTTTTTTCTTCTTCTTTCACATCAAATAAGCTGTTGTTTCATCCATTTCAGTCAGAAATAAATTATCTACTATAACAATTGAGCAATGAATCGATACATCGGGGTCAAAGAGCGTTGCCATCGGTAGCCCACCAGCTGTCGTGGGTGCCGCCAGCGATTCGGTGACGAAGAGCTTGGAAATTCACCGGGCGCGAACTCGAGCGGCCATAGGCATCGTCAGGCGCCGATATCAGCTCTGGAAACGTGAGCGTCGTGTCGCGCACGCTGACAAGCGGAGCAATGCTGGGGCGCCCGTGAGCGCACTGAAACGGCAGGGTACAGTCTGACAACGTGTTCACAAGGGACTTGCACTGGTCGATGGACAGCGTGTCACCAAATTTGATGGCGCCTACCGCAACGATCGCAATGGTTTGTTTTTTCATTCAACATGAGTTTCAAAACGATTCTCGCCATCCACGCGAAATCTCGCCACTTACCATGACACGCCTTGGATGCCAACGCACTGGAAATGGTCAATGGCAAATCGTAGGCACCACCGCCAGTGTGGCACTGCTGATCGATGCGTGACCGAACAAGTGTTGAAATAAGACCGTGCAAGATGGCCGCTTGGGTCAGGCTGGACACGGTTTGTGCCACATCATCGGCACCGCCCACGAGTGCTCGCGCTTGCTTTTCGAGCTGGAAACGAGACACGTGTTGTCCGCTGATGTACTCTGCTCGAGATGCTTCAAGCATAATGGGAGGCACGGCATCAATCATGACGGCGCACTCGGCATTGTCCTCCAGCGCATTGACGTTGGAGCCAATCCGAAAGCGAATGCCGCATGCTTCAAGGTTGTCGCGGAATGGCTCGAGCAGACGCGCCTGTTTGTTTTTTTTTTTTTGCAGAGAAAGTGAGGGCAATAGTGGTGAGAGAGGAATTGCCTCTTTTCGTGTAAAACATTTTGTGAGCCAGCTTTGACTCTTACCTCCGCCACTGTCATTGCCAGCCTCAGCGGATCTTTCAGGGTCTCGGATTTTAGAACTTGTGAACTACCAGTGCCTTGGTCATTGGACTGGTACACTTCTCGAGTAAAGCGCTCGAGCCGGATGCGTTCGTGCGCTGCGTGCTGATCAACACAAAAAATCAAATCATTGCCATCATCGCTCAAGGCGGAAGGTTGGTCGTCACCAGGAGCCAGCACCACAACAAACTGTCGCTCAACCTGTGATAGCACAGACAGTTGGCCGAAGAGCTCTTTGCGGAAGTGCATGCTTCGGGATGCGTCTTTACGCTGAGTGCGCAATGCCTCGTTGGATGCCGCGCGAGCATCCATCGGACGAGCCTGTCGTGAAGGGAAGACTGGATTTTGCCATCTGGCCATGAGTGAGCGGAAGGAAGGTCCCGAAGAAGCCACAGATAGCACTGGGTTGGAGTTTGGGAGAGCCATAGCTGCGAGCAACGCGTCATCCGCCTCCGCGCTGCTGAACTCGTCGTCGTGAGCAGTCGGGTCATCAGCGGGCCGCTCAAGGTTGTTGTGCGACCGAAGCTTGCTCGAAATTGTAAACATCACCTCGTCACTTTCCTGCTGTTTCGGCGAGGTAGGGTTTGCATCCGGCTCGAGCACATCGGGGACTGGACGTGTGACAAAGCTAGCAGGAACACCAAGGTCTTCTACTGGCTGCAAAGATGACGCGGATGCAGGACGCACGTGAAAATCATCCTCATCGTCGTTTGGGAAGGCGTGATCGCAACCAGAGTGAGCGTGATCGAGAGCTGCAGCTGCAGGGGATTGCGCACTGGTATTCAGTCGTGCCAAGTCGTGAGTAGCGCCACCTGCAGTCGCATTCCGGTTATACATGAACTGATGCAGAACAGGCGCAATCGACACGACAGGATTCTCGGCGTGGTGATCCGCCCGCTGTCGCTGAGATGCGGTTGGATACGATGGTGGCGCGGCTCTGTCAAACCGTTCTTGCCGACGCTGCTCCTGCTGGGCGCTCAGAGGGATTGGAGCAATCGATGGCAATTCAATGGCATTGCGGAGCACAAGGTCTTGGCGGTGTTGACGGGACCGCTCAGCAGGTGTCAGCCAGCTACCTCCTCCGCCCAATGGACCTACACCCTGGACCACAGTGCTATCTGCCAAACTTGACGCGTCGGTTAGGCTCATCACGGACGACACGGGCGTCATGGATTCGCTTTGGCGGTGCCTAATTTGGCAGGCAAAGTCAAAGTCTCGGATTTGGTTGAGTTCGGCTTCGTTCCAATCCACAGACGTTGCTGCCGCCAACAGTGAGCCAGAAGAGTACAAGGTCGGCGCTCGCACAGGAGGATGTCTGTCGACACCGGTCAAAGCGGTCACTTCTGCAATAATGTCGCTGTCGTCTTCGTCATCGTCGTCCTGCAGCGTGGAGGAGGGTACCGGGCGATCTACTTGAGGAGCAGTGCGTGTCTGAAAATAGCGCGACCGGGACTGACTCTCATCGGCAGCCGAGTCCTCGGTTGCAAGTCTCGGGCGTTTTGGAACGGCATCACATTCGTCGACCTCGACAGCAGAATTCGCCGACTCCCGGGCTCGTGCACGTCGCACCACCTCAGAACTCACCAGCCCACCTGGCTGAAAGGACGCAAACGTCGGCGGCTCCGAGAGCGTGGCCGCAAGCAAATCAGTTGCGACAGCCACCGTGGAGGGATGGAACTGGAGGGCAGTGCGGATGGCTTGCTCGACAAGGGCCAGAGGTGTCTCCCAATCGGCAAATTCAACCAGGGTCTTGGCCGGATCAAACGTAATGTCGTACAGCCCGGGAGGACAGGTCATGTTCAGTACCCAGGCGCACGAAGCCTTGTCAAAGGACCGGGAATTGTTGCTCGCGTGCATGTCGCGCCCAACCGGCAAGGTTTGGCTGACAAATCGCGGGCCGCGAGTGCCCTGCCATTGTCGCATGAGCTGGTTCACAAGCTTGTGAAAGCGGGTATGAAGGACGCGGCGACGGTTGATGAAAAAGAACTGCATTGACTTGGCGCCTGGTTGCGGCTCGGTGCACAGAAAACCCCGCAGGGAGTAGTCCACAACAGTGACCGAACGCACCAAAATGGATGATTCTGGAGCTGCTGCTGCTAACGTCTCTGACACGGCGGCTTGGGGTTGATTGAGGGCGGATCGAGTTGTCAGATTGGAAAACTCGCACGACAAGCTCATGTCGACATTCTCGGTGACACCAACGCGCTCCACGCCAAACAAGAGCTTGAAGACGCTGAGCGCAGAGGTCAGTCGCCGAGTCGTGAGCACCCGTCGGGCATTGTGATCGTCGTGAACGCTGAGAGCAACGCCTGGATTGGCAAGCGCGATCGCTTCGACTGCTCGGCGAGCATGCTCCAGCGTCAGGACGGGGTTGGCGAGCATGACTCCCTGCCGCACAGGCATCGTGGCAAAGAGGCCGTGAACTGTGACAATCGTGCCTGCAGTGACTCGTTTGACAGCCGAAACGCCGACGTGATATTGCGGCAGCGGTTTCTCATGCTCGGAGGAGCGTTGTGTCGCCGGATTGCGATTCTCACTCGGAGTCGGACGCAATAACTTGAAGTACGTTTCGCTTGATTGCCCGGCATTGTCATTGTCAACGCGAGTGACAATCTCGACCAGGGTGGACATGTCTGCCACGGACGCGAGCGCCTCGCCACGAAACCCATAATACGACAGCGTCTGCATGAGATCAGCGTCGTCCTCGATCGCCACCACGCCGCCAGCAGCACTGGAGACAGAACCAGCAGCAAACTTGCTTGTGGCGTGTCGCTCTCCAACGCGAGCCAGATCACGAAGCGCAATGCCGGCGCCGTTGTCCAGCACGCGCAGTCGGCACAGCTGCAGATCGACATGCACATCGACCGCCGTCGCGCCTGCATCGATGCCTGTGGTGCAACACGGAACAAGGTCAGTCTCTTCAGATTGAAGCGTTGGTCTCAGATTGCAGAGTTGGTCTCAGATTGAAGAGTTGGTCTCAGATTGAAGAGTTGGTCTCAGATTAAAGAGCTGGTCTCGGCATCAGACCGACTCTGCGGGACGACACGTCACTGCATCGAAGGAACAGAAAGGGGGGACAAGCACAAGCACCGCATAGTACTCAACTATTCAGAACGAGCTCCTCGACGCAGGCAGCGAGCGACGGGATGGAGACGCCCGAGCGGAGCATTGCCACAGTGTGACGGTCGACCCGGCGCACAATGGACGCGCGTCGACTGGCAGGCTCATCGGGCATCCCAGCAGCAGTAGCACCGGTAGGGGAAGGGGAGCGTGTACTTGATATTGGATATTGCGAGTGGAGGAGTAGTGGAAGTAAGGGTTTAATGAAAACACGACTGAGACAAAAGTAACCATATTGGTACTGAGCTTAGAAAACAACAACAACGCGCACAACAACGCGCACAACAAGACAACAAAAACAAAATCGTACATCAAACGCACGAGCGCAGCAGATTACAACTCGTGAAGCACAAACGTCGAGATCAGATAGCCCACACCAAGCACACTCAACAAGGCCGCCCACCGCAGGAGCATGAGCTCGCGAGCAGTCACAGCGGCCGCGTCGGACTTGCCGGCAGCTTCTGGAAGCAAGAGCGTCGACAAGACGACAGTCAGGTGGAACAGCCGGTACGACAGGTAGAGGTAAATGCTGCCCACAAGCATAAAGTTCAACATCGGGTAACCAGGGAGGAGGATGATGATGCGTGTGGCGTCGTATTGCATCAGGATGTGAAACTGGGCAATGTACGTTTCCAGTGTCACCGAGCCAATCCACGCAAACAGACCGATGAAACGGCGTCGAAGTGGCGCCCACAGGTTGCGGAAGAGCAAGAAGAGCAGAATTGGAAGGGGTGAAGTGTACGGGTGCACTCGCTGGTAGTCTGACTCTGGCAAGACGCCCCAGATCGAGTACCACAGGGCCAACCCGCCCACGACAACCGCCATCAGTACGATTTTGATCACCAAACGAACCGTGTTGGTCCGAGAGCGCGATGCGTCGCGCAACGTCTGTACCACCGATGAGGGAAGAGCAAACTCGAGCAGGTTCCACCAAAGCGTGGCCAACAGGAAACGTGTCGAGCGAGGTCTGGCGTCGTCGAACGAAACCTCAAAGTCGGGTCGGGGAGTCGCAGCAGAAGCCGGGCCGAGCAACGGCTCAATGTCAGCGGTGCCGTTCGCAGTGTGGCGTTGGTGAACATCCGCATTGAAGGCATTACTGGACAGGACCTCACCAGCGCCGCCGCCGCCGCCGTTGGCAGCGACAAAAGTGGGTCCGGACTTTTGCGCGTCCGCGACAGCAGCAGGCCGGGCTGAGGCGCTGCCTTCTTCGAGCCAAACCAAAAAGCGCTGAAGGGTCGGGTGGAAGTAGGCAAAGAGCATGCCCACAGGTGCGGCAAAGTGGTCCAACCCGCTGCGAATCATCCATTCCTTGAGCGTGCCATCCGACTCGGACAGGATGAACTTGAAGGGCCAGAAGACAACGTTTCCAACAATGGCCGAGACGCTCCGGCTGGTCACTGATTTCGGCTGCTCTTCGTCGGACAAGGGCCAGTCCCAGATCAAAAAGGCCAAGCCAAAGAGGACGGTAAACATGGTGCCCATGACCAAGCGGTTGTTGTAGTGCGACTTGCAGGCAAACATGCACAGATAGATGACGAGGAACCAGAAGGTGTGCATCGGGCAAATGTAGTACAGCACATAGCGGTTGTTGGTGGTGACCATCACGAGCAGCACCAAAAAGTTGAGGCGGAAGAGCATCTTGACGAGGCGGAAAACGCTAAAGTCTTTCTTGGTCCAAAAGTAGGAAAAGTTGCCTACAAATCAGGACCATGTTGTCGGGGGAAAAACATGCCAAAGGGAGGAGGAGAAGAAGTAGTGAGAGACAAGCGTAGCAATGAACAACAACGCAAAAGTCATCCGTCCTTTCCTCCCACTCTCTCATTCATTCTCGGACAGTCCCACCCGGTATACAAGCAAAAGGGAAGAAGAGCAAAAACGTACCAAATCCAGTCAGGAAGACATAGGCAGCGACAAAAACGCGAATCTCATTGTAAATCTCGCGCGCCTTGAAAAAGTGGTAGAGCACAAACATGCATTGCATCCAGCCCTTCCACTCGTCGCTTTGATCGCGATTGAGAATGACAGGCTTTCCGGGCGCATAGATGTCGGACGCTCGCGCTGCAGCGGGAGCAGGGGCTGGGGCGACGGCAGTGTGGTGCGGAAGCAGGCCGTCGGCGCCAGGACGGTTTGCGCCGTGAAGCGCAGCAGCTTCGGCAGCAGCGCGGATTTTCTCGTTGGTGGACTGGCCGCCAATGACCTTGACGGAGACCAGCAGCCCAACCAGCAGTGCGAGCACGACGATCGAAGCGTACACGTCGCGATTGTACGAGCGGAGGCCTACGTCCCAGATGTGATCCATGTCGCACACGTAAAAGTAGAGCATGATTGCGCCAAACTGGACCACAGCCTGCAGCAACTGAACGGACTCCTGCAGGGTGGCTGTGGAGACTTGCCAGAGTCGAAGATGGCGAGGCGATCGGCTTGTTCCGCTTCAAGACAAACAAAAACACACAAAGACAAAAAGAGTCAATCATCAGTGATCAATCAAGCAGACCAACACCACGACAATACGATCAAAACAGATTCTCGAGTTTTCTTGTTTTTTTGTTTTGCATTTTGTTTTGTGTTTTGATGTTTGTCTGAGCAACAAACCATTTTTGGTGATTTTCGCTGCGTTGGTTGCCAACCACGAGCAGCCGTGAACTCACTCTGAAGGGCAGCACATCCAGGTCCAGAGGGAGCGGCCCTTGACGAGCAGCCAGGCAGCGACGCAGACGAGCCACAGCATGAAGAAGGCGAGCTGGTGGATGGTGAGCTTGGTGTCGTCCGCGGACTGGAACCCGGCCAGGCCCTGTGCAGGTGGCTCGGCGAAGGGCGGCAGAAGCGCAGGCAGGGGTGCCAGTGGTCCCGTCCCCGCGCCGCTCATGGTGCCCGTCCTTTGGTGTTGCGTTAAAAGAATGAAAGTGGGGAAGTGCCGCTTGGAATGAGTGAGTGAGTGAGGGGGAGGGGGGTGGGGGAAGCGAACGACGACCGAGGTGACGAACGAAGCCCACGCGAACGAACTGGAACTGGGACTGGGGTTCGATCTGTATGGAGATCTGTATGGAGAGACAGTCTTGCTGCGTTCTCCCCTCTCGTCAGAGACTGTTGAATGGATAAACTGCTTGTGAATTGTCTCAACAGCAATCTCTGTGGGTGCAACTCTCCAAATGAGTGCTTTGTTGTTTCACTTTGCTCTCTCTACTCAAAGATCGAATCAAACCTCACACCAATACATTGGCCCAGGACATCTAACAACTAGCGCTGCATTGTATTTGTTGATGCCATTTCATTCTCAGTCCTCGTTCCCCCCGCTTGCTCTACATCTCCAATGCCTCTCGTTGGTCGTTCTGTCACGCTGCTCGCTACAACGCTGGTCGCGGTCTTCATCGCGACTGCCCTCGCTCGTCCGCTGCCATCGTCGTAAGCAAAGTCCCCCCTGGATCTTTTGCCATGATGTTGCTTGCGATTGGGGAGGTCTTTGCCATTTGGTTGGGACCGATGCCTACGGGCTGCCGTTTGAAAGCGGCGCTGTCGGTGTTGCGCAGGTGTCACCATTCTCATCAACACACGACGGCTGGAACACCAGTGACCATTGCGCCATCCATACTTACCAACCCCACTTGCAATGTGCAACAGGATGGTGCAAGACGTGCGCGTGGTGCTGGACACGGGCGCAGTGCCGACCTCGCTGCCAACTGGCGGAGTTGTCTGGCTCGAGCAGACACTGGCCATCCGCTTCACTGTGCCCAACACGACCATCGCCACATCCAAGGGTGGTGAGATTGATGGTCTCTCAGCAGCTGCGGGGTTGGTTCAGTTCGATTCGTTCGACTTTATCATCGACCCCAGCCGCCTGGTTGCTGGCGGAAATAACCTGACCATCACGCTCTGCCCGGAAGCCCACGGTCAAGTGCCAGCGGAGACCAGCCTGTGCTTGGAAAATGCTACATTCACGCTGCCAATCACATCGACCCGAATCAATGGCTCGTACGTCTCGACACACAACTCCCAGCTGGTTGCGGGCTCAAACTACTGGCTCGTCGTGGCTGGAAACGCCGCCAAGCTCGATTACTCGTTCTCCTGGCTCGACAGCACCAACGGCACTGCTTGGACTGCATTCCGCGTCAAGAGCAAGGCCTGGGTTTCTGAAGATACGACGAACGGTGCTTCGACAGCACTTGTTCGTGTGCGAATGTGATTCTGTTTGTTGATGCTGTTCAGTTTGACTCCGAGCATTTTGTTCAGCAGACGACGGGAATTTCGGGTTTTGAAACTCTGTTGCGAGCGTTGTCGAGTCTGACGCCGACCTGCAGACAGGACATTTGTCTCCTTTGCAGTGCGCGACTCGAGCGTTTGTGTTCGCGTGTTTCCGTTGTCCCGCTTTTCTCGGCCAATAAACCCATTGTTGATTGATGCGATGTATAGCTGCAAGTCGATCTGAAGTGAGCGAGCGCCTTCGCGTGCGTTGGAGCCGACCACCCAAACACAGGTCAGACTCGGGCGAGGCGACCATCGCCCATCAAGGCCCAGCGATCTTTCCCTCGCATGTGGTAGAGCCCATAGTCGAGTCTGACCAGCAAATGAAGGTTGTGGGTGCCTTGTGAAGGAGAATTTAGTGTCTTCAAGTTCACTTTGGATGTTTTTTGAAGGTTTTGCTTGCATATTTGGCATCAATCAACCGACGCTACTTGATCAATAGCTCTAGAAATACTATTCGTATGATTTGGAGTTGTATGGGTTGGATGAAATCGACTCTGGGCGACGGAAAAATTTGCAAACTGTGCTCGTCAGAGTCGAGTCAAAGTCCAATTGGATTACCCTTTTTTTTGAAGAGCGCCCGTTTGCTGCTTTCGTACGTCTCTGGGAACAAATCACGACCCAGCCCCATTCAGCATCAAGGCATAGCATCATATACAACTTGTCATTGATGCTCAACTTGTTTTCCAAACTCTCTCAGTCAACGACAGTCTCCAAAAAGCAATCACCAACATTGGACGATTTCTCTGTGCCAGGGGAGAGTTCGATTCTACCCCTCGATGCACTGTTCGACTGATGTTAAAGCACAAACCCCTTAAGGGAAAAGCTTCGGGGTTCTGTTCTCGCGAAAATCACCAAAATTCAAACAACTCTCCACTGATTTCTCACTGATATTTCATACTCGCTCCAAAAACCAATCCAAAAAGCGATGTAAATTCGATTGTTTGATCATTCAAAGGACAGTATGTGGAGGGGTAGACCTGCTTTATGAACTACTGATCCTCTTCCAGGTCACCCAGCAACGACGCGATTGCGAAAGCCGGACAAAAGAGCACATCCTCGCCTTGCCTTCCAAACAACAGCCCCATCACAACCTCTGCCTCTTCTGTGACGAGGTTGAGAGTAGATCCGCAGTCTCCCTCATTGGCAACAATGTTTTGAACGACCAGAAGTCGGACGAAACAACGCTGGTTCTTCAGGTTGAGCGGATAAGCACAAAGCTGAAACTCGACCGGAAATGACAGGTTCGGGCTCTTGCGCCAAATAACCCGACCCTGAGCGCCACAAGTGAGCTGGGCTTCGGAAGCTGCACAAAGAGAGTTGCGCAAAGTGAGTTGCAAGTCAATCCGGTGACAATACTGACCAATCGGACTGGAGTTCACAGTAAACGGACGTTCTCCAATCTTCGAGAAGCTGACGTCAACCCAGCAGTTTTCGTATGGATTGATATAGTAGCCTGGAACGCCAGCCAATGCGGTCTCGGTGTCGGCGAGATCTGGATGCCGTGCCGTTTGTTTGCAGGGCGGACACAAACAATACACGGTCACAGCAGTGTCTCCAACTGTCTCTCGGATCGTTCGCAACGCATGACCAATAGATATGATTGTACCATCAATGCACCAGCTGAGAAGTGCAATCCTGCCTTTTCGCATTCCGGACGCGTGGAAATGGAGGGGCATGGATTGCACTAGGGTAGTGGTTGTGCACGGTGTGTCGTGTCCATTCTGCCGGGAGTACCGGCTTGTTACGGCTGCATCAAGTGAGACGCCAGCACTCAGATCCCAGTTCTTGATACGGTTCCATCAGTTCTTTCATACGGATGCATCGTCTCATCGGTATTTCCGCTAAGGAGCTCCAAGACTCCAGCCGGCGCCGACTTCGTAAACTCTAGCTCGGGGAAGTCGGAAAGCTGGTCGGTGACCTCCTTGATAGATGGCGGCGATGCATCAGTGCTGAAGGCGAGCAAGACTCGAGCCGGCTGGTCATCCTTGGCCGGAATCCACTCCAAGCGCGACACGAGCTCGGTGTGAGGCTTGAGCAACTGCTCGACCGGCTTGAAGACCTTGTTGTACAGAGGCTGCGAATATGGTCCAACAGAGGCCGGGGAATGGTCGTGAGTGATGAAACAGGCGCCAAAAAACCAGTTAAGTTCTGTTCTGCCTTCAACTCACATCAGGTTCTTCAAGCTTCATCTTGCTCAGCTGCTTGGCGAGCGTGTCGAGACCCTCGCCAGCTGACACTCGCGTGAGCCGACTGACGGCTGCACTCATCCTGGTCGTTACGGGAAGGTCGCAAGGGCGCAGCAATACGAGCGGGTTGTGCTTGGTGCCTCCGTTGCCTCCCACGACCGAACACTGGCGAGTACCGTCGCACAGTACCACGTCACCGCTCGTCACCTGCTCGCCGGTGCGGTACAGGTAGCGATAGGACGAGGGCGTTCCAGTCGGAGTGCGAAACGGTTTTTGATCTGTTGCATCATTTGACATGGTTGTTTCAAGTTGACGGAAGTAGATAATGTGAAGTGAAAGCCCTTCCCTTTTTCCAATCCCTCCCCTCACTCATTTCCCGACCTCCTCATCACCTCCCCTTGCTCCAGTGAGCTCAAATAAACACTAAGTTTCAGTAGGAGTCATCCGCGGGTCAGGCATTTTTTCAACGTGAGGTTGGTTTGGTTGGGCAGTTGACCAAAAACGACCAACCCAGACAACAAAAACTCGAGCACCCTCGTTCAACGACGCCAGACTTCCCATTACTCCCCCTTGTCAACAATCAGTTTGAACGCAGTTTTCAAAAGGGCGGGGGCGAAAGAGCCACCAGAGCAACCACAATGGAAAATTTTTTTCTGAATTTCGGAACAACCGAATTTTTTTCTGAATTTCGGAGCAACCGAATTTGTTTTCAAAAATTCGGTGTTTGTCAACTTGCGAATTACAATATTCACACGTATTCAAATGCCATGGAATCATGATGAAGTGCTTTGGAGTTGGAAGCAGCTCTGGGAATGGCCAACTTGGTGCCGTTCCCGACTCCTGTCAGCGGGCAGACAGCGCTTGCGATGGCGACGCCTGTCTGTAGCGTCAGCCATACTTGTAACCAGTCATGGATCCGCTTCAACGGCGGCTGCGCACTGGGTGCAGATACAGCCACGCCAATCTTGAGACGTAAAAACAGAAGTGAGCTCAAATCGGTCACTTCCCTTAGTTGTACCGCTGGTAGTCTTCCGGCACTCGGTCCTCGCTGCACACCAATGCGTGTCAAAAATCATTTAAATGTAATACAAGTGAGCGCTGACGTCAAGCGTGCGGTGTGCGCTGAAAATCGAGCGTTGATCGGTTGTAGCGTTGTTTGTCGCGATGGGTGTCGCTTCCGCGAGCTTGATACCGGCCTGCGATAAAAATTGTGAAGGGTGGTGATGAGAGTATTCATTGTCGGGTAGTTCTACTCAAAGAATGTCGCAGCAGTTCCAGTCCAGTGGTAGTAGCACCATGGAAACCTAGCGTAGCGTTCAAAGAACGCCTGCGGCATTTTCGCGAATGTTCGAACACGAATTCTCATCATTATCGAGAACTACAACTGTCCAACACAAGCATGCATACTTGTTACAATTATACACATCATAATTGATCATGAGCTGCGAGGTAGAGAGCCGTAGGACGACCAAAAGGCCGTTCCAAAGTTGCCGGTAAACTTTACGAGCGAATTTCCAGCTCCTGCTTGCCGCAATCAACCAGCCGATTGGCACATTATATTCTAGAGATTAATTATGTGATTGTCAGACTGACGGGACGTCAAAAAGTCTTGTGACGTTTCACATTTAGGCACTGATGCATCAAGTAGCGTTTTGCCCAACCGGACAACAGTTGAGCCGTCACTGTGCATCTTTCGCACCTGACGAGGTTCGATTCCCTGCTTTTGCTCTTTTTGCCTTTTTTTTTTTTTTTTTTGACGATGGAAAAAGCAATGCACTCAAACAAAAAAAATAAAAGAAAAAAGAAAAAAAAAAAAATTATTTTATTTTTTTATTTTTTATTTTTTATTTTTTATTTTTATTTATTTTATTTTATTTTATTTTCTGCACCACAGTCTTTGTATTTTTATTTATTTACTTTTATTTTATTATTTCATTGCAAAAAGCATTGTATTTTTTCTTTCTTTTGAATTGCAAATGTCGAATCAGCACCAACAGATTTCGAGCGAATCGTATCTCTTCGCATTGCGGGAATGTAAGTAATGACCAATTACAATCGTTCTCCTCCTGAGAGAGCAATTCTTTCAACACACATCAGAAAGAACAAAGAACACGCATGGTGAAAGAAAAAAAAAAAAAAGAAGAAAGCAAAAAGCGCGCGAAAACGAACTTTCAGTTTGCTCTCGGTCCTGCAGATCAGCAGCCGTTCGCCGGAGCGCGCTGCCGCCAAGCATATTGTAATTGTCATGGCTTCCTTGACGGAATTGCGTCGCGATTGGCGTGAATTCGGGGAACGCGGACGCTGGGGAGGGTGAAAAGGGATTTTGATAGTAAAAGCGCGGGAAACACACTGTTCTTGAGCTGGTGAATTTTCAGCAAACGAAAATTCAACTTGGTTAATTTTTTGATTGGGTTGTTTGTTTGGATGTGTGGATCAGATCAACAAGCAAGCCTTGAATTTATTTCAAGACTGTCAGCGGAGAACCATGCACTGAAGTGTGAGATCGATACACTCAAGAAAGATAACACTCAACTGACTGCTCGTATTGGAGGTCTGGAAGCCCTGTGCCGCGAGAAGGATGCAGCGTTTGCAACACTCCAACAGAGGGCCGAAGCACACGCCCCGGTTAAGCTCGTAGGTGACTCAGATGTGTGCAAACAAGGAAGTGTAGCGTTCCTTTACTGATCATCCTTGTCCAAAGGAAATTCCCAAACGAATTCGCTTCAAAATGACAGAAACCGCGCCCCGCACACCAGAGTACAACATGGCGTTAGGACGACCACTCAATCCTGTATTATTCAAAGCAACGAGCGGGGCAAAAGAGGCCAATGCAGCGACAGGACAGGCGATAACACGAAACGAGTGAGCTTGTCCTCACCGTTTGCGTGTCTTTTCGCGGTCTTTCGTGCTTCTTTTCTCGACTTGTAGTATTCTGAGATATTATTATTATTATTATTATGTTCAAACCGATGTGTATTTGTATTTAACAGTACTCACACGTCATAACAACAAAAGTTCGCTGAGTTGCGCCGCTGGTATTGGCGTACGCAGCTCTAGTCAAACTTTTGCAGCCCAGATTTGGTGTCTGGGGTGCTAACAACATTTTGGTCGTCGCAGAGGACGAGGATCATCTTTTGGAGAGTCGAGTCGGGCTCGATTGCGAGTGCGTTGCCCCAGACCCAGTCATTTTTTTTTTTTTTTCGTTTTTCTGCCAAATCAATGGGCGATGATGCAAACGACTTGCTGCTCATGTTCCAGAGCATGGGCACGTCTGATCACGACACGCTCCTGCAGCAGTTCCGGGTACGCCTTTTGCCTCTTGCCCTACTCTGTCCTTTCGCTTCCCCCCGCCCCCCGCGCCCTTCACAGCTGCAGGATTCAAGCGCCGTTTGGTTGCACAAGTTGCAGTCTCACTCTGCCCGATTGCCCTTCCTTCCCCGACTCCCCATCGTGCTCTACCAAACCAAAACTCACATCTACATCCATGCACGCAACAGATCATACTGCCAGACGCCGACGAAGAGTCGTGCCGCTTCTTCCTCGAGGCAAACAACTGGTCGTTGCAGGTTTGTACTGGTTTTCTCAGCAGTTTTTCCATCGTGTTTGCAAAACGATAGTGTTTGACCAACGGGACTGTTTGCTTTGTTTTTGTTTGATTGCGCTGTGTTGGCTTTCGGTTCGGACGGCGTGAGCAGAGCGCCGTAGCGAGCTACTTTGACTCGGCGGGCAGCGGCGTCATCACTCGCCAGCAGCAGAGCGACGCCGAGATGGCCGCCATCGAGCATGGCGCGCAACGCGCATTTCAAGGCATGCACCTTGGCAACGGGTTTGACCACCCCGCGGGCGGCGCGTATCCTCACCACGACGGCGCAGTGATTGACGGCTATCAGGCCCTTCAGCTTCAGCGTGCCTCGGAGAGCTCCGACGACGACGACGAATCTCAATACGAGGACATTCCCGATAGCGAGCTATCCGGAAGTCGGCAGTTTGCCCCCAAGCAGCAGCGTCCAAGACCCGCGCTAACGGTTGTCAGCGAGCAATCTGACGCCACTCAGGTTGCGTTAGCCGGTCAGCCGTTCGTTCGGCAGTGGATTGTTCGGAATTCAGGTGTGTTTGTTCTGTCGAGTGTGTTGGAAGTGGTGCTAAGCTTGAGGCGGGGGGGGGGAGAGCTGTTTGCCACAGTTCAACTCCATTTGTTTTTTTTTTGTTGCATTTTGTTTCAAAATTTTGACAGGCTTGCAGGCGTGGCCACCAAACTGTCAATTAAGATTTGCCTCTGGCGAGCGCATGGAATTTTATGGCGATGCCAGTGGCGATTATGTAGGTTGCGATCGGGTGCAGGTCGTGATGTTTTCACTAACTTTGCTTTGTTGTTTTTTTGGGTCTGTGCAGCTCCCTGTCATTGCGCCAGGGGAAGAAACTGTAGTAACATTGCGTCTAATTGCACCGGCTGTCGCTGGAGAGTATGCCGCTGTTTGGCGAGCAGCCATCATCGACCAGCAGGTGGTGCAAGCTTCGCACGCCGCAATGCACAGCAATCCGTCGCAGGCCGCAGCAGTACACAGTGGTGGCTTTTCGGGATTTGCACAACCTCGCTTCCAGTACCATCCGGGGCAGGCGCCTCTTCAGCAAGCACACACAGAAGAGAGCGGCGGCGGCGCAATGGACGACGGCTCGGGCGGACAGACGATGATGGACCCCGCAACGGAAATTCGGCTACGCGTCAGCATGTTTGGCGAGCCCATGTGGTTGCTCTTGACTGTGCGGGATCCGACGAGCGAGGCCGAGCTACTCGAAGAGCTGGACATGTCTGCGTTGCAATTTGGGAATTCTCAGCATCAGCAGCAGCATCAGCATCAGCATCAGCAGCATTCATGATTTTTGATGCTGTGCAGTTTTTTGATTGCCATTCTCGGAATCTGCCGCTGCTGGAGTGTCTGCTTGTCATGGCTGTTGTCGCTTATCAATGTAGTTTTTTTTTCTTTCTTTTTTTCGAATTCGAGAGTTTTTGCTGCCCCCATCCCAACTGCTGTTCCCTTATCTGTGTTTTCGTTTTGCAGAGTTTGGAATTTGCTTTTTTTTGTTCAAGTCAATGTGCGCAACGAGCCTGACGTCTCCCGTGACCGATTTCGGATAGTGGAGCGAGTGAAATTCGCTCATCTACTGTCATCCACTGCATGCTCTGTTTAATCTGATTCTGTTGCCATGCGTTTGCCATGCTTTTGCCATGCTTTTGCCATGCTGTCTGCTGTGCGAGTCGTTCGTCGTCGTGATGGTGCCATGCAACACGAGTTAGTTGCGTGTCAGTTCAGTTTGAACTTCACACCCACTTTGCATTGTCCTGAATTGTCTCTTTCGATTGCGCTTCCACTCGTCGCTCTGATCCAGCCTCCTGCTCTTGCGCCCCCTCCTTAATGCTCAAGCCTGCCACTTGAGTGAGGCAGGAGAGAGCGCGAGAGAGAGTCACGACACGAGATCGGGCGCGTGGTTTTCTTTGGTTTGAGTCCTTCAGCGTGACTATGATTCGTTCTTCATTGTTTTCTCGCTTCGTCATCGTCATCGGCGCTTCGTCCTCAGCAGTTCTTGCGCTTTTTTCTTCCATCCCTCCTTCGTCTACTTGCACAGTCTGATGTGCATCCCGTGTCTCGTTCATTGCAGGATGCAGGCTCAACTGTGGCCGCATTTTTTATTTGATTTTATTATTATTATTATTTTTTTTTTTTGCTTTAAAAGCCTCTCGCTCAATTAGGAATTGCTTCAGTCTTTTTCTTACTTGGAGCAATGCAAAAGCTTCTTGTCATCACCCTTCTCGCTGCCCTCATCGCCACCGCTGCCGGCGCCAGGTACAGCTCATGATGCACATGATTGCTCTCCCTCTGTGCTTGTGTGTGTGTGTGTGTGTGTGGAGCTGGTCCTCGTTCGATTGTTCTTTGACTAATTTTTTTTTTTTTTTGCTTTTTTGCGTCTTATCAGCATCAAGCTCCGCAAGTTCGAGAGCGCCCGCCGCTCCCTTGCCAACGTCGGCAACTTCATCGAGTCCCGCTACCTCGGTGTCGGTGCCATCGAGCCCCAGCACAACTACCAAGACGTAAGTGCACCCAACCATCAAGCAAAACTCGCGATCTCACTGGATTCTTTTTTTTTCTTTTTTTCTTTTTTTTTCTCCTGTTCGTTTTTCGTTCGCTGCTGCTTTCTCCTTGTTCCACACGCTCTTCATCCCACGCACACTTGATGTGTGTTTGTGTGTGTGTTTGTGTGTCGTACTCTGTCGCCTTCCTCCCCATCGCGCGCTCGTTGTTGTGAACAATTCCATTCAAAAATGGCGGAGCTTAATTTGATAAAAAAAAAAAAAAGCCACACAAGTCATTTGAAAGTCATGTGTTTTTTTCGATTTTTTTTTTTTTTTTTGCTTATTTGCTTTTTTTTTTTGACCTTTTTTTTTTTTCTTCTCGTTGATCTTGATTTTCTTTTTCTTTGTGGTCTTTTTCTCTCGTTCTGCACTTGTTTTGATCAAAGTGCAACGTGAAGGTCACGTCTCACGATCGTCTGTCTCACTTTCACTCACTTGTTTACCATTTTCTTGTGGTTTTCTCCCTTCTTTCCCTCTTCCTCGCAGGCCCAATACTACGGTGACATCACCATCGGCACCCCCGGCCAAAAGTTCACCGTTGTCTTCGACACTGGCTCTGCCAACCTCTGGGTCCCCTCCAAGAAGTGCCCCGTCACCGACATTGCCTGCCAGCTCCACAACAAGTACGACTCGACCAAGTCGTCCACCTACAAGGTCAACGGCACCAGCTTCGCCATCCAGTATGGCTCTGGCAAGCTCTCTGGCTTCCTCTCGACCGACTCTGTTAGCTTTGCCGGCCTGACCGTCACTGGCCAGACCTTCGCTGAGGCCACCGCTGAGCCCGGCCTCTCCTTTGTTGCTGCCAAGTTCGACGGCATCCTCGGCCTCGGCTTCCCCCAGATTGCTGTTGACGGCGTCACCCCCGTCTGGAACAACGCCATCCTCCAGGGCGTTGCCGCTGCTCCCCTTTTCGGCTTCTGGCTCAACCGCGACCCCACTGCCGCCGATGGTGGTGAGATTGACTTTGGCGCCATCGACGACAGCCACTACACTGGCCCCATCCTCTACACCCCCGTCACCCGCCAGGGCTACTGGCAGTTTGCTCTTGGCGCTGTCACCGTCAGCGGCAAGAACTACTGCGCTTCCGGCTGCCAGGCCATCGCTGACTCTGGCACGTCCCTCCTTGTCGGCCCCACCGATGCCGTCACCGCCATCGCTGCCGCTGCTGGTGCCACCAAGAACATTGCTGGCGAGTACACCCTCGACTGCTCCAAGATTGCCTCGCTCCCCAACCTCGTCTTCACCATCTCTGGCCAGCAGTTCGCCCTTACTGGCGCTGACTACGTCCTCAAGATCACCTCCGGCTCCACCACCGAGTGCCTGCTCGGCCTGATGTCGATGGATCTCTCTGCTGAGGGCATCCAGTGGATTCTTGGCGATGTCTTCATTGGCAAGTTCTACACTGTCTTCGACTTCAACGGCAACGCCCCCCGCGTCGGCTTCGCCACTGCCCGTTAAAGCCCTCCCATTATAGTTTAATTGTCTTTGATTTTTGTGTGCATGAACAAAACAATTGTGCCAAGCGCAAAAAATAAGACAGCTTTCTCATGACACGTTTTTTATTGCAGTTGATCATCATTCTACATCATTACACTCAATCATGCATCATATTCTAATACGATAATGCAGACCTGAGCCTTGTTTTGGGTTTGGTGTGTGTGTGTGTGGGGAGAAAACCAAAAGCCTACAACAAGGTGCCAATGTCTCGGATTGTCGACCCAGCAGACAGTTGGCTAAACACCGTATTCAACTCGGCAAAGCTGGGCCGCGCTGCCGGATCAAGGTTCCAACAGCGCTGCACATGCTGGTACACGTCGCTCGAGCAGTGTTCGGGTTGTGCTAGGCGAAGTCCCGCCTCGATCCTTGTCAGCAACTCGTGCCTCTCGACCTCGCTGTAAGGGGATGAGCCATAAGAGAACACTTCCCCTAAAAGTGAAGCACCGAAGCAGCAATCAAACGACAACGCCAGACAGCAAAGCAACAACGCAGAGTGAGCGTGGACAACAACTTTTTTTTTGTTTGATGATGCGCTCCATCGTCTGTCCAAATTTCACTCACAAGCAAGCACGCCAAAGGCCCACACGTCGCTTTGATGTGTAAACTTGCGGTAGTTTAAACACTCGGGTGCCATCCACTGCGGCGAGAGAGCCAACCGAGTACGGCAACCAGCATCCAACAATTCAAAATCAGTGCTTTTTTGCTTTGTGCCATCATCCTCTCTCAACGTCTTCGAGGCGACTGTACCTTGACTGGAACTCGACCTTTGGTCTGCATCTTGTAGTAATCCTTTTCCTCGGCAAGGACGCGCGAGAGCCCAAAGTCCGAAATCTTGACGGCCAGCTCGTGTCCCACGAGGCAGTTGCGGGCTGCAATGTCTCGGTGCACAAACTGAATCGACTGGAGGTAGGTCATGCCAGCTGCAACCTGCGCGAGGGCGTGCGCCTGCTCTGCCTCCGTCCACAGCAGATTCCGAACGTGGGACTTTTGGAGCAGCTTTTGCAAATCTCCGTATGGCATGAGTTCCAGCACAAACATCGGCGGCTGCTCTTCCAGCAGCGCTGCAACCGATGCCACAATGTTGGGATGGTTGAACTTTGCGACCATGCGCGCCTCGTCGGCAAACTCGCGCTGCGACTTCTCATTGGCGTCTGGTTGGATGGTCTTGACAGCAACGTCAACGTGCGTCTGCATGCTGTCTCGCACGAAATTGGGCGCTACAAGGTTCACAGGCAGCCGACCGCGGAGCACCACGCCAAATGCGCCAGAGCCGAGCTTTTCGCCGAGCTGCAGCTGTTGGCGCAAAATTTTCGCCATGGGCACGGCCTTGTCATAAATCCGATGCAACGGCGTGGCATAGTACTCGCTGGCTGGCGTCGTCGGCTCCTGGTAGTGCGTCGGCTGTTGATAGTGCGACGCTGCGCTTCCTGGCTGTTGGTAGGCGGAGCCTGGCTTTTGCACCGCTTCGTACGTCGGACTTTGGGCAGTGTCGTAAATGGGAGACGAGCCGTTCGCGAGCGGATTTGCTTGGAAGGCAACCAAAGGCACATCTGACTGGATGTGGGCGAGTCCGGATTGGGCCTTGCGGCGACGGCGGAGCACGAGTAGGACAACGACACATGCCAACAGCACTGCAATTCCGCCCAGAACTGCGCCAGCAATAACGGGCACGGCAGACGCGTCGTCCTTTGTGTTCTGCCCTGCAGCGGCGACCACGCTTGCTGAAGTCGCCCAAACGTAGCTGGCGCTCGAGGCGGATGCCGCGTTTGCGGATGCGAAGGATGCCAGACTTGCAGACGCTGCGCTTGCTTCGGTAGCCCGAACGTAGCTTGCGCTCGAGGCGGATGCCGCGCTTGCAGACGCACGAGAGGCCACGGATACAGTTGCAACGGACGCGGAGATGGCTGAAGTGATTGAAAGGATGCTCGCAACTGAAGCGGACGCGGAGACGACCGATTTGAGCGAAGTGACGCTCGCAACGGAAGCGGACGCCTGCGAGGCAGCAACGGCTTGAACAGAGCTGAGCGAGACCGACGCGACGGACTGAACGGAAGAAATGGAAGTGATGGACACTGCAGCCACGCTCTTGGCAGACTGCGCGGATTTCGCCGAGGTGATGGACTGGACAGACAGCGCAGAGCTGGAGCTCTGGTCGGGCGAGATGCAGCTGCCGCCAACGAGGGTATATCCGCCATAGCATTCCGTACACTCTGAACTTGTGCAATTCAAACAGCCCGGAGCGCAGCACGCCGTCTGGGCAGTACTCCAGCATGTGGCACACAGATAATGACATGCTGACACAACCAGAACAACAATGAAACAGACAAAACAAATAAAATCAACAGGTTTGTCAAGCATTGAGTCGCAGCCCTAACATGTTTCCAAACCAAGTATGGCGACACTTACGCAATAGACTAGTGACTGTGCTGACGGTGCTTGCTGGGGCACCCACAAAGCTGTTGTTGCTGAGGTTTACCGTGTTCAAGTGGCTGAGGCCCTGAAAGAGCCCCGGGGGCAGGACTGACAGCGCATTCGACGAAAGGTCGCTAGGAATGACAAGGGGTAGAGGTGGCAGAGCAAAGTCAGTCAAATTCGCAAGAATTCGAGCGATCAATGCATTCCAGTTCGCACATCTTACATTTGTTGAATATTCCCAAGATCTTCAAAAGCGCCAGTCTGAATGTTTGAAAGTTGGCCACGAGGCAATCCTCTGTACACGACAGTCAGTTTCATACTTTACATGCCAGGTGCATGGAAGTCTGAGCAGCATTACAGGCTTTGCAGAGCTGGTAGTCCTGAAAAGGTTCCTCGAGCAATGGAAGTAACGAGTATCTGGGGCATCAATCTTCACATATCACAAGTGCACGAGTAAGCTCGGAGATCCGTACCGCAAGAATTTGAAAAATCGCCCGGCTGCTTACAGGGTTTGCAAACTCGTCAGACCTGCAAATGCGTTTGGATCGATCGCCGCGATTGGCGACTGTGACAGGGTTCTAGCATATTCGCAGAGCAGCGCATGAGAGCGACACATCATGGTTTTTTGCCAACAAGTCCCGAATCGCCGCCACCGCAGCAACAGCAGCTTACAAGTACGTCAATGAACTCAGGCCGCTAAAAGTGTTGGCAGAAAGCATCGTCACTCCGGATTTGATGAGCTCTCTGGATCCAAAAAGCATTTCACGTGAGCGCTCTGTCACAACAAATTAAACTGCACACTCTACCACACAACTCGACGACAAATACAGCGAGCAGTTTACGTCTTGGCTTACAGGGATTCCAAATCGGACAATCCCGCAAAGGCGTTGCTCGCAATGCGAGTCATGCCGCTTAGCGACAAGTCGCTAGATCAAAGCAGCAGTGTCAGTTGAAGAGTCAAGGCAAATGGCCAAGAGAAAAAGTGCATCGTAAGCGTCTTACAGGAGCTGTAGGTTTGAAAGATCCGCAAAGGCATTGCTGGGGAGTTCGGTGAGCTGTGAGGTGTTGTACAAACTCCTGCGAGAGCAGAAAATCAAAACCAAGCCAACTATCGCTGTTAGAGTATCGGACGCGCAAAACTAGATCATCCTTGTTCTTTTCTTACAACAGTTCGAGATCGGAAAGCCCGGCAAAGGCGTTGCTGGGAATGGTTGTAAACGTGCTTCCGTCTAGGTCCCTGCCATTCATTGTCAGCAGCGAAGTTTCAGTCGTTCATGGCGCGTGGCTCTCCTTACAGAGTTTCCAGGTTTGATAGAGCCACGAATGCATTGGAAGTGAGCATCGGAAGCGTGATGGCCCTGCCACCAAGAATAACAACGAGCAACCATTGAGACAGAGCAGGACGATACAGTCCACTGCCAAGAGCTTTCTTGTGTTGGACTTACAAGGAGTGTAGAGAAGATGAAATACTGCTGAAGGCTGCAGTGGGAGCCGATGCTAGTTGCGTGTTGCGCAAAACTCTATGAACAAACGACAAAACAAGAACGAAAATGAGCGGTGAAGATGTGCACAGCTCGGAGTCACTTCAGAACAGCTTACAATGATGACAAGCTGTTCAAATCAACAAAGGCTTGGGCGCTGATGCCAGTGAGCTGCGCATCTGATAGATCGCTGCCAGCGACGACGCACAATGTTTGCACACAACGATGCAAAGGTGAGAGACCAACTATGACACTAGCTGCCCAGTTGGAAGGCAGCGAGTTGCTGACTTACACGTATGTGGCGGTGTGGAAGTTGGCAAAGGCGTTGTCTGGCAGCAGTCCCAGGTTGCTGCAATTTCTGACCATATTGGCACTGCAAAAACATTTTGTGCAGGCGTCCGTGTATGCATTCGCGGGGCTTCCGGCAATCATGCACATCATTACGATGCACAGCAGATTCGCCAGTTTACGGCTTCGAGAAAGAGCCGACATTGTTTCGGTCTGACTCGTTCTGCTTGGTGGCTGTTCTTGTTTTCGGTAATTTTTTTGCTTTTCAAATGGCCTGATAGATCGATTTAACAATGTTTAGCACATGTCATGTACCTAGAGTCAGTTAGCATTGGTGATGGAATGGTTGATGAAAACGCTGTTTTCGGCTTTTGGTTTCTCTCTCTTTTGCTTGTGAATGCAGCAAAAACTCCTCAAAAACCCTTTCAGATGTGAATGCGAATTTGAACACGAGAAGAAGCACAAGAAGAGCGAAGAGTGAAGAGCGAAACGTTACAGTGATGATCTCCACTCTAAAAGAGGGTATTCGCACAAACATCAACAACAATAACAATAACAAGATCGATTGTACAGAAGGACGTAAGCACCGCTGCACTCTTCCCCCCCCAACTAACTCTCTCACTCATTCACTCACTCACTCACTCTGTTCATATCTGCAGTAGGATGATAGGGGGATTTGAGTGCTGCTTGCTTCAACACTGACAGATTTGGGCAGCAGTTTAGCGGGTTTGGGACAAATTGCCAATGCAAAAAAAAGTGAGCTGAACAATGAGCGACTGCCCAACGGAAGCGAGCGACGACACGATCGGATGGAAGATGAGCGAGATTGTCGAGAGGTAGAGAATCGGGGGTTGGGGGTGGGGAGACGCGGAAAGAGAGAGAGTTAGAGAGAGGAGGAGGAGGAGGAGTGGGAAAATGCAAAAGCGAGGTGAGAGAAGTTGAGCAAACCCGCAAAAGGCGCAGCGAACAACGCTTCACAGAGTGACTGAGGTCGAACAAGGAGCAACAAGGGGAGGGCGGGAGGGGGCGGTGAGGAATGAAGCGGGAAGGGGGGGGGGTCGGGTGGACGAGCGGGTGAGTGATTGAGTGGAGATTGAGTGGAGATTGATGGGGAGTGGATTCGCTCACCCTTTCTTTGGAAGCAAAGTAACGCAACAAGACTGACTGAGCGACGTCGATGGACTGCCGAATAAGCGAAAGCAATGCGCGAAATACTGCAAACAAGGAACAGCACAATGGGGTTGAACCACCCCCCCGCCCCTCAACGAAACGCCAAAGCCAAGTACAGTAGAATCAGTCGTCGTTCCATTCAGATTCACTTCCATTGCATTTCGGAACCCTCGTCCACTCATTCATTCATCCACTCATTCATTCATACTTAGCACAGCTAAGCAGTTCGCATTGTCATCATGTCGCTCCCATCACTGTTCAGGAGCAGCAGACGAAGAGGGAACATTGATGACAATGGCGATGATGATGGGAAGGGCGACTTGCAGCCACTGACGCGCGGGGACGATCACCACGACTACGACTACGACAACGACGACGACGATGATGATGACGAAGGCGACGACATGCATGGCAAGGCTGATTACGGCGGCGATGACAGTGACAATGACATTGTGTTTGAGAGTGGACGACGAGCGGGACAGCGAAGACCAGCGTCGCTCGCCACAGCCGCACACCACCAACGCAACGGCCAAGGTGCGTCACACAAGCATCAGCAACATCAGCAATCATTGGGACGGGCGTCGGTGGGCGGTGGTGCACGACAGCCGGACGAGACACATTCCGACCCCGAGCGAACCCGGCATCGGGCTCAGCAGGCTGGCTACGACGAAGGGAGAGCGACATGGGTGAGTTTCATTGCCCCAACAACAACAACAACAATAACAACAACAGTGCGCACTAGAGCACAATTGGGGTGGTGTTGCATTGGGGCTGATCATACGCTGGCTCACAATTTCTGAGAATTCTGATTACTTTGGCAGAGAGAACTCGCGGCGTCCATCTTCAATCTCGTGTCATCCGTCATCGGAGGTACCTTGAGCAATTGTTGAGGCTTTCTCAAGCTCCGTTGGCTTCAAATCTCAGTCACTCACCGTTTTACTCCTGCCTTGATTCTCACTCTCTCACAGGCGGAATGCTCTCAATTCCATTCGCGTTTGGCGAGTCGGGAGTGCTCGTCGGGATGGTGGTGCTCGTCGTCATGGCGTTGTGCGCGACGCACTCGGCCCATTTGCTGGTTGTGAGCCGGAGATTTGGCGAGCGGGCTGGCCTGCTCTCTGCATCTGATCGCGGCGACTATGAGGTTATTGCAAAGTGCGCCTTCGGTCCTGCCGCGGCCTACACTGTCGTGTTTATCATGTTTTACATTTGCCTGATGCCGTGCATTGCGTACCTCATTCTGTTTGCGGATGGCGTCGCTCCGCTGATGCGGCTCGCCGGCGGGACGGATTTCGTGCTTGCCGATCGCGGCGTGATTATGATCCTGGCGGCTGTGACCCTATTACCAGTCACGCTGCTTCGCTCCTTGTCCGCGCTAAAGCACACCAGCGCGATCGGCGTTTTCAGCGCCTTTTTCATCTTGCTTGCCGTCACCATCCGCTTTGCGCAGAACGGCATTGCGACCACCGTCGCCATGGCACGGGCCGAGTCCAGCCTGTTTGGCACCGTCTCTGTGCTCAGTGTGGCCTTTTTATGCCATTTCAATCTCGCGCAGACCGAGCACGAGCTGCGCCGACCATCCAAAGGCCAGCTCAACACGTTGCTCACCTCGACCTTCACCATCTCTGGGGGTGTCTACCTGTTGTTTGGCATTGTGGGCTACCTTCAGTTTGGCTCGGCCATCCAAGGAAACGTCTTTAACAACTTTTCCGATTCCGACTCGCTCATCAACATTGCTCGTGTCACCTTTGCCCTTGTCATGTGGACGTCCTATCCGCTGCTCGCCTACCCTTGTCGTGCAGCCCTCGATCAGCTCTTGTTCTGGGGCGTACCGTGGCAGCGGTCGCGCCATGTCGCCGAAACCCTCTTCATTCTGAGCGTTACGCTGATTTGCGCGCTGTACATTCCCAACGTGATGACAATCTGGCGATTCACGGGCTCTACCTGCACGCTCCTTGCCATTTTCGTGTTTCCCCCATTGTTTTACCTCAAGCTGCGAACACCAACAGTCCGTCCAACGCGGCAAGCGCTGGAGCGTCGTCGAAGGAATCAAGCGCGGCTTGCAGAGGTGGGTGCTGAATTTTCGAGCTTTGGCGGTGTTTGAGAGAGTGTGTGTGTGTGTGTGTGTGTGTGTGTGTGTGTGCGTGTGTGTGTGTGTGTGTGTGTGTGTGTGTGTGTGTGTGTGTGTGTGTGTGTGTGTGTGTGTGTGTGTGTGTGTGTGTGTGTGTGTGTGTGTGTGGGCGGGGGAGAAGGGTGGTAGGGAGAGGGCGGAATTGATGCTTTTATTTTTTATGCTCACAATTTCCGGTTCTCTCCGTATGCTCCTGTGTTCGCTGCAGGCGAGCCGCAACAATAACAACAACAACAACACCACCTCCGGAGCTGGAATCGCGGATCTGGAGCTCTCAGAACCAGCTGTTGCAGCGGTTGACTTTGACGACGATGATTTCGTTCAAGAGCCCTTCTACAAGGATTACAGTGGACTCTCTGCCGTCTTGATGCTGTTTTCCGGGTTTGTGCTCTTTATCGCGTGCACCTACGAGACGTTCCGTACTCTGTGATCCCAACGAGTTCTTTTGAAGCATTTTTCAGTTTGAACAATAGACAACCCCGGTTATTATTAAGAACCCTTAACCCCCTTACCCCTTTTCCATCCAATCTTCACTTCAGTCTTTTGTTTTTCTCAGCATTTTCCCCCTATTACATTACATCCACTTTTTTTTTTTTTTCTCTCCCCACAAATGCATCTCGCTATGGCTGGCATTGCAGCGTTACCATTGTCGTCACCATCGCCGCCGCTGGTCACTCGTCTGGCCGCCCTGGCGCTTCTCCTCTCCTGCGTCTGCCACGCTGCCCTCGCCTCAGGATCAGGCACGTCCCTCCATCTCCCCCCCCCTTTGCCTTGCCTTGGGTTGCCCCTCTCTGGGCTCTCTCTCGCTTCAAAGTGCTGACGAACGCACCCGTCCACCCCTTCTTCACTCACCGCTGCCCTCACTCACTCACTCACTCACTCACTGCACTCACTCACTTTGATCATTGTGCCACTCATTATTTCAAACAACAACAGTGCGCGTGCCGCAGTTTGTGCATCTGATGGGCGCGCAGTCCGCCGGCGGCAAGACGGGCGAGCTGCTCGTTCCCGACTGCGACTCGGACGCCCTCTACGAAGCCAGCCGCCTCAACACGTCTGCTGGCGGCGGAGGAGTCGTGCTGCCGTCCGCCTTCTTCACTGCGGGGCGGTTTGCGGGGACTGTCAAGCTCGACGACGCCATCACGCTCGAATCCGGTACGAACATTTCAATGCAAAACTCTCAGTCTGTTCAAGAGATCAACACAAAAGATGACCGACTTACATCCTTGTTCGTGTTCGTGGTGGGGGAAAAAAACAGATGGATTGAATGCACTCTATGTGGCGCGGTTTGCGGCGCAGACGGTCGTCGATGCAAGCACTTCGCACTTTGAAACAAGCGCCATTCCGTCCGTGTTTGCGTCCGCCATGCAGAAGAGTCTCAAAGTGTTTGACTGGGCAGTCACCATCAAGGCAACCTCAAAGGACGGCGCCTTGTCCGTCCAGCGGCTGGTGCGATTCACCGCGCGCGATGGCCGAAAGCAGATTGTCGTCACTGGCTTGTTTAGCAACACCAATCTGACCATCGGATTTAGCAATCCCGAGTTTGCCTTTGCGCCTCTGCAGGTCGACGAGGGCACACCGCGTGCGTTCTTTGTCCTGACGTTCGAGGCGGACACGGGAAAGCTCGTCTGGGCAAGTGCTGGAAAGCTGAGCCTCGATTGCCCCGACCTGAGCCCTTCCATCATCCCCGTGCCAGCAGCGGCCGATCCGGAGACCGGTCGACGCAGTACTGTCTTGCTCGCCATCTCGTTTTGCGGCACCTTCACGCTCGACGATTGCGTGCAGGAAGCCACGGGTGACGGCATGAACTCGGTTGTGCTGTCCCTTTCCACGGCTGACGGCAATATGGATCCTGAGGATGACGGAGCGGTGTGTGGTGTCCACATGCTGTACAAGCCCGAGAATAAGTCGCAGTCAGTGCGGATTCTTGATGCCGTGGCACTGCCCCAGGGCAGCGACACAGCTCGCGACATTGTTCTTGTGGGCTCGTACACTGGCGCACCGGCGTTTTACAACCAAGTCCTCCCTGCGACTGACGGAGCGCCCCTGTTCTTTGCCGTAACGCTGTCCAGTGACGCCAGCGACCCTGATGAATTAGCACTCATTCACAAGAACATCTTCCAGGCGCATATTGAGAACGTCGAAGACCTGCGTGCCGATGGCATTAGCTTGTCGCAGTTCTACGTGACGGGATCCTACCATGGCCTGCTCAAGAGCTCGCCATCCTTGTCTTTCCCGTCGCGTGGCGACACGAGCGATGCATTCATTGCGAGCATGGATTTGACGTCGACCGACAACGATGGTTGGTCTTGTAGTTGTGCTTTTTTCTTCGTTTTGGTTTTTTTGTGTGCAGCTTTCGTAATCGCGTGGAGTCTCATCTTTGATTTGTGACGATGATGCTTTTCTTTTTTTGTTGTTGCTCTTGACAGTTGTTTCCATCCCCTGGGTCTGGCGTCTGGGCAGCACTGCCGAAAAGGACGAGCTTACCAAGCCTGCCATCGGAGGTGCTCTTGGTGTTGCCGTGTCTGGTCGCGCTACCAAAGGCACGATCTTTGAGGGTATTGTCGGAAATGAGCGGTAAGTCATTCGAGCCGCTCTGTCGGTCAATTCTGTGATTTTTCTGGTCTCATTTTGCGAACGTTGCCGATCAGATTGGCGTCGCAATACCTGTACAACACTGCTCAGGAGGGCGACATTGTTGTTCGCATCGGGTTTGATGGACAGGTACGTTTTGATTGCGCGAATGTCGCATTTTTCGTGCTCGTGCTAAATTTTCAGCTTGTCCTTTTTGGGCGCAGCTCTTGTATGAAAACCTCTTCACTGATCGCGCCGACAACCGGACGTACATTGCTGATCTGGCCCTCTACCGGGACAACAACATGATCCTCACCGGACATGCCCAAGCCGAAGTGAACTTTGCTCGCTTTGTCATTGCTGGGTCCAATCAGGCTGCCTTCCTCGGCGGTCTTTGTAAGACGATGAGTGTGATAGAGCGCGCAGCCGCTTTGGTGGTATCTGGGGAGACAGAAGGTCACCTCTCACTTTTTTTTTTGAACTTGCAGTGTTTTGCGCAAACGATTGCCTTGCTGCCAATCGCATCCCCTGCCGTCCTGGATCTTTGACTTGCCGCGAGTGTCAGTTTGACTACGAGATAACCGACGAAATGATGGGCACTCAGCAGACATGCGCCCTTTCCAACCAAGAGGAAACCGCCTTGTTCTCTGGTACTTTTGCGACCGTCTCGTTGGCTGTGGTGAGTGTCTTTCATTCCGAACCGCTCCCATCTTGTGTCCATTTTGTTTTTTGGGTTTGTTGGGTGGCCGTTGTACTGCTTTGCGTTTTGTTTTTCTTTGTTGGACTCACATCCTGGAAAAATTCCGCGTTTTGACCAGCTGATTTCGTTGAGCATTGGGTGTGCCATCTTCTTGGCATGGCGCAGCCGCGCCGCGCGAACTGCAGTGGTGGCTGCCAAGGTTGCTGCCACCCGATTGAAAAACCGCGGCAAGGCACCGCAGCGATATCGCCCGGTTAGCAATCGCGACGAGTTTGAGCTCTTGTCCCAAGACGCCATGGACGATGAGGACGAGGCTGTATTCGACGTAACCACTACACGATAGCTTTGCTGCTTGCAGTTGCTAGTTGTTGATGCTGCGCGCTTTTTTTTGGTGTTGGTTTTTGTTTTTGTTCTCGGAGTTTGTTTATTGGATAGTTATGACATGAATGTTGTTTCAACGTTTTGATAGTGTGATTTTGTGGTGTCTTTGTTCGTCAAAGGCGATTACCAACACAATACGTGGGACTAGCTTGTTTTTCAAAGTTGCTGCAAATGTCGATCAACGCGTGCATGAAGTGCCTCGAGCTGTGCGGCCACTTCCCGCTCATAGTCTGTGCTGTCAAAGCGAGTGAAATCAGCGTGCAGAGTCTTGAGAGCTTCAGCAACGTTTGCCCACGCCGGAATGCTCGTTGCCAGAGACTGCTGCTCAAAGCAGCGATCCCCAATGAACGAGACGGCCTGCACGAGCCGTCCAAGCTCGTCTGCTTCGTGCAGCACGGCGACGAAATGGGCAATCGTCATGCAGGCTGCGGGCGTTGTCAGTTGATCGCGCAACGTCAACCGCACTTGCGCTTGCCGCTGTAATGCTTCTCGTTCAAGTCGCTTTGCAGTGTCCAACGCTTCTTCCGAGTCAGGCTGCAGCGTCCAGTGCACCTGAGAATTCAGGACAGACGCAGCGTGGTCAAGCTCGTCGACCAAGTCCGTCACCAGAGTGGTGATTTTGACAATGACAGCCTTGGAGTGCGTCGAGGCGAGAGTTGACAAGAGTCGCTGCGGACCATCCAGCATCTGAAAGTCTTCTTGTGCTTGCGGCATATGGCGCAGCAGAGCTGACATGGCATACAAGGCGCGCCGAGCTACCAGCTCTGTGCCGTCAGAGACCAGATCCAGCAGAAGCGGGAGAATGTCACGCCGCAACGCGTCGACCTTTGCCTCGTCATTGCTGTCAAATGAATGGGGAACGAGGGGCAGGTGAGAGCGGGGTCACAGCATGTTCAAAGTCATACACACTAACAAAAACAACAAGCAGAAACAAACAGGAGGCTCCAACTCACTTGTGAATCGCAGAGCCAAGGGCAAGCGCCGCGGCACTCTTCACAGCGACAGAGGTCGAGCCAAGATACCCAATGAGCTGACGCATGCCGTCGATGCGATCAAGATCTCGGCCATTGTCGATTTGATTCACGAGTTCCGACAGCACGAGTAAGGCGTCAACAACATTGTCCTCGGAAGAGTCCGGAGACGCTGCCTTTTCCAACAGCTCCATCATCAAGCGGACGTCCGACCTCACTAGCAGATTCTCACGCTCCATAATGGCCATTGCCTCGCGGAGCTCTTGGAGAGTTGCGGTCGAGCGCTCGGACGAAGCAGCAGCAGCAGCGGCGGCGGCGGCGGGTTGATCCAAACTGAGCAGGCACTCTGCGTCTCCGGCTGGGCAAAACGCAGACGCATGCAAGTCGTCGCCATGCATTTTCGCAAGCTTGTCCTTGATCTCCTGCTTTGTGTACTGGTGCAAGATGCGCACCTTGCGTTGCTTGGGCTGGACTGAGCGTTCATCTCCCGGTTGACCGGTGTTCTCGACATTGATCGCAATAACGTCTCCATGATTGTGTACAAACTCAGAGTCGTTGTTTTCGAGTGCATCCAACTCATCCCGCGGTTGCTCCGCATGCGCGGGTTCCGGATCAAGTAGCTTTGCGCGGCGGCGTCCCGTTTCAAAGTTGAGCTCAATGTGAAGTCCCGGCGGCACCGGCTGGTCTGGGTGGAGGTCTTGCCACTCGTGCGTCGGGACAAACTTGGTCGTCAGCTCACTTGGCGGCGGCGTGTTGTGCTGACCTGGCGTTCGTTGCGTGTTGGCGGCGTCGGCTGAGCTGGCTGAGCTGGATTCAGCGGGACTTGCTGACACAGCAACCACTGCTGCTGCTGCTGCTGCTGGAAACCGTTGCTGCTTGTCCTGTCCCTGGTCAATGTGCTGGTGGTCCAGGGCGGATGACACGGCGGACGCGGCGATCAACAATGCCACGATGGACAGCCATCCAGCCAGTCGAGCTCCAGAATACCGCGCCATGCTAACAGTCCAGCGAATGCTAACAGTCCAGCGAATGCGTCAACGAGAAAAATATGCAGATGCGATTGTATAGCGTTGGAACTGGGAGCTGAGTGCGAACCCCAAAAAAATCACAAAGAAAGCAAGACTGGACCAACGCCAGCTCAGCTTGCCACTTTTGGACCTGCTCGTTCAGCAATCTGCTCATTCAGCAATCTGCTCATTGGAGTTACAATCGGTTTTGCGATGCTTCAAAGCTGGACATCATCATGGTGCTTTGGTGGACTTTGGCGGCAGATTTCACACGGTACAGACTTGGAGCATCTTACAGGGGTTTTGAGCCAAAAGAAAGTGCTGAGAAAGTTGTGCTCAAAACGAATTGTGAAGTTGTGGACGTCTACGTTGGGGCATCGAGAAATGCAATGATGCGTGCTTTTGTTGTGTGTTTTTGTTGAGGAGAAGTTGTCAACCTTCTTATTCTGGGTTTAATTGTCCTTCTTATCTCGGTTTTGAAAACCTGTTGGCGGAATTTTCTCATTCTCATTGTGATGATCGGTTGTGGGGCTATTTTGTGTGTGTGTTGAAGAGCCAAGGGCACGGCGCATCGAGTGTCACGTCATTGAGAGTGCGCTGTTTGCTTTAAAAAAAGAAAAGGCTTTTGGGAGGGGAGCCCGGGTGTGCAAGTGAGAGTGAGTGTGAGGTGAGTAGTGAGGGGGAGTGCTCCGTGTTCCTTGCCAACCACAGCCTGTGAAAATGACCGCCTCTCTCTCTCTTTCTCTCTCTCTCTCTCTCTCTCTCTCTCTCTCTCTCTCTGCTGCGCCTCCATGCCATGTCTCTCTCTCTCTCTCTCTCTCTCTCTCTCTCTCTCTCTCTCTCTCTCTCTCTCTCTCTCTCTCTCTCTCTCTTTCACTGAATACTGTAGCATCATGCATTCACATTGACCAACACACTCTTCTTTGTTTTTTTGTTATTATTACTTGTTTTTCATTAAGCCTGAAATCTGACTCTTTGATCCATTTTTTTTGAACCAGGTTTGTTCTTTCCCTCCACCTTTTTTCCCCCATCTCAACAAGGCGATTTCAGCACGAACGAACAGTGCTTGCCTTGCCTGTCTGTCTGTCTGTCTGCAGAGTGCGTTGCGTTGTGTTGTGCTGGAGTGGAGTGCGACGAGCGGCACAATGCAGATCTGCATGAGATTGTATTACATTCCCTTTGTGTTTTTTTTGTTTGATTTCAACGGGTTCTTTCACGGTGCGTCACCCCCCCCCTCTTCCTCCTTCCCCTCTCGTTCAATTGCTCCCTCTGCGCTCGTTCCCTCTCTTCTGTTCCTCGCTCATCACATCAACGCTCTCCTCGTCGCATCCCCACCACCGCCGCCGCCGCACTTCCCTCACTTTACAGTTCACGTTGTATTTTATTATTTTTTATTATTTCATCTTATTATGATTATTATTATTTACGTCTCTCCAACGAAGGTTCAGCTGTCAGCTTCTCGTCTTCTGCCTCAGCTTGTGGACGTTAGACCAACGTCAACCCAGAGTTCTCACCACCCCCCTCCCCTCCCCAACAGTCAGACTACAGTGTACGCGTGAGTGTGTTTGTCATTCGGGGGCGCGTCTGATCACGAAACCGCCGCCGTTTTCTTTTTTTTTTTATGTGTTTTCCCTTTTAATTTTGTGGTTTGCCTGTAATGTTGCGCTTCCGCTCGCTTGTCCCCCTGTACCCGCCTCGCTCTCTGACTCGCACCAACCCCGCTGCACGAGTCCACGACACACACACACAACAAATATTCACTCAGTCACGCGCTCTCTCTCTCTCGCTCTCTTTGTTCCTCTTCTGCCATTCCTCATCTTCAAGCAAACCGCGCTGTTCATCTACACTTTGCGTTTGCTCCGCCCCTCAGCAGCACGCACACACTCACTCACGACCAACACACTCGCACTCTTACACACACACACACATTCGCACTCCCTCTCTCTCTTCGCTGCTTCTTGGCGTTTCCTCGCTTGGCGTTTCCTCGCTCTCACTTCTTCCTTCCAGTTCATCCATCTCTCAATCTTCACTCTCATCTCTTCCACTCTGTTTGCATTTGTTCACTTTGCCCACATTTTGACTTACTAGTTTTTGTTTTGTTTTGTTTTGTTTGTTTTCAGATTTCTTACCTCTTGTGGTTGTTGTCACACTTTCACACTCTTCCTTTATCATCAAGATTCTCGGCTCAACGGGTGGCGATCCCTTAAAGCTTCAAACAAAAACAACGGGCAAGCTCTTTGTCACCAAAGCACACAACGCAGCAACACCAAAGATGGGCGCCACGATCAGCACATCGAGCGCGTGCGAATTCCCGTACGCAGCGTCCACTGGATGCACTCAAACATTTGCAGAGCAGATTGGCGCACTCCACGACGGTCTGTCCATCACATACGGCATCGGGTGCCTCGGACTGCTCATATTCAGCACGGCTTGCCTCGTGCGCATTTATCAGCTGCGGCGGTCGAACGCAGCCATCTCGGAAGCAGTCCTGTCAGCCACCACACTGAAGGTCATGTGCGTTACGTACGCCGTCGTGATTGCACTCTGCATCCGAAGCGTCGACCTGCTCGCTTGGCGCGGCTGGATCAACCTGACTTTCAACAACTTTCTCTACGACGTTGGCGGCGCAGGCATCATCACCGTCGTCTGCATTCAAATCGATCACTGGCTCGCCTTCCTCAACTCGACCACCATCAGCAAGCGAAAAGCCTACAGGCGACAACAGCGCATCATCACAACTGGGTAAAGTTCCATTTTCTTTCTTGTCTTGTTTTTTTTTTGATTTTGTTCGTTTGTTTGCGAGTTCATGTTGCTCTGCAACAGTTTCCGCCGTTGTCGTGGCCATGCCTAACTCACATCAACTTCCACCCGCTCCACCTGGCTCGCGTTTCTTTCCCCCCTGCAAACAGATCCGTTTCCGTGGCGTGGCTGAGTCTCATCATTCTCGGCATCCTTTCCATCCAAGTCGGCAGCTACTGGGTCTTTAACGGCATCAAACTGGGCATCTTCATCGCCATCATTCTGTTTTGGTGCGCATTGGGCATCTTTTCGGGCCGTCGTATTGTTGGCATTTTGGCTGAGGCTGAGCGCAAGTATGGCATTCGCAGCAACCAAGACGGTGAGGCGGCCAAGAACAACAACACGCACGACAGCGAGAGCGAGCACCACTCACGCACATCCAACTCGATTACACACGAATCGACGGATGGGCACCGGTCGAGCACCACAAAGTCAAACACCATTTCGCGCGCCTCCGGCAAGCCTCAAGTGGGCGAGGAGGAATCGGCCCAAACAATCACCTCCAGGCGTCGCACGGTCGCGCTGCGTCGCGTGTACAACCGTGTCGTCATCGCCAGTGCTGCAGAAATCATTGCAGTCATTGCCATCACGTACAACATTATCTACATTACGCTGTCCGGCTATGACTGGGGCCAGCGAGTCTTGCCAATCGAAGTCGACACGATGATCTTGCTCAACGCCGCCGTGTATGACTTGTGCCACTTTGCTTTTGTGCTGATTGTGCTCGGCTTCTTCCACCCCTTCCGCTCCGCCATCTCGCACGGCAACAACCCCGCCCAGTACTCGTCTTCGGCGTCCGAGTCAAAATCGAGCCGCAAGCTCAAGCATTCCTACGCGTCCAACGCAAATTCGACTCCCATGCTCACCTCCGAGCTTGCGGACATTAGCATGAGCCAAATGAACGCTTCGACGACCGATGTCGCGCAGTCCACAGCGCAAGCGTCTCCGGCCGAAAATGCATCAGCCGAGCGGCTTGTCGAGGACGAAGGCATCGAGGTGATGATGAATGATCCGACAACGGAGCACTTCCCGTCGCCGTCCATGGAGATTGTGGGATCCAATTCCGTCCGCGCGTCCGTGGTGACTGAAAGTCGGAACGACCTGGAGCCAAATAATCCAGACAATCTGCAGTCACCACCAGCACAGGTTGTCGTCCATATTGGCGGCACGTCCAACTCGAGCGTCGATGTATCTCAGTAGCGTTCCTTCCCCGCCCGCTCCCTGTTTTTTGCATGCCTCTTTTTCGTTCCTCTTTTATTGTTGCTATCAATCCACCGCGACACCTGTCTATTGCTCTGCGGGATAGCGTTTCGTTGCTTGCCTTGTCCTTCTTCAGTCTCGTTTTGCGCTCACGACTTTTTCTTGTCAATAATAACAGTACAGTACCACCACCACCCACCACCAACTTTTATTCACCACTGTGCTGCATCCCCTCCCCCATGCATAACGAGTTGTGATGCCCCTTTGATTTGTTTTGGTCCAGTCTTCGTTTTGTTTCCGAATCCGAGTCTCAGTCTTTGCTGACAAACCGATCGTTGGCTCTCTTCCAAAACCAAAATGGGCTTCTCGTTCGACGGCCCATCGCGACCGGCGGGGATGCTGACTGCGCGCAGCCGGTCGCGACTCTTCCTGCTGGCCATGCTCGGGGCGATGGGGATGGCGCTGTACAGTGTGGCGGGGCGGCCCATGATGCGGTCGGACGAGTACCGCCGGGCCCAGCGCACCAATCGCGAGGCCATGCAGGCACGGGACAGAGACTTCAGGCCAGATCCATCCAGCCCCGAGGAGCAGGCGCGCGTCGCAGAGGTGCTCGAGCGCAAGCGACTCATGTCGCAGCTCGCCCAAAAGCGCGAGGCCGCCGCGCTCAGCCAAGCTGCCAACGACGCCGGGCGGCAACAGGAGGCCCGGCGCATTGCCCGAGAGCAACAGCAACAGCAGCAGCAGCAGAGCCAGGGTCAGAGCCAGGGTCAGGATCAACGACCGAATCCATAGGCGGTTTTTCAATCCGCAACAGCCTGAACCTGCTAAACCCCTTAAATCCTTAGATCGCCCCCCCCGCATTCAACCATTCATACAACCAGCATAAACCAAACATCAACATAGCTAATCCCCGCATCCCGAGTTGCGCTATGTGCTACAAAACCCACTGTACTGTACCTTTACGATCTTTTGTTTCACCAAAGTGCTCGTACTTGTATTTTCTGTTTCACCAAAGTATAATTATGTTCCACAAAATCTCCCCCAAGCTCAACAACGCCCCCGTAAGCTCCGTTGTCGAGGCTGGCTTGCCCAATTGGCTTGGAAGAGGACCTTGAAATCAAGTGTGACCGAACGTTCGCATTCATTCATACAACAAGTTGCACTGAAAAACAAAAAAACGAGACAAGAAGGCAACAACGACGAGTACTCGGGCAGACAGCAAACATCCGGAACTGAATGTCTTCTTTTCCATCAGAAAACTTGTCCAAGAGTCGACACCTCTGACTCAACGGACAAGAGAAGAACCGCGCATCATGCAGACAACAATACACGCAATTTACAACACGCACAAACATTGGACGCTTGGCAACCAGCAGCGTTTCTTTTTACACGACAGGCTGCTGAGCGTAAGCAGGCTGCTGAGCGTAAACAGGCTGAGCAACGGGTTGGTTGACAGGAGTCATGGGGATGGGGTTGATGCGGCGGGGAGCGCCAGATTCGACAACCATAGTGCTCTTGGTGCGCTTGAGCAGGAGGCTCGCGAGCCAGCAGCCAAACTGACATCCAAAGCAAAGCATTTGAGATGGAGTCGGAAATTTCAAAACGCCAGTGATCTCTAGAGGAGGAGGGGGAGAGCAAACTCTTACCACAAACGGAAGAAGAATGATTGCGAACGAACCCATGGCCTTGGTAACGCTGCCGAGGTCTGTCAAGCGCGCGAGAAGCAACGAGCAACAAACGTCAGTCATTTCGGCCGTCCAACAAACTGCAGTGACACTTCAGATCTGCAGTAGATTAACTCGACACGGTTGTCCTACTGTCGAAACGGTCATTGAACATGCGGATGGCAAGGCCGAACGCAACCAGAGTCAGACCAAGGGCGATAGTAAGGGAGCCCAGAGTCTGTTGATACAAGCAAAGAAAGATGCAAGCAAGGAGCGTGAGTCTCAACACAGGTCTGAACAGAAGACCAAGCAACGCGCTGGGAAAACGCACAGCGGAAGACGAGCCGTAAAGGGGCTTGCGGACTTCTTCTTGGCCGGAAGCATTGCGGCGGTTGCTGTGCGTGCTATCACGGTCAAGGATCAGGCCAAGAATGCACGCCAGGGCGGTGGTTGTGCCTGCCAAGAGGGACACTGCAGAGCAGAAAGTACCTGCCGCGTTGGTTCGCTGCACAAAGCGAAGGGAATCCATAAAATTCCCGTGTGAGTTTGGAAGACCTCACGGCAATGTTGCTGCGCAAGTAGGAAAAGAGGGGCACTTTTTCAAACAAAGCCACAAAAACACAGCGCGGTGCGACTGCTGCTCAGAAATCAGCCGAATTTGTTGCAAAAACACCTACGCGGTTGCCCGTGTCTGCAGGAACTTCAAAGACTCCTTGGAAGATCGCGCCTGCGAGACCGATGAGGGTCAATGCAATAAGCTGTACATGGAAGGGGTCAAGCACGATCAGAGCGTGGGGTGAGTGGAGCAAGGATGGGCAATCACAAAACACACACACAAAAAAAAAGAACGCCAAAAAAACCCGCGCACTTTGCATTTTGTACTTTTTGTAACATCCCGACCCCCTCCCCCTCTCCACCTTCCGACACTTCGCTCGTTTTGAAATAGATACACAATGACAGCAAAGCAACATGCACGACCGTCGCTCCTTCTCAATACGACGCGCATGAACGTTACCAAAGTGATGGCGTAGAGAACTTTTGCAAAACCCATGTTGTTGCGTTTGTTTGATTTGCTTGGGTGTTTGTGATGGACACGTCGCTAACAGCAAGGCAAAAGAATAAGGTACTGAACGACTGGCGGTGCGAATGAAAAGCAAGACTGGACCCGAAAATCCGGCGCCCAAATACTCTGAGACAAAAAAACAAAAAAGGACGCTGGTCGCCGTGCAAGAAACAGAAAAAATGCAAACGTGATGCACTTGAGGATTTTCATCACCACGCGTAAATGATGCGTTTGCAAGACAACTGTGCAAAGTGAGTGAGTCACACAGACATCGGCATCTGGCGTGCAGTAAGAGGACCAGCGTTGGACTTTGTTGTTGCCGAACATTGAATCGGCTGGCGACTGTTTGAGGAGCCACTTTAGTTTTCGACTGACTGATTCTCACACAGACTCAGCCTCTTGTTCAGTGCAAGACTGAATCTCGCCTTTGAGCTACCAGACCCATGATAGACCGACTATTGGTCCAGTCTCGTTTCGTTTGTCCTTTTGTTCGTTGGTAAGTTTTTTTTTTTTTTTTTTTTTTTAGTTTTTTTTTTTTTTTGCAGGAGACTGCCGGCTCCCTGCTCCTGCTGCGACGATGCTGCACACCCGCTTCCCCCTTCGGCGCCCATTCACACCACACTTGCTCTTCCTCTTTGCATCTCCATCGCCCTTCCGCCGTGTCTCGCTCGCCTGCAAAATCGACCTCGCACTGCGCTAAGCTCGGTTTGCGGATTTTTCAAAAATAGCTTTTTTTTTTTTTTTTTTGCCATCGATCTCATGCTCCGACCTTGCGACTGGGCCCCCCGGGGAATTTGGCGCTGCGGATCACTGACTGGGACCAACGTTGTCTCGGTCCTCCCATCCGCATCCGCCTGCGAGTGTGGACTTGCATTGGGGGAAGAGCGAAAAGTGGATGTGTGGTTTGCGTAGCAACCCGTCTCCACTCGCTCAGATCTGCCGCTCCACCTCCAAATCCTGCTCCCAGTCAACCCCACGACCAGATGTCGTCTCAGCATTGGACGTGTTGAGTGCAGATCCACAAAAGCGGATTGCACTGCGCAGGGGTCAGAAATCAAAGCAGGCCAACATGTCGCCAAAAAAAAAAAAAAAAAAAATAGTATTTTTATATTTTATTTTTTATATTTTGTGGCATTGCTCCCAGCTGGACGAGCGCGTCGCCAACCTCCCCGACTCTTCTGACTGACTTGCGCTCGGCAGTCAGGCTGCAACTGTGTTTGTCTGCATGGCAACACTCTCGTTGCGCATTGTCACGCGCGGTTTTCGTTTCGGAGCTCTCTTGCTTTTTTGATTTTTGCTCTTTTTTTTTTTTTTTTTTTTTTTTTTTCATTCTTCAATGGAAAACCACAGCGGCTTTTTTTTTTTCTTCTTCTTCTTCGTTTCCTGTGCCACTGTTGAGCGAGCGCCCCACTTTTTTTTTTTGAGGTGACGATGCACGCCTCGATCTTCTTGTTCCCTTCTGTGATGATACTGAGCCCCCTTGCATCGTGGAGCACTCTTTTGGCTCGTCTCTGTCATTCCCCTCCCTCCCCCACACACACACTCATTCCATGCTCATTTTCTCATTCCAGCGCAGCCCTCATCATTCGTCTCACATGTCGCATGCACGACAACGTCACATTGCACATTTTCACACGTACAAATGGATCTGGAACTGCGCCCCCCTCCCCACTCACTCGACTTTTGATCCACACTCGTTTGTGATCCAGTGTCTCAGACCGCGACTTGCTGTGGCTCCTTTCCCCCGGCTGTCCGAGCGCTCGACTCAAATTTGAACAACCGCAAGCCGATAGACGCACCCAACAACCCCCACCCAAACAGTCTCTCTTCCGCTTCCTTGTGTGTGTCTGTCTCTCTGTGTGAGCTGGAGTCCGCGCGCTCAACCACACAAAACAAAACTTGCTGAAACACCATGCTCGACCTCTTTGTGCTCGTGCCGCTGGACGGCCACATGATCCAACCGGATCCAGCCACCTTGATGCGAGAAGTGCAGCTGGACGTCATGGCTGCAGGGACTGACAGCACCAGCAGCCCCGAGCTCCTGGCATCCACCGCGTCGCTTGGTCGCGTCAAGAAGCTCTACTCTCCCACAGACGCTCGCAAAACGGTGGCCGAGGTCATTGCCATGCTCTCCCAACAGCTCATTGCACAGGATGCCGCCGGGGACTTGGGTCTGCCTGCGCCTCGAGCAGCAAAGCCGCTCCATCACTCGGTATCAACCACCTCCGCCGCAAAGGCGTTTGCCCTCAACAGCAACAGCAACAGCGTTGGAACGCCTACATCGCCCACTGCACCCATCTCGCTTGCTCAGGGATTGCCTGGGCGTGAACCTGGCGAGGAGCCCGGCGAATGGCTCCATCTTGCATCCCGAGGTCTCTTCCACGTCGATTCACTCGAATGGCTCTCGCCGGATCGCACCATTGAGAGCTACAGGCTCACGCCTGGCTCGGCGCTGTGGTTTCGGGATCGCTTCCGCTACATTAAGGTGCGCCTCATGGACGAGTCTGTCAAGACATTGCGCGTCGACGAGTCTGTGCCGGTCAAGTCGGTTGTCGATCACATCTGCGCCCAAATGCAACTGACGCGCTCAGCAGAGCTGTCGCTCTTGGTCGATCTGAGCGCCGGATTGCCCGAAGGCATGCGTGCGGGCGGCTCGGTCATTTCACCGGCCGCCAGCCTCAGTCTGCTTCTCCACCGCGACGAACGTGTCATCCACCTCATGAAGCACTTGCAGACGCAGGAAACGGCAGAATACTCATCCATCAACGCCGCCTTCCCGTCGCCAGCACGCGAAGGGTCTCCAACAACCTCGCCCGCACCTGGCAGTGGCTCAAAGTCAGTCGCAGCCACGCTGTTGGCCGGGGAGCACGGGAAGCGAAATAGCAGCAACGGCGGCGGCGGCGGCGGCTCTGCCAAGAAGGCCAAGATTGCACGGTCCTCCTCCGCCGAGTCAAACGACGCAAGTATCGCCCGTTCGGGCAGCACAATCAGCACCAACAGCAGCAGCGGCAGCAGCCCCTCGTCCAAAAAGGACAAGGCGGGCCAGGTACAACGCCAAAGCTCATCTGTGCAGCAGCGCGACTCTTCCAACTCAATCTACTTGCCCTCACCTGAAAAGCTGGCGGCTGGAGCAACCGACCCCAGTCAGGTGCCCGTGCTCGTTTCACCAGCACCAATCTCGCCGTTGTATTCGCGAACGGAACTTCAGCCACACCACTGCAAGCTCAAGAAGCGTCTCGAGCGGTTTGTGTCCATGCACGGCGAGGACAGCATGCTCATCGACCAGCCCTGGCTCGACGTGTCGGAAACTCTGGCGCGACAACGCATCCCGCCAGGCGCCCAGCTGATTCTCAAGCACCGCTTCTTTGGCAACCAGATGCATCTCTCGCGGCGAGATCTCGTTCGCCTACACATGATGTTTGCGCAGGCTCGGCACGCATTCTCGTCCGGGCATGTCAACTGCGAGGAAGACGAGGGTGTCACATTCTGCGCCTTGCTCATGCAAGTCTTGTACGGCGACCGCAACGAAGACCAGCATACGCTCACCTTTTTTGTCGGGCACATGAAGGGGGCTCCCAAGCGCGAGCCAACCGCGCCCCAAGGCTCCGGGCTGCTCGAATCGCCCGTGCTCTCGTCGTACGGCGGTGCGTTTGCCGTGCCCCAGTCCTTCCGCTCTGTTGCGTTCGCGCGCCGCGTCCTCCGAGAGCACGCTTCCCTTGCAGGAATGTCCGAAACCGACGCCATGTACTGCTTTGTGAGGCTTTGGAACATGGTCGAGTCGTTTGGCATGGAATTGTTCAGCTGTCACGTCCATGCGACGGGCCAGCCTGCAGTCTTTGGCATTGCCGCGGATCGCGTTGCCTTTATTAGCTTGGACATGATCAAGAGCGGTCCCGTCCAGTTCCCGCTCAGCGACATTCGGCAGTGGATTGTGGATGTCAATCCCGACACCATCACGCTGCAGTTTGAGCACCACTCTCTCGTCATTGGCGTGCCTGGTTGCGCCAAAACGATCGACGAGACGCTTCGCGCCTACCTCGATCCGTCCATGTCCCAGGAGGCCATTCTCGAAGCCGCTGCCGCCTCCTTGGGCCTGGATGGAACCGACCCCGAGGTTTTCTCTGCCATCCTAACGGCGCCCAAAATTCGCAAGTATGTCGGAACAATCAAGGATGCCCGCGAGAAGGCGCGCCGGACGAGCAACTTTGCGATCGCGCGTGTCGACAACGAGACGTTCTGGCAGGAGGAGCTGGACGCCAAGCAGAAGGGCTCCAAAAATGGCCAAGCCGGCAAGGACCCTGCCGTCCCCGTCATCCAGACCCCGCCTCACGAGCCGCAGTTCATTCCGCCGCCGCAAGCCATTCCGTCTCCGACATCGGCCATTTCCCAGCTGTCCGAGCTCACTGCTTCGTCCGCTCTCATTGTGGGTCAAATGAACAAGCTGGGCACCTACCGCGCAAAGCGCTCTGCCAGCATCAGTCAGCTCACGCCGATTGTGCTTCCGAACGCCGATGCTCCTGCGCAACCGGATGCGGAGGAGGTCGTCCAGTCGATTCCCGGCATCGTGTCCATGGATCCCGCCAGTGGTTCCAAGTCCATTCGCGGTTTCCAAAAGAGCCTCGGTCGTTCGGCCGGTATCCACCAGGTCAACCTGCTCCGCGACCAAGAGCAAGAGTCGACTTCGCCCACGCCGCTGACTGCGGCGTCAGCCAGCACGAGCGCCAGCGCCTCGGCGAGCGGCGTGAGCACTCCGTCGCAGCAGCATCCCCTCGGCTTCTTCCCAGCGCTCGGCGCAGGTGGTGCCGCTGGCGCGCTCCTGGTCGCCGCAGCAGGCGAGGCGGGCTTGTCCTACCCTCGCGTGCGCGTCCCAAGGTCGGGCGCCACGTCCGTCTCCACGCTGTCACCGTCCAGCTCGAACTACTCTCTCGGAGCCGTTGCCACTGGCTCGCGCGGCAGCTTCACTGGGTCTGAGGGCAAACCAGCGTCGCTGCTCGCCAACCAGCCGCGTCTCCGCGGCGCGTCCGCATCGAGCAGCTCGGGCGCCCTGGCCAAGAGCGCCATGCTTGCGTCAGCACAGCAAAACCAGGCTCAGCCCCGCCCGCCATCGCCAGGTCGTGTCTCTGTGACCCTGAGCGATGGCATGCCGGCCGGGTCGCCGCCCAGCAGCCCGCACTCTGCGCCATTGCCCGATCCCACACGACACCGCCTCTCCATGTCGCCGTCCCACTTTGAAACTGTGCTTGAAGAGGAGCCGCGTCAGGGAGGCGAGCTCACCGCTCGCGAACGCAAGCACCGCAGCGTGGTCTTTGCCCTGGACAACCAGAGTGTGTCAAGTCGCGATTCATCCGGCTCGTTCATTGAGCGGTCGTCGGTGGAGCAGCCCATTCTGCCCACGTTGAGTGCATTTGTCGTGGCCCCAGTCCTGGTGGCGACGCCCGACGAAATGCCCGCCCTCGCGCACGCCACCTCCATGGTTCGAGCAGAAACCATGGATGGCTTGAATGCCGATCCTGCAGAGCTGGATGACTTGGCACGCGAGACTCATGCCCGCACGGCGTCCCATTCCGACGACCTCGCAGCGCCCGCGACGAAAGGAGACGAGCCGATCGCCGAGACGAGCGAGGCGAGTGCGAGGCGAGTCCAGCTTCCGGCGAGCCGACGCCAGAGGACGAATCTGCTTCGGCTGTTGCCAACGAAGAAACCAACTCGAGAATTGTCCAATACTAACAACAAAAACAAGCGATTCAAGGCAATCCACAAGCTCTCAGCATCCACTGGTTTGGAGTGTTTTGACTGTTTGTGAATTTCAAGTGTCGTATCATCAGTCATTTTGTTCATTTTGTTCGGGTCTTTTTTGCGTGTCTGAGTGTGTATGAGTGTCTGAGTGTGTCTATCTGTGGATTTATTTCTTTGTGCCTTTCTTCTTTGTTAAAATAAACCAGCTGATTTCTTTTTGAAGTGGAACAACAATTTGTCAGTCTTAGTTTTCCTGTTTGACGGGTTGAAACACTCTACCTTTTTTGGCTGCGTTCTCATTCAAGGCGACCCTCCATTCGTCGATGAGTTCAAATAGCACAGTATACCTCGGTCTTGTTGACGCGCCGATCGCGAGTGCTCGTGAGGACCACTCGTGTGGCTGGTGGACCAACAAGATTGGCGGTGTGCCGGTACGTCTGTCAAACCAATATCAAACAAACAATAGCAGAGAACTTTGCCAGTTCATCATGACTCATACAAGTGTATGATTGATGCATGCCCCCCTTTTGCGCACCTTTGTCATAGAATGGCGTCGACGGATCTGCGCCTTGGCTGAGCAGCGCGTTGCTCGAGTCGACGTCGCGATCAAGCAGCGCCCTCCAGAGCACTGCATCGACGTCATCTTTATCATCTTCATCATCATCATCATCATCATCGTCGTCGTCGTCGCAGAGTGGATTCAAGTTGACCTGCCAGAGCTGCGGAAGGACCGACCGCACCGTCCTCGTGGCGCAAGTGTACGCGCCGCTCGATGCCGAAACCAGTCCACGAGCGTCCGATCACGAAGCCGAGCGCGTGCTGTATCTGTTTGCGTGCCTTGGCCAACATGGTGCCAGTGCGAGCGGAGCTGTGCCATGCAGCAGTTCGGCGCAGGGCTGGACTGTCATCCGATCCACCCGAGCGTCGTCTGCCCAACATGCACCTGCTGCTTCAGCTTCAACGCTGCTACAGCAGTCGTCATTCCGAAGCAGTGGTAATGCTGCACCAACAAGCACTTCGCGGCATGGCGCAGTAGTGCAAACGCCACCAAAAGCAAACGCCAAGCCAACGGGCACGACTCGGCCGAGCCCGCAGCCAGCTTGGGGAAGCGCGCCAGCCACACAACAACCTCGAGAGCGACAGCTGCTGGATGATGACGATGACGATGATGGAGACGATCTCGAAGCATTGCTGAATCAGCGCAACAGCCAGTTGGAGAAGAAATCAGCCGCGCCCGCTGCCTCATCCTTGGCTGGGTCGGTCGCTGCAGTCACTGCATCGCTCGAGAAGGAAGCATCGAACGCAGCGTCGGTGCATGCTGCCACCAGTAGCCAATCTCCAGCAGGTGCCGGGACTCCATCGTTGGCGCCATTCTATGTTAATGTTGACGAGGAGCCTGCGACCGGGGTGCACCTCACCGACCACGAGCAAGCATTGCTGGCAGAGTACGAAAAGCGCGAGGCTCTTCCGAAGGCCGAGCAGGATGAGCTTGGCGAAGGCGGCGCGACGGTCGACGAGGCGTACGAGTCGTCCAAGGAAAACCTCAAGCATGGCGATGTGACGTTTGCCAAATTCTTCAAGCGCATCCAACTTCAACCCCAGCAAGTGATTCGCTACAATATCGGTGCCAAGCCGTTGCTCATCACCGGTCTTGAAAAGCACTTGCCCCCTGCGACTCCGCCCGCTTGCCCGCACTGCGGAGCCGCCCGAGTCTACGAAATGCAGCTTCTCTCGACAGTCGTCGCGCATCTACAGCCTTCCAACTTCCGGCCGACAGCAGCAGCTGGAGAGGACGAGTGGAGCCATCAGTCCGTCGACGCTGCAATTGGCGCCATGGACTGGGGCGCTGTTCTCGTCTACTCGTGCACCCGCAACTGTGCACCGACCGGCGCTCATCGCCATGGTTCCGTAGTGAGTGTTGTTGAAACCCTCCACGTGCAACCCGATCCAGACGTCATGTCCATGTCGGTGATGGATCGGCTCGAGCATGAACCAGTCACCGAAGCGCAACTTGCTGCCGCTGCTTCAGATGTTGCCGATGTGAACGGTGCTGCTGCGGGTTTTTAATGAGAGTATTCTTTGATTCTTTGTTGTATATTAGCTTCGTTTTTATGATTACACGGTCAAACAAAACTGCAAAAAAAAAAATCCCTTTTTCACCCCGCATCCCTTTCAATGAAGTTGCTCTTGCAAACTCGTCAACTGCACTTGCCAGGTCTGATATGCAGCAATAGCACGCTCCAACTGGTCGGAATCAGTGATCAGCAGCATCCAGTCCGTGTACGGCGACCGCGGAACGGTTGGCCAACCGCCGAACAGCAAGCAGATGGGCTCGAACGTGGAATAGAGACAATCCACATACCATTGCAGTTCCGGACTTGAGGCACTTGCAGACTCGACTGCAGCTTCACTGTGAGCGAAAGCGATGAAGGACTCGAGCGCCAAATACGCCTCCGTCCACCTGTTCGTCAACTCTGTCACTTGAGCGACATCGGTTGGACTCCATTGCTTGAGGTCCTGGATGCGATTGGCATAGTGATTTAGAATATAGCCCACAGCGGCAATAAACCGTGGAGGACGCAGCAGATTTGCGGGAGGCATCACGGGTCGGAGTTGCGCTTGAGCCGTCGCCACCAAATCCCCTTGGCTCGTGGCAGAAGAAGACGAAGATGAAACAAACGAAGAAGATAAAGAAGAAGAAGTGGCCATCGGCCCTTGCACACGATCAACACTGGCAGAATGATCAAGGGCGCGGGCGGAAGCTGCCTTCCGCTTTTCTGCGGCTGCCGGTGGCGTTTGCAGACTGACAAACCCGTGGAACATTTCGAGAAAGATGTCACGGGCAGTGTGAATGCCTTCGTCAGCCAGCTGTTGCTTTTCAAGAGGAATGTCTGCGAGCTCGCGTGGACGTCGCTCCGACGAGATTGGCCAATTTTGCACAATCTGGACAAACGCTGATATCGCAATAATCGCCTCCGACGGCCTCATTGACCGAGGAGGCGTTTTCAAAATCTGCTGTGCGAGCAGCGGAATCAGCTTGGCCGCACCGTCCTCAATCTCTCTCGGAAGGAATGAGAAGGCACTCCAAGTCTGCTTGATTAATGTCATCATTTCGGACGTGTTCCAAGGCGGCTGTATCTTGACGACGGCGCTCCATAGCTCGCCCAGCTCCGCTCGCACCTCGTTCATCACGGCAACAGACATGTGCTTTTCAAACTCGACCACAAGGCTGTCAAACACTGCTCCATAGTACGGAGTTGGCGAGTTGTCCGAGCCCAGGTGCACAGGCGATGGTGTGTGCGATTCGTCCATGACAAGAGCGACCGGTTGACGTGCAGTTGGCAGTCGCGGAGCAAGCGAGGTCGATGAGCCAAAGCCGTGCGGCAAGAACGGCGGCGCTGCAGCTGCAGGCAACAACTCGGAATCATCCATTTGAAGCACAGCGTCCAAATGGGACTGCCCAGCTGATTCGCCCGAAAATGGTTGCCCGCCATCAAACTCTCCGTGCAGTGCAGACATTGGTTCGAGCTGCTGGGGAAAGTCCGCCACCGAGAAACACTCAATGTTGTTCACCAGCGCTTTCACGCCCAGGTTCTTATCGTTTGTGAGCAGAATGACGCGCGGCATCGGTACTTTGCTTTGCCGATAGCGCAAGCAGCAGTCAAGGATGCGATCGTCATTGTTCTGGTTTTGGGAATCAGCAGTATCAAAGTGGACAAGTCAGAAGCGCAAGCAGCAGTCAAGGATGCGATCGTCATTGTTCTGGTTTTGGGAATCAGCAGTATCAAAGTGGACAAGTCAGAACTCGACTCGAACATTGCAAAAAAAAAAAAAACCAAAAAAAAGTTCTCGCGAGATGCGCGCACCCAAAGAAAATCTCACCTCAATGCCTGGCTCGTTGAAACCTTTCGAGGACTCTTTCAGAGGCTGGCCTTTGAGGAAAGGGTGCTTGGCTTGGAGCATGCGAAGCAAAAATTCGTTTGCACGCTGGGCTTCGGTGCTGACATTGCCCTTTTTCAATCTGTCCAGCTCTTGAACTACAGTCCACGGCAAGACAACGACTAGCGCGGTCCTTTGCGGTAGCGAGAGGGTGCGCTTCTCGGCGTGGTGCTGCAACTCGGATGCGCGGATGCTTTCGTACTGCTCCAGCTGGTGCAGCGCCTGCCGCACAGCACCAGGAGCAGCGCATCCTGTACTGGTATAGTGAGCCACAGCCTGCCGTGCGTACTCGAGCTGTGGCGCAACGTCGTTCGATGCCAAAAGTAGCCTCAAAAATGGCAGGTCAGAGATCAAAACGTTCGTGTCCACAACGACAAAGATGCGCTCGAGGCTCAGAGGCGTCACCATCGCGGCCGCCGAGCTATCAGACACGTACACGTGATCATAGATGGACGACGCAGGTGCGCTCAGATGCGCGTCGAGCATCGAGGTGTCTGTGCTTGGGTGCTGAAGGCTTTGCGTGGACATGCCGCCGCCGCCGCTGCCATCATCAGCATACATTGCATCGTAAATGTTGCCCTCGTGCATGCTTGTAAGCTGATGCGGATTCGTGTACGCATGTGAGACGGCCGAATCTGCATCATCAGATTGGAAATTCTGGTGCATCTCGAGCGGTCCTGCGCTGGCCACCGGATGATAGATTGCGCCAAACTGTGCTTGGTACATGACTCGATTATCATCACTCTGGTTGTAGGACGACGATGGACGGAGACTGCCTTGCCACCAATCCGTTGCAGCAGCATTATTCTGGTTGAATCCGCCTTGGTGATCCGCGTGAGACCACTCTGCCACCGCCGAGCCACTCGTCGCATCTGCATCCATAGCAAGGGTCCTTGAGGTGGTTGCCTGATATGCAGTGGGACGGCTGTAGCTGAGCTCGGTCGTCATCATGGTTTGAGTGGAGTCCGACTCGCAATGTTTTGCCTGCCACGACCCGATCTGAGGCGGATGTTGCCGAACAATGCCTGCATTGTGGATGTGCGTGTTGCCTGATGATGATGATGACGATGACGATGACGATGGTCGGTCATCCAGTCCAGACATTGATCCGGAAGACGAAAACACTTTTGGACTGAGCAGCTCAGATCAGTCTGAGCAAGGAAACCATCAACAATCAACAAGCAACATCGAACGATCGAGCAATCACGTAAAACCCACAAACCCCCTCCTCCGGGGGCCAGGGGTGATCTTCAAGTGAATGAAGTCTGTCAAGTTACTGTACAACTTCCGCTTCCCGTCAAACCAGACCTCACTAATTCCGATTCCAATTCGCCGGGACAGTCGATTTTTCTTTGTTATTCAATCAAACTACTGCAGACATTCACGTGTGCCACACAAGTCAAGCTTGAAACAAGAGCCAAGAAAGCAGCCACGATTGTTCACAACATTGCCCCAATTTCGCGGACAGTCGTCCCATCATCAAAGTTTTTCAGAGCTTTGGTGAGCTGCGTAAAGCTTGGACGCAGTTCCGGGATAATGTTCCAGCAACTAGCCATCAGGCTATAAAGTTCAGTTGTGCAGTGCTCCGGCTGGGGTAGTCGACCACCAGCCTCCACAAAAGCCAAAGTCTCACGCCCTTCCATCTTGCCATACGGTGGTGCCCCATAACTGAAGCATTCCCCTACCAACGTGCGCCAACACAAGTGAGATCCAAATGCAAATGTCAGCAGAGCATGACTTTTACTCACAGGCGGTCACACCAAACGACCAAAGATCAGACATGGTCGAGAACTTGCGGAAGGTCATTGTTTCAGGTGCCATCCACTTCATGTGAAAGACGAATAGTCAGTATCACAGCAACAAGCATCAACTTACACACCATCGACCCACCTTCACAGGAAGCTTGCCGCGCGTTTGCATTCGATAATAATCGTTCTCGGAAGCGAGTTCGCGGGAAAGCCCAAAGTCAGCAATCTTGACCACCATCCCTTGCCCCACGAGACAGTTGCGCGCAGCGAGATCGCGATGCACAAAGTGGAGAGTACCCAGGTACTCCATGCCGAGTGCAATCTGACGAATGGCATGGATCTGCTCGTTGTGCGTCCACCAAAGCGAGTGGAGCTTGGACTTTTGCAGCAGGGTGCGCAAATCGCCGTACTGCACAAACTCGAGCAGGACGAGATGGGGCTCTGACTCGACCAGAGCCGCAAGCAAGCGCACGACATTCGTATGCACAAACGGCGCCATCAGTTTCGCCTCGCTCTCAAAGTCTTTGCGGGATTTCTCGTCTGCATCAGACTTGAGCGACTTGACTGCAACTTGCACGGATTCGAATACTGTAGGTCCAAGCAAAGCTTGAGCTCGCGGGGGCAAGACGCTGAATGGCACTTGACCCAGTGCCACGTCGCCAAAGTTGCCACTGGCAAGGTGCTTCACAATGGTCAAGCCTTCACGAACGCGACGAGAATTGCTGCCAGCAACATAGGCGCTCGCATAATCGTAAACCACCTCTTCTGGCGGGGCGGTCGGGATGGCTTGGTACAAAGGCTCTGGCTGTTTTTGACCGACCGCGGCGTAGGCTGCAACATCCTCAGATCGAGCCGAATGGGGAAGAGGAGAAATGGTCATTTCAACAGCTTCCTGATAGATCGGACCGGTAGAGTCTTTTGGTCGTGCAACTGAATGTGGGTGCGATCGACGACGTCGCAACACGACGAACACCACTGCAATGATCGCAACTGCAACACACGCTACAACAGCAGCGATGACGGCTGCTGAAGATGAAGATGAGTCTTGCGAGCCGCCTCCACCGCCGCTGTTTTGTGCGATGGAGGACGCAACCGATGCAGCGGACGCCGAAGCGGTTGAGGCAACGGCAGTCACCGAGACAGAGGCAATTGATGCAGTTGATGCAACTGATGCAATTGACGCTGAAGATGCAGCAGCGAGGGAAACAAAGGAGGCCGAGGTAGCGAAAACACCAGAGGCAACAGAAGCAGCTGAGACAAATTGTATGCTCTCGATGGAAGCAACAGAGGCGATCGATGCGTTTGTGGCAGCTGAAGCGGAGCAGAAGTCGCCCATCATCTCAAAGCCTTCATAACACTGAGTGCACACTGCAGATGAAGTGCAGGTCAAACAATTGGTCCCGCAGCACGCACTGCTTCCTGCGGCATAGCAAGTGGCACAGGTTGTATCACACGCTGCAGTACACTTGTCAGTGATATGATCACAATTGGGTTGCAGCCATCGAAACTTACGGTATGGTTCGGATGCACTGCCGTATGTGCTGGGCGGAGCGACAGTGTTCTCTCCAAAGGTAAAGTTGTTGGGCACCAGTGGTTCAGATGCAGACGACAAATACAGGCCACTCGGCAAGCCCTTAAATAGACCGGGCGGCAAGGTGGTGAAAGAATTGCTCTCAAGAGCCCTTCAAAGACGAAGTAAGAGGCAAATCGAATACACGCACCAAGAAAAAAAATCTTACTTACAATTGTACCAGCGCAGTCAGGGCGGTGAATGCTGAGGCGGGAATGCTGGTGATCTGGTTGTTTCGCAGATCCCTACAGAGAGTCACAAACGAGTGAGCCGTCTGTGCGTGATTCTTCACGGCTCAGTTTGCTTACAGTCGATTCAGCGCAGTCAGATTTGTGATTGCAGAGGTGGGAATGCTGGTGAACTGGTTGTAAGCAAGACTCCTACATCTCGTGTTGCAAACGAGTGAGCCGTTTGTTTGCCATTCTTCATGACTTTGCTTGCTTACAGGATCTTCAGCGCAACGAGACCTGAGAATGTAGATACGGGAATGCTGGTGATCCGGTTGCTGGATAGAGACCTACAGGTAGAGTCGCAAACGAGTAAGCCGTTTGTTTGCCATTCTTCATGACTTTTGCTTGCTTACAAGATCTTCAGCGCAACGAGACCTGTGAATGCAGAGGCGGGAATGCTGGTGATCCGGTTGCCCGACAGATACCTACAGATAGACCCGCAAACGAGTGAGCCGTTTGTGTGTAATTCTTCATGATTGTGCTCGCTTACAATTCCATCAGCTCAGTCAGGCCTTCGAATGCGGAGGCGGGAATGCTGGTGATCTGGTTGCCAGCCAGATACCTATCGAACCGTAGACCAGTCAGGAAATCATGCCATTCCGTTCACCTTCAACTCATCGGCAACCTACAGCATCATTGTGGTGACTGGGATTTCGCTTGGAATGCTTGAAAGAGAGGCGTATTGACAATCGACTGTAGTAACAGGATTTCCCGAGCAAGTGCAGTTCGTGGGACACGCTGCTGCTTGTGATGCGCCCGACGTTAAGCTGGCTTGTGAAATCGAGGCGACAGAGGCTGCAGCTTCAATTGTCGCAAACGACGCCGACACGCTGGAGGCGGTTGCGGCAGAAGCACTTGAAGCGACCCGAGCGGAGATGGACGAGGTCGAGGCCACTGCCCGAACATCCTCGAGAAGCTCGCGAGCGTAGAGGCCACCGACAAAGGCGCCTGCTCGGAAGTCCACATTGGCGCCTGATCCAACAACATAGTAATCTGAGGGCCAAAATTGCAGTCGCAGTGAGTGAATATACAAACCGCAGGCACCCCCCCCCCATTCGTGGCAAACCACTTACCACCCAGCGGTAGACGACTCGCAGTGGTGTTGGCATAGAGAAAGAGCTTGTCAAAAATGGATGTAAACTGAGCAGTTGTGCCAATTGCCGCAACAAAGCCCTGCTCGCCAACACGACCATTGGCGCTGGTTGTGCTGTCAACCGGCAAACCATACGCGCCCATTTTGGGCGTGTAGAAGGTCTGTTCCGTCGTCATGACGGCATCCGCAAACAGTCCGAGCTTGAGCACGCGGTCGAACAGCAGATTGTACTTGAGAGACCAGGTGGTTGAAGCCTGGCAATGGCAATGCAACCAACCCCCCTCGTCAGTGAGCACAACGACAGAATCCCCATTCAGCTCGAAAACGCAAAAAAAAGAGAAACTCACCGCGCCTTTCTCGCGCAGATAATGGTCCGTCGACAAGGACTGCGCCAGAATCTGGCTGGCAAAGCTTGTGGCCGAGTTCATGTATTGTGCCGCAGCAGTGGTGTTGCCAGTCAGGCTGAGCAGCAGACTGTACGCGCCAACTCCAATCGCACCCTTCATGGCAAGGTTGACGTTGTTCGCAGACGCTGTTCCATACGAGTCCACAAAGAGCTGGCTCGTTGGGAAAGGCAGGCTGGCGACCAAGTAGTTTGCCCAGGTGGTCAGGAGCGGCCAGTACGGTTGCAGATAGGTCAGCGGAGCACCACGCTGGGCGGCAGCCGTGATCATGATCAGCATGTTGGCCGTGTGCTCGACTGGCATGTCGTAGGTTGTGGGAATCGCGGCAGTGCAGAGCGGCCACTGGCCAACATGCGAGGGAGCCTGCGGAACATCGTGCAAGCAACCATACATGCCAAGTTGAGTGAAGCTGCTGCAAGAAACACAAACTACAACTGCAGCTGCAACAGCAACACTTACCCAGCTACGCGTGTACGGGAACGAGGTCTCGCTGTTGGCGTACTTGAGCACAGGAAGCAGCATCTTTGGCACAAGCGAGGGATTCAGCAGCAAGTAGAACGGAGAGGCAAAGAACATGGTGGTCACTGCGTTGACCTGCCCGTTGACCGGGCCATTGGTCGAGCTGGTGGCGAACGTTTTCATAAAGACGTAATGCTGTTGTGTGGTCGTGTCGATCGCATGCTCGGTCGACGCAGTGACTTGGCGATACACAAGCGACAGCAAGGTGGTGTAAGAGTTGGAGCCGCGCTTGTCGAACAGAGTCACAAGGGCAGTGTTGCGGGCGTTGATGGCACTCATGTAGGTGGCATAGTTGGTGTGCATCTGTGCAATCACCGTCAAAATCGTGCCAATCTTTGTCGACCAGAGCGGAGGGAGAACCTTGGAGAAAAAGTTCATCGTGTTGACATTGTCATAGGAAAGGGTCATGAATTTAGTGACACTTGTCGTGGAGGTCACACTCAGGCCGTTCCACCTCAGTGACAACACAGGCCAGTTATCGTTGCCATTGCGAGGACCAGTTTGCAAAGCTGGTGCAGCAGCACCACTGATAAATGCGTTTCTGCAGTTGGCATCGGAACTGACAGTGCCTACGAGGGCAGTTTCCTTGGGGGCAGCCATGTATGCATTACCCCAGTTGATACGGTCATTCGTGGAGCCGCTTAAAACTGTAATTTCGTTGAATGAGTGCAATACCGTTTTTGAATCAATGAAGCATCTCGACCAGAAATCTGACCTGACTGTACATTGGCGCCCATGCGGATAATTGTGTTGGTGCCGGTGCCGGATGAAGAAAGATCGGCCCAATTAACTGACGTACCAACATCCGCTACAACAAGCTCGGCCGAGTGATCAATGTAGAGACTGACAGTGTGCGATGCGCCATCAAGGGACGAGAGCGCGAACGTGACATACGTCACTGGCACCGAGACCAAGGTATCGTCATCGATTTGTGCTGGTTGTGAGAAAGTCAACACCATCTGGATGGCCGTTCCGAGCTTGAAGGTGTAAACGGTGCTCAGCGGCAAAATCTATTCGCCAGTGAAACAGATCGTTCCGTAAGTCGGGGTACTTTTGCCGATCGTGCAAGCTCAAAGGGCGCTAATCAAACAAACCTGGGTCGAAATGGGATCCACAATGATGCCTGTGCCACCGACAGACGGCACTCCCAGAAAGCGATAGTAGGTGCTATCGACTTTGGCGAAGCCAGTCATTCCTTGAACGCCGCCGTTTCTAGATGCATGCAAACAAACGGTGCAGGACGTGATTTGACTCGGTCAATGACAGGAGTACATTGAAAGCAGAGTCGGGGAGACGAATTAGGGGAGGAGAAGCAGATATGAAGGCAAGCCTCGAAAATTGCCGATCCGGACAATGCACAAGTAAACTGCAAGAGGCTCTGCCAACTGTTCATCCCTGCATGTTCGCAGCTCTCCAATACTAGCAATAAGATGACAAAGTGGAGGAAACAAGAAGAAGAAGACGATAATGGAAGATAACGATAAAGAGAAAGATCAAAAAAAGAAGGAACCAAAACACAAAAAACCACACGGCAGAACAGCTGCATCAACCACGAGCAAAACTTACGCGTGTTCGGTCCACGACCTGCCAGGAGCATCCGATAAAGACCATACGGACCAGTACGGGTTGTTCGCAAAGATCGGAAAGGCTGGCGGGCGGAAGTACGGAGAAAGAGCGGCAGAGGCGAGCGGCACACACACCGCGAGCAGGAGTACAGTCACCGTAGCGACGTGCATTGTGCGACGCGTGCACTGAACAGGAACCATAATCGAAAGCGGCGTCCCTTTGCTTCTCAGGAGGGTTGTCCGTGGAGGTTGTCAGTGTGGAGCGCGAGATCTACAAAATCGAGGAATCGTGCTGAGATGATGCGCGGAACAACAACATTTCAACCACAACTCAACGCGTTTTGTAGTGGTTTCATGCGCAGAACCGCCGAAAGCATAATGTTTTCCAAATTGCTGATGTCAAGAATCAGAACCGAAGCAGCATGCGAATCCAGCAGCGGACGCGCGTCCTCCGGGCCATGCGGTGACGAATAAGCCAGGGTGTTTGACGTCGCACTTGTAGGAATGCTTGGAACCAGACTGCGGTGTTGGCGATGGCACAGTTGTGGACGGAGTGTGTGCGCGGGTGTGTGTGTGTGCGTGTGTGTGTGTGTGTGTGTAGTAGTGCCAGTTCTCGCGCTAGCGCGCTGCTCATTGCCGACTGGCCATGAGTCAGAGTCACTGCAAACGGAAGCGCACAGTGGATTTGCTCCTTGGGGTTTGGCTTACTTGTTGCAAAACGGCAATGCAAACAAAACAACTACAGGAAAAAAACAAAACAAAACAAAACACAAAACAAAACAAAGCAAAAAACTAAAAAAAAAAACTGAAAAAAAAAACTAACTCTAAAGAAAAAACAATGAAACTCTCAGCATCTTCGCTGTTATTGACATCCATGCAAACTGTTTTTAATTGAACAGGAGAAGTGTCTCAGACACAGAAACGGAATAGATTCTATGGAAACAATGCGAACGCACAGAATATGAACACAAAAAGCCAGCGAGTGTCAGCCACTTTCGTTGACCATGGTCCGTGTCGCCTCCACCCCCCCTCCGGCTCGATATATACTCCTACTGTTCTCATCGATCCTTCTGGGCCACCATTTCGGAATCGCGAGGCAAAGTCTCTTCAATTGCACGAATGAAGAGACGCAAGTTCAGTCTCCTTCACTCTTTCACTCTTTCTCTCTCTTTTTCATGACTCGTCCTCGTCTCTCCCACCGCAGCTCGACTGCTCTCCCGCTGCTCGTGCTCGCAGCCGTCGCCGTCGTCGCTGCCACCTGCGCAACCGTCGCCGTCGGACAGCAGACCGTGACGCTGACGACCGAGAACGGCGCTCCAATTGACAATGCGCGCTCTGCACAGACGGTCGGCAACCGCGGCCCGGTGCTCCTCCAGGACTTCCAGCTGATCGAGCGCCTCCAGGTGCAATCCATAAGCAACAAGCTCGTCGACTCAATGTATCATGGGGGTTGGGGATTGGGGGTTGGCGGGGTGTTTGACGTCCATTTCCCCGCGTTAGTCCGCGTCCGGCTTTTTCCTACTCGACCGTTGCCCTACCAGAAAGGTCCTTTGTTTTTGGAGCTAAACACCACAAACCTCATCATCATCATCATCATCATCATCATCGTAATGAGAATGAGAATACCCCGCTGGGGGTTTCAGCACAGTTGTGAGCTTTGTATGCGATGAGAAAGCGGTCAAAATCCAAACTCCGACACAATGCTGATTCTGCGACATTGATCAGGTTGCGTTGAGTTGTATTGAATGGTGTATCAGCATTGCATTGCTTGAGATCAAGTTTCATATTGGAACGGGGATTTTTGCGCAGTGACCTCCATCTGAAAATCAGAGAGATTGCAACAAAGCACTCTGCGTTCGTTTGGATGACCTGCACTCACTCTTCGTATGCTTGTATGGTTGTATCGCAGATTCACAACCGGTAAAACTCAACGTCCAAGAGACAAAAAACTCCAGCTGCATTGGTAATCGGTTCATGTTGAATGCTCACCGTTTTTTGCCCTTTTCCCCCTGCAAATGGTCTGTGATCCTGTTCCAGTGAGCGCATTCCCGAACGTAACGTCCATGCACGCGGCGCACTCGCAAAGGGCTACTTCCAGGTCACCGACGACATCTCAAACCTCACGTTTGCCGAAGTGTTCAACGGCGTTGGAAAGCAAACCCCGGTTGCCCTTCGCTTCTCCACCGTCATTCACAGCCTGCACAGCCCCGAGTTTCTCCGTAAGGACACTGATCATTTTCTCCGTCGTCTTTTTTTTCACCCCCCCCCCTTTGACCACCTCTCTCATTTGAGCAAGGCTCGCCATTTTGTGCACTCATTCCATGTCTCGATTGTTGCAGGCGACCCGCGCGGATTTGCCCTCAAGTTCTACTCTCAGGAAGGCAACTACGACATTGTCGGCCTCAACTTCCCCGTCTTCTTCATTCGCGACGGCATCCGCTTCCCCGAAATGATCCGCTCGCTCAAGCCCAACCCTCTCACTGGCGTTCAGGAGTGGTGGCGCGTTTGGGACTTTTTCTCCAACTACCCCGAGAGCACGCACATGTTCACCTGGCTGCTCGACGACGTCGGTATTCCCGCTTCGTACTGCCAACTTGATGGCTGGGGTGTGCACACCTACAAGTTTATCTCAAAGGTAGAGAGAGGTTTTGTTTTTCGTTTGTTTTGTGCAAGCCTGGTTTCCACGTCTTCATTTTGTTGTTTGGCAACACAGGCTGGCAAGGAACTCCTCGTTCGTTACTACTTTGAGAGCGCCCAGGGTGTTGTTGTGAGTAGTGCTGGTTTGACTTCAGCTCGAGCCGAAAAATTTGGTGCGTTGTTTCTGACTCGTCTGCTGGGAAATGCGGCGCCGCTTGTTCCAGTCTCTCAACGACGACGACGCCGTCAAGGAGCACTTTTCGTTTGCCACCATCGACCTGACCAACCGCATGAACGCAGGTATAGTTCGAGAGTTTGTTTATGGCTTTTCCTGTTGGGTTGCCACTGTCGCATCATTAACAAAAACGACGTTCATGTTCTCCATCCTCCAGGCTCCTGCAAGTGGACGCTGTATATTCAAGTGCTCGACCCCAGCGACACCCGCAAGATTGAAAGCCTGTCGTACGACTATCTCGACACCACCAAGCAGTGGCAAGTTTCCGACTTCCCGCTGCAGCGCGTTGGCACCCTTGTCTTGAACGAGAACCCCCGCAACCAGTTCCTTGAGAATGAGCAATCCGCCTTCTCCCCTGCCCGAATGGTAACTCGAGGGGCTTCTTGTTGGGATGCGTGAATAGGCTGTAACTGCATGCTCACGCGTCTCGTTCTCTCTTGCTGCAGGTGCCAGGCATTGCCCCTTCCGACGAAAAGATGCTCCAGGCTCGTCTGTTCTCTTATGGCGATACCCAACGCTACCGTCTTGGCACCAACAACCAAATGCTGCCCATCAACCGTCCCAAGTGCCCCTTCTTTGGTGCGGTCTGGATGTTGATTTTTGTTTTTGAGTTGCTGCGAAATGCTGTTGCGGATTTTGTCTTTTTTTTCTGTTTGCACTCACCCCATTCTGTGCTATTTTTCTGACAGACAACCACGTCGATGGCTTGATGAACTTTAACGAGCCCACCGCCGATTCGGCTGGCGAAATCAACTACTTCCCTTCGAACATTCGCACCAACGTCAAGGAAGCCGCGCCCTACTACCATGAAACGGAGGTCGTCACTGGCCAGAAGGTCCGTGCCAACATCAACCTGACGAACGATTTTGCGCAGCCTGGCGCGCGCTACCGCTCGTTCGACTCTGATCGCCAAAACCGACTGGCCCAGCGCATCGCTTCTGCCCTCTCCGACCCCCGTCTCCCTCCCGCGATCCAGTCCACCTGGCTCGGCTACTTTGGCAGCGCCGACGCTGGACTTCGCAGCAGCATTGAGCACTACCTGAGCGCCCTCCAAATGTCGCCCGAGATGGTCGCCGAGGGTGTTTCTGCCGGCACCCTCCACCCCAAGCTGAAGGACATTCACGCCTTCCGCGCAGCCTTCCACCGCGCTGCCGGCTCCCAGTGAGTGTGTGAGTGCGTGATTGAGTGAGGGTTTTTTTTGTTTGTTGTTGATACAACGCAGTTTCTGCGTTTTGTTGCTTTTGCCCGTTCTCTCGTTTTCGTATTCTCTGTGCCATGCAATTCTTGAGGTCCAATGACCGAGGAATCGCACGCAGCTCGTGTTGTTGATATCCGGGTTCTCCCGCTTTGTCTGAGCAATACAGTTTTTGACCTTTGCACCACAAAGCGATGTTTGTTTGAGGTTTCGACCAAATCCATTTCCATCCCAATTCCCCACACAAACCCCAAATTACAAAGTCGGCCATACTTCACTTTTATTTTATTTTGACAGTCGACCAAGGGATGGGCAAGAAGGACAAGAAGAAGAACAAGGCCAAGTCGGACGACCACGCCGACAAGAAGCTCGAGAAGCGCCTCAAGAACGCCATCAAGGCCTCCGGCGAGCAGGACATTGAAGAGCTCATTGCCGAGTTTGCGCGCCAGGCGAGTCTCGCTCTCTCTCTCTCTCTCTCTCTCTCTCTATGGGGAGGGGACGTCGACGAAGCCGATCCCCTCAAAGTCCATGTGGATTTGGCGATTTGAGGCCAAAGCTTGAGCCAACCACCACCACCACCCCTGAGTGCTCACTTGTTGTGGTTTGCTATACATTGTGTGTTGAATCATCTGCCTGAACAAACAACAACAGGACGTCGCGAACGCAACGGTGACCGAGGTCGTCCTCGAAGGCGCTCCGAGTCCGCGAGCGAACGCCTCGTTCACGCCGCACCCGACCAAGGACGAGCTCATTGTGTTTGGCGGAGAGCTCTTCAATGGCGACAAGTGCTACATGTACAACGACTTGTACTTTTACAACATTGCGAAAGGCCAGTGGCGCCAGCTGCGCGTCCCGAACGGCCCAACGCCAAGGTCGTCGCACCAAGCCGTCGCTGTCGATCGCGGCGAAGGTCAGCTCTGGGTAAGGAAGCACAGAGTAAAATGGAATGTTAAGAGACGCGGGGTGTGTGTGGGTGTGTGGGTGTGGGGTGGATCTCAGTTTTGCTTGGATTACGATCGCTCACACTCACTCCCTGTGCCTAACACTTCCAGCTCTTTGGTGGCGAGTTCTCATCACCATCACAATCACAATTCCACCACTTTAATGAACTCTGGGTGCTGCACTTGGGTGCATCGCCACGGTGGGAGCGCGCCTATCCTCGCGATCAGTCGGCCGCAGCGCCCGGCGCCGCTGCCCCAGCTGCTGCTGCCAAGGCGTCGAAAAAGGGCGCGTCCGCCGCCGCGAGTGTCGGTAGCTCTGGCCCCTCCGCACGCAGTGGACATCGCATGGCCGTGTACAAGCGCCAGCTGATTGTGTTTGGCGGCTTCCACGACACAAACGCGGCAGCGCGTTACTTTAACGACCTTTACCGCTTCGACATGGACTCGTATGCGTGGACCAAGGTGGACACGGGTGTTGTCGCCGCCGCTGCGGCTGCCAATGCAGCAGCTGGTGGCAATACCAACACGGCCAACAGCCCGTCGCCGCGATCCGGCTTCCAGATGATTGTGAACGGCGACACGCTCTACCTGTACGGCGGCTACTTTAAGCAGCACCTCAAGGGCGAAATCGACAAGGGCGTCACTTACACTGACATGTACGCGCTCGACCTGAACGCGTGGAAGTGGAGCAAGGTCAAGCGATCTGGCGACGCCCCGTCCGCGCGCAGTGGATTCAGCATGGTGATGGGCAAGCGCATGGCCATCATGTTTGGCGGCGTCTTTGACGAGGAGACCGAAGACGAGATCGAGGGCACCTTCTTCAATGACCTGTACGCCTTCAATTTGGAGAAGAAGCGCTGGTTCCAGATTGTGCTGCAAGGCGACAAGGAGGGCGCTGAGGGTGAGGACTCTGCCACCAAGGAGAGCAAGGACGAGGCTGCTGTGGAGCCGCTTCCGCGCATCCAAGCCCACTTGGCCGTCAAGAACAACACCATGTTCCTGTGGGGCGGCATTGTCGAGGAGGACGAGAAGGAGCTCACCCTCGGCGACATGTACTCGTTGGACATTTCAAAGCTGGATTCGTGGCGTCTCTTGTACGCACCCGACGGCTCTGCCTCGACTTGGATTGGCACGAATGAGGACGACGACGACGACGAAGCCGAAGAGGACGACGAGGATGACGGCAAACGCAAAAAGTCTTCTCGCAAAAACAAGGCTGCCAAGGACGACGATGATGATGTGGACTGGAGTGGCAAGGCCCGCGCCAAGGGCAAGGGCAAGGGCAAGGGCAAGCCAGCACCTGCACCTGTCGCCGCCAAGACCTCCAAAGCCCCAGCAGCGCAACCGCAAACCAAAGGTCGCGGCAAGCCCTCCAGCGACGAGGACAGCAGCAGCGAGGAAGACGATTCAGACGATGACGATGACGATGACGATTCGAGCGAAGAGGATTCTGACGATGATGATGATGATGACGAAGACGAGGACTCAAGTGATGAGGACGAGCGACCTGCGCCCAAAAAATCTGGCAAAGCTGCCGCTCCAGTGGCTCCCAAGGGCAAAGCCGCTCCAGTAATAGCAAAGGGCAAATCCGCTCCTGCCCCAAGCAACAAAAAGTCCAGCCGTCCAGTCGAGTCATCATCATCCGAGGAAGAAGAGTCCGACGAGGACGAGGAATCCGACGAGGAAGAAGAAGAGTCCGAAGACGAGGAATCCGACGAAGACGACGATGAGGATGATGATGATGATGATGCTTGAGGCAACGTTCGTCAGTCGGATAAGAACTGTGCACGTCGTGACTGATTGTGTGTTTGTTGTCGTGCATTTGTTTTGAGCGGCATTCAATGATCTCCACCAATCAACCGCCCCCAATGCTTTTGCATCATTGTCCAGCACTCTAGCTCTGATGGCTCAGAGTATTGATTGATTCTGCTTCTGAGTTTGTTTTCTCAGTCCACCTTTTTTTTTTTTTTTTTTTCCGTCTCAATGAACGACGTTGGGTTTTCGCCACGTCTATTGTCTCCAGTGCGTTGATTTGCCTTGTTTCTTTGTCATCGAACCTGTGCCTTCACGGATGAATGGAATGATTTGAGCGAAGTGTTTTTTGTTTTCTACTGACAAACGAGTATCGCTGCGGGCGGTACCATTTCGTTGCTTCCTCACCCTTCCATTTAGTTAATTTTTAGTATCCCCGTCTTGGCGTTTTTTTTTTTTTTTTTGTTCCCTTTTCCCTTCCTGTCGCTCTTTTGTGGCCGCTTCGCCTTCGCTCACCCATCACTTTTCGCCCTTTCTTATTTTGTCTCTTCCCAACTCTTCCTCTTCACAGGTCTCTGGGCTGGTGACGTTGGTTCGAGACGCGTCGTCCTCGTTCCTCGCGTCGGTCATCGCTGCACCTGCGACGGAAGCCCAATCCCAGGTCCACGCTCAAACCCGCGCTCTGGCATCGACACCCTCGATCGTGCACACCGTGTCTGATGCAACGGTGGCCGATCGAGCTGCGTCTGGGTCTGGATCTCTCCTCGTCGCCGAGCCACTTCCTGTTGTGCCAAGCGCAAGCGCAAGCTCAAACTCGGCCGTCGGGCTCCATCCCGCTGATCAGAAGCTCAGCACTGCAATGATGCCATTCAGGTCGCACGGCCTGCGTGTTGCGTCGGTCGCTGCAACTGCCGCCGCTGTGCTTGCTGGCGTCCGCCGTCGCGCAGCCACATCGCTGACCCGCCAGCTGCACCCGCTGCTCGTGATGCCATCTGCTGCTGCAGCTGCTGCTGTTGCTGCTGCGTCCTCGTCGTCGTCGTCGCTGGCTCTTGTGGCGCGGGCGGTCGCTGGACCCGCACTCTACACGCCCGTTCCTGCCGTCGCCTTTGCTTCTCTGCCTTACCGCCGTGCTGCTGCAACAATGCCGTTCGGTGTATCGTCACGCTTTAGCAGTTCCTCTGCTCCAACTTTGATGCCCCAACCATCCTCCTCCCTGACACTGACAATGCCGACACGCTCCTTCTTTGGCCAGGCCAACAACCGCTCGGTCAGCTTCCCTTCTGCCATCAACCCGCAGCCGCAGTCGCGTGCTCAAGATGGCACTGCTGCCAATGGCTCGCGTTTGGACGGCTTCTTGGACCGCTTCAAGTACCAAGAGCAAGGCTCGGGTCGGTCCACCAAATCAGCGACTTCCGATGGCGGCGAACCCGGCACGCATGACGCTCCGATCGTGGTCGAGGTCGCACAAGGCTCGTTCAAGTCCCAGCTCTTCAGCCTCGCTCGCCAACTCATCATGGTGACTGTGCTGATGGCGTATCTGTCGACCATGCTGGAGGAGCGCACCGGCATGTCCAAGTCCATGAACCAACACAACGAAGTCCAGCCCGACACTAACTCGGACTGCCGTTTTGCGGACGTTGCCGGCGTCGACGAGGCCAAGGAAGAGCTGACTGAGATTGTTGAATACCTCAAGGATCCCGAAAAGTTCCAGCGTCTCGGTGGTCGTTTGCCCAAGGGTGTCTTGTTGTACGGCCCGCCCGGTACCGGCAAGACGCTCCTCGCCAAAGCCATCTCGAACGAGGCCAAGGCCAGCTTCTTTTATGCCAGCGGCTCCGAGTTTGACGAGCTTTTCGTCGGTGTCGGCAGCAAGCGCATCCGCGAGCTGTTCGCCCAGGCCAAGCGCAAGAGTCCCGCCATCATCTTCATTGACGAAATTGACGCCATCGGCGCGTCCCGAACCACGCGCGATCAGCAGTTTAGCAAGATGACACTCAACCAGCTCCTGATCGAAATGGACGGCTTCAAGCAGAACGACGGCGTCATTGTCATTGCTGCGACCAACTTCCCCGAGCTGCTCGACAAGGCCCTCGTGCGTCCTGGTCGATTCGACCGCCACGTGACTGTGCCGTTGCCGGATGTCTTGGGACGCAAGCAGATTCTCGATGTCCACACGAAAGACATTCCCGTTGCCAAGAACGTCGATCTGAGCATTATCGCGCGCGGCACTCCAGGTTTTTCGGGTGCCGAGCTTGCCGAGGTGGTGAACCAAGCAGCCCTCAAAGCGTCGGTCGAAGGGGATAAGGTTGTGACGATGGCGCACCTCGAGTATGCCAAGGACAAGATCATCATGGGTGCCGAACGCAAATCGGCCGTCATTGACGACAGCGTGCGCAAAATCACCGCCTACCACGAAGGCGGGCATGCTCTGGTCGCCCTCATGTCGCACGGTGCTCATCCTGTTCACAAGGCAACAATTATGCCCCGCGGTCGAGCTTTGGGCATGGTAGGCAGCCACAAAAAAAAAAAAAAAAACCAACAAGAAAAACTATTGTGCTTGTGACTTATTTTTTTGTTGTTGTTTTTGGTTTATGCCTGTCACAGGTTGCTCAATTACCCGAAAAGGACGAGATCAGCACCACGCGTCGACAGCTGCTCGCACGCTTGGAGGTTTGCATGGGTGGCCGTGTTGCCGAAGAGCTCATTTTCGGCCACGACAACATTACAAGCGGCGCTTCGAGCGACATTGCAAGCGCGACGTCTCTTGCGCGCGCCATGGTGACTCAGTACGGCATGAGTGAAAAGGTAGGGACTAGTGCGCATTTATGAAAGTTCTATCGCAGTGGCTGACTTGAAACCACCTTGTTTTCGTCAGATTGGCCCTGTGCTGCACCGCGAGGAGGACATGGATAAGCTAAGCCCCGAGACACTTGCTGTGATTGAGTCAGAGGTCAAGGCGCTAGTTGAGGTTTGTTTTCCACTCGACGTGATTCGATGTGTTGGCTCGTTAGCGAGCTCTTTTGCGAATTCAATGTTCACTCTTGTATTGTTTGGAATTTGGCATCTTATCTCTCTCTCTCTCCCCCACCACCCACAACTTGACAGACTGCTTACAAAAACGCAACTCAAATGCTCAGAACGAACAGCACAGAGCTTCATCGCATTGCGCAAGCCCTCATCGAATATGAGACGCTCAATGGTGAAGAGCTGAAGCTTATTGTGCAAGGCAAATCCATTCCACGCGATCCCGTCACGCCCAAGAAGCAGTAATCACCGACACTGCGTGTCAACTAACGGCTGTGTGGCTGGTTTTCGACGCGACTATTCTGTATTTGTAGTAAAATTCAACCTTGTTTGTTTTGTCTTCTGAAAGCGAAAACATTCAAATTTCAAAGACGTCACATCCACCAAAAAGCGAGGACATTGCAACTAACAGCGCTAAATAATCAAACACACTCAGCCATTAACAACATGTTTACACATTCCGCTCGTGCGGTGCAAGATAAGGAAGTCCAAGCGCCTCAAACACAGAGTGCTCGGTGGGTGTTAACAAAGGCTCGCCCTCGGTGAGCTTTTCAGCCCGCAGCCGTTTGACGCCAACATTGAGCGAGTGCTGGGAGAGGGACATGTGGCGTTTACGCGCGAGCAGTCGCATGGAACGATTAAAGTAGCCAGAGCCGGTAAAGTACAGCAAGGCGGTGCCCCATTCCTTCAACGGCACGGCAATCAAATCGATGCGGCGGTGGAAGTTGGTGAACGGCACAGGTCGTCCATCAGGAACGCGCCCGGCTGTGGAGGATATCGGAAGCGCTGATGTTGGCAGACCAGGAGCGATGGTTGCTGCAGCAGCCGACGGCGGATTCTCATCCGAGTCGAGAGTCCCGCTCGCAGAAGGCAAGCTGCTGCTGCTGCTCTGGCTCGAGCCGATGGTCATGGAAAAGTCGGGCATCATGTGAGATGTGGTTGTGGCCGTGAAGGCTGCACAGGAGGCGGCGGCAACGGCCATCTCGCCAAACACATCCCAGTCGTGCTCCGTCACGCGGCAGATGCCCATGTACTTGTGCTGCGTGCCGTCGTGGCCTTCGCTCAGATGGTCTGTTAATAGGCCGTCGCGCTTGAGGATGGGAATGAGTCGATTATAAATGTCCGTGTGCGCTCGTCCGTCCGGATGCGACAGAAGAATATCCACATCACCGCACGTGTCTTTGCCACGTCGGTAAGAGCCGCAGATTGCAACCAGCACGCCGCTATTGATTTGCTTTGCAAAGTGATACACCTGAGAGCGCGTTGGTGTTGGTGAGCATGTTCGTCCCCAACAAACCAAACCAACAAACCAAACCAAACCGAAAAAAAAATCAAATCTCCAACCTTCGTCCCAATCAATGTGACCTCAGCTCGCGGGATTTTCTTCAAGAGATCGTCATAATGCTTGACGCCGATTTGCATGATCGGGGGCAGTTGCGAAGCTTGGGCTCGTAGCTGGTCCATGGAGTGGATTCCTTTTGCGTACAGCTTTTGCGCCGTGGTGGGCCCCACGCCATACACTTGCGACATTTCAAGAATAACCTTTTCAAAGAGGGAGGCAAGGACAAGGGCACAGTGAGATTGAACTGGGATGTTGACCGCACTTCAACAATAAATGCTACCTTGAGTCGAGGGTCGCGATCGTCCAGGCGGCGAAGATGCCCTGTCGAGACAATTTCCCAAACCTTCTTGGCAAGTCGCTCTCCCACGTTGGGGAGAGCCAGAGCTTCGGCAAACGACTCGATCGGCTTGTGGTGATGCTTGAGTGCGGTGATGGCCTTCTGGTAGCCCATGGCGCGCCATGTATCCTTTTGAGCGCGATAGTCGCCCTCGAGCATTTCAAAAATGTCCGTGACTTGCTTGTTGTGGTTGATGGGCTGGTCGGAGGAAGGTCGCCCGCATGCAAAAGTCGACTGCCAAAGCACAAGAGATGATTGGCACGGTCAGTGTCTTGCCATATGCAACAATGCAGCAAACTTTCATTTTTCCCCATCCCCCCGCTTACAAGCCACCGTGTTTGTCTTGTGGAGCTGGCCTGCTCTTCTGCAACGCTTGCCTGCTCCCAGTCAGAGTCGCCAGAGCCTTCCGCCTCGTCGCTGCCAGACTGCTCGTCCTTCACGCCTGTATCGCGCTTTAGCTTCATGCGACTATTGGAATGCGACCTGTCCACTTCGGCAAATGCTGCGTCAAACGCCTTGTTGAAGCGCGAGAAGGTTGTTTCTGCTGGGTCATTGCTGGGGTTGGCAGCACTGGTCGAGGGAGGAGCAGCTGTTGCTACCTCGGGTCGGGAACGAAGGGGCATGCTGCTGTTTCGTTCATCATCGGACGAGTCGCCAGAGGAGTCGCCTTGCTGTGCTTTTTGGACGGTGCCGAGAAGGCGTTTTTTATTTTCCGCAGCCCGTCGGACCCACGATGCGCTGGATGCAGCCTTCTGCGCGACTAAAAGCGCTTGCTGCTCTTCCTCGCGCTGTGCAATCATTTCCTCTCGACGCTGCTGAGCCTCTTGCTCTTCGGGAGATGGAATCGTGAGCAGAAACGAGGCAGTGTCGCAAGGGGTGCCGCGGCGAATGGACTCGGACAGCCACTCCGCTGCTACGGCCAGCACACGATCGGCAACAAGCACGAGGTCGGGCTCTGTTTCTAGCAGTCGACTCCGTGGAAGTGCCGTCACAAGGTGTGTTGTATTGGGGCACAGGTGCGAGCACAAGCGGCCGCCGAGCGCAGTCACCTTGTTGACAAAGATGTTCCAGCGCTGAGCACCGAGAAGTTTGTCGATAAGATAGATGCATGTTGGAGCAAACGTGGCACGTGCCTTTGAAGCGGTGGTTGTCCGTGTGGCTGTGGCGGCAGATCGAGCGGACGACGAGGGTTTGGCGCTGGCATTTGAAGTGCTGGTTGCACTGGAATTGCAAGAGCATGGGCTGTGATACAAGTCACTGAGAACACGAAGCGGTGCAGCAGCAACAGCGGCAGAGGTAGCAGCAGTTGCGGGCGGCGGAGCAGTCCAAGATGCGGTGGATGCTGTGGACGTTGCACCAACACTGCAATTACTCGCTTGAGATCCATCCAAGCCAATATTAGTAGTGGTCGTCGTGGCGAGGCCTCTGAATGCTCGATTATCGACGGGCGTCGATGCGCTCAGTTGCTCAGAGCTGCTGCTGGACGACTCGACTGCCATCATCGCTACGGCTTCCGTTTCATCGCGGTCTGCTGCTGCAGTGCTGTCAGCCATTGAATTCTGTGCTTGTTTCAATGGAAGACCAGAATGATGAGGACGAGGACCAGGCAGTGGCGGTGGCGGGGACATGCGAATGCGTTTAGCGGCAGAGTGAGTTCTGCTTGCAACGGGCGACTCGATGATGACGACGGCAGAGCTATCGCGCGCAGTGAATGCAGGAGCAGTAGTGGAAGAGCAGCCGAGAGTGGCAGCAGTGGCAGCAGCGTCAATGTCGTCGGTGCTGCAGCGGCGTTTGAGACCAGTCGTGCTGTCGAGCATACAAAGTGAGCGTTCTGACAACAACACGGTCGGAGCACTTTGGACTGGCGCAGAGGAGGAGGATGATGATGACGATGATGGCTGCGGCGGTGTTGGTTGAATCACTGGAGACTGGCTCAGCTCAAGTTGCAAGCAATCGAGCAAGTCGTCCGAAGACGCGAAAAAGCGAGCCATTGCGTTACGGATGCATAACTGGACTGGTCATCCCTGTGTGTTATGCTTTTTTTGCTATGAGGGGAGAGCAATCATTTCGAGACGTGGTGCTTGCAATCGGAGGGTGATGCAGCGGGTGGGGTCCAACTTAGAAAGTGAGCAATATCCGAGTTGTCGTTTGATTTTGGTTTTGATCTCGAGCGCTTCTTCACATTGCTCACTTTCAGAGTCGATTGAGAGCATCGTTTTTGTTCACACACACATTTGCCTTTGAATTACTGCAGCTCCACTCTTTCATTCACCCTTGTTTTTTTTTTTTTCAGAATGGCGACTGCAATGGAGGTGATTGCGCCCGAGCAGGATCGCGCTGTTGCAAACCCGTCAGCATCGATGGAGCGCTTTGACCGCGCGACTGAGCTTGCGACTGTGCGCCCGGACGAAGCTGCTGCGCTCTTCCACTCGCTCATTGTCGACGACTCGCTGGCCGACGACGAGGCGCTGCGACTCCGCGAGCAGGCCGTCTACGCGCTGAGCGACCTCTACGTTGCGACCAAGCGACCGACCGAGCTCGCTGCCCTCATCCGCACCACCCGCGGCTTCCTCTCCAGCATCTCCAAAGCCAAGGTCAGTTTACCGCTTGCCAGATGCGGGGTGGAGGGAGAGCGAGGCCTCAACAAGTCGACTTGCAGTCTGTTTGGCCAGCGTTTCCCAAAACCCTCCCCCAAGCAGCGATTGAGATTGAGCTTGCGATGCAACAACAACAACAACAGCGCATTGCATTGCATTGAGAAACGCAGCAACCGGGCAGAAGCTGAAAAAGTGAATGAAAAAAACGAACAAAAGAAAGAAAGAAAGGAAGAAATCGCGAAACTTTTTTTTTTTTTTTTTTTTTTTTTTTTTTTTTTTTTTTTGCTGCTGGAGCACCATTGCGCTGGTTTTTTCCATCCCATCAAACTTACAGCTGATGCTTGCGTTGTTATTCCACCTCCTCCTCTGACTTGTCTTTGTTTTTTTTTGCGCTTGTCACAGGCCGCCAAGCTCGTGCGGACGCTGCTGGACAAGTTCCTGGCCGTGACGAGCGCAACGCAGGACGCAGTCAACCTCATCCGCGAGTTTATCGACTGGACGAACGAGGAGAAGCGCACCTTCCTGCGACAGGCGTTGGAGGCGCGATTGATTGCGTTGTACATTGACACGCGTGCGTACTCGGAGGCCATCGCGCTGTCCACGGCCTTGCTCAAGGAGCTCAAGAAGCTCGACGACAAGCCGCTGCTGGTCGAGGTGCTCTTGCTCGACAGCCGCACCTTCCACGCCCTGGCCAACATCCCCAAGGCACGCGCCGCATTGACGTCCTCGCGCACCTACGCCAACGCCATCTATGTGCCGCCAGTCCTCCAGGCTGCCCTCGATCTCCAGGGCGGTGTGCTGCACGCCGAAGAGAAGGATTTCAAGACGGCCTACTCTTACTTTATCGAGGCCTTCGAGGGCTTTGACTCGCTCAACCACAAGGAGGCGCTGTCTGCTCTCAAGTACATGCTCCTCTCCAAGATTATGCTCCAGTCGTCCGACGAGGTCGCCAGCATCCTGACTGGCAAGATTGCCCTCAAGTACTCTGGATCTCACGTTGATGCCATGCGCGCCGTTGAAAGCGCTCACAAAAACCGCTCCCTGGAGCAGTTCCAACAGGCCTTGGTGCAGTACAAGGCCGAGTTGACAGACGACCCAAACATCCGATCGCATTTGCAGGCCTTGTACGACACTCTTCTCGAGCAAAATCTGCAGCGCATCATTGAGCCCTTCTCGCGCGTCGAAATCAAGCATGTCGCCGATCTCATCCAGTTGCCCGTCGCCCAAGTCGAAACCAAGCTTTCACAAATGATTCTTGACAAGAAGCTCATTGGCATTCTCGACCAAGGACTCGGCTGCCTTGATGTTTTCGCCGAGCAACCCGCAGATCGGACGTATAATGCCTCGATCGATACGGTGCAGTTTATGGGTCAGGTCGTTGACGCCCTGTACAAGAAGGCCCAAAAGCTGACATAAAAATTGTGCTGAGGGTCTTTTTGTTTTTTTTTGTTCATTTTGCTTGTTGTTGTAGTTGTTTTTGTTGTTTCGATTGCTAGATATGTTTGTTCGGTTGCATATTTGGCTTTGGTGTAATTCTTGTTGTAGAAACCAGTGATCTTTCCCAATTCGTTGTTTGATAGTTTATTTTGAATTTTTTGTTTTGGGTCGAGCCAACATCAAGCAAATGGAATTATACAATGGCAAACTGATCATACAAGACATCGCGCACTGCGAAATAATCCTCGGACAGCCCTCCTTCGATTGCGAAAGCTTGGTCTTGCTGGTTTTGGAAACAAAAGTGGGTCAACCGGCTTCGTTAGTGTCCTCGTCAAACTTCCATCATCTCAACACGACACGAAACCTCACCTTGCGAATGGCAATCGTGTCGTTGCAAACAAGCACGCCTTGAACAAACTCGGCGTGGAAGCCCGCCTCAATCAACACTTCCTTCACCTCGTACAGCTTAGGGTCACCCACAAAGACCTGGGCGTGGCCTGGAACGAGGTGTGCTGGAAGCACATCGAGCTCCAATGTGGTCTTGCCCCCAGTCGGGACGTGAATTTGGCCATGGAAGTATGCCAGCTCGAACATTCCAGTCTAGCCGCCAACAACGTAGACATCAGCCAACCAGATCGCTCAAAACACGGTTCCCAACGAGCAGTCAAAACGAGCGAAAGAGAAACAAACAAGCTTACAGTGGAAAATTTCAACGTGCTCATGAGCGAGTCGCGCAACCGAACTTGGTAAATGTTGTGCTCCGAGCTGGCGTCGATGGTGGTGTTAAGAGCAGCGATAGTAACTTTGCATTGCGGCATTTTCACTCGAAGTGCACTTTCAAGCTCGTTTGACGATGTTGCTGAACCGTGTACCAGAATCTATCCAACAAATTCAGTCAAAAAATTAAGAAAATAGAAACAAAAAAAAAAAAGAAGAAGAAAAAAAAAAACTACTCCCTTTCCGAACCGCCCATCCCTCCTCCAAATCAATACACGACCAAGAATCACGTCGACTTACAAGCTGGCGCGCGTTAACACTCTCAAAAATGGTTGCTAAGGACATGGAGTCGGCACGGCCTTCCAAATCAACATGTTTAACGGTGCATTGGATTTGCAACGCGACTTGCTTCGAGACCGTTTTAGACGGCCGATTGTGTGCAGTTGCGTGTAATTGCTGCTTGATTTGGGAGGTGTCGAGTTTCAGAGTGCTCTACCGAGATAACAAAGGCAGAAAGATCAAATAGACACGTCAGAAAACCTCCACCTTCACAGCCAGAGCTTGCAACTGACCAACCACACACAACATACCTCAAGACCCGTTTCTTCTTCTCCAGTCACCATGGCTGTTGCATGAGAAGTACCGGCGCTGCTGCTGGTGGATGCCAGCGGCTTGAGCGTGTCTGTAAACTCTTCCGTCAAGATCTGATAGTCCGACCGCCGAATCACCTCGCCCCATTCGTCGGCCTTTTTGCGGTGCTGCTCGACAAACGGGAACATGGGGAAGGTGCGGGTTTGTTTGAAAAAGTCTCCGCGCTTGGAGAGCCGAGCTTCGTCACCCAGCATGTAAATGTCGTGCTTGAAGCGATGTCGGCCGCCGCTACTTGTTCCTGTTGAACGACCGCCACGGCCAGGTGCAGAGTCGGAGGTGGATGCACCGGGAGCAGCGTGGATTGCCCGCAGAATTTTGAGCTCGTCATCTTCATCCTCCTCGTCTTCCAAGTCGGCATCTAACTGGTGCAGGAGCTGCGATCCATCTGCTGCGGCAGAGCCGCGATGCTGGCCACTTCCATAGCCCGCCGAGCCAGAACCAGATGCTGTCTGCATGGGAACGGCATCATCTGCGGCATTGTCGTCGTCGGCGGCGTCCGTCTGCAGCGCTGCCAGTTCCATCTCAGCCTCTTCTTGTTCACGAAGGTACTCGTCCAGCTCTTCGCCTTCGAGTGCAATGCGAGTCTTGACGTCAATAACGATTTGGCGATTCTTCTCGACCAAACTCTTGGCAAGGTCGCTTGCTGGCGAGTTGTTGGGGAAGATGATTAGGTTTTTCGGGTTTTCAGCCCACTTGAGCATCAGGTCGCGTGCAAAGCCGGAGGTGAGGCCCTCCATACTCGCAAGCACAACGACAGGCGTGCCTTCTTTGGCAACTTGAGCCAGCTCCTCCATGGTCTGGCACATTTTGATGTGCGCAAAGCTGAACGGGTTGCTGCGCGTCGTCTCAAACTCCTTTTGCATCTTGGCGCTCATCCATTCGATTTGAGCCATGGCAAAGTTCATCACGGTGCGCGAAATGTGCGACAGGACGACAATCGGAAAGTTCTTGTACTTTTCCCACTGCTTGTCGAGCACCTGTGCCAGCTCGAGCACTCGACCGGCAGTGTCTGTCGGGATGAGCACACTGCCGCCAGCACTGCCGTCCTTGGGATTGATGAGCGTGTTGACGATCGAGTCCAGAAACAGCCGATCACGGGTTTTGCGCGGCACCGACTCTGCGCCATAATTGAACGAGTTTGAAATGAGAATGGATGGCCGCTCGTACTGGAACAGGTCCTTGAGCTCGGTCGGATTGAGGTGGCGCTCGAGCTGGTGGTTGAAATCGACGGCATAGACAATGTCCTCGCCTTCCGTGATGATGCGCCAGATCGTGCCGCCAACCATGTGGCCCGCCGCGTGCGGGATGATTGTAATGGGCTTGGTCTTTGCGCCCAGCGGAACGACGACGCGCTGCTGGAACTTGAGCGTGGTGATGCGCTCGAACGCAGCGTCCACGTCGTCGAGGGTGAACGGCAGCGCGCCTTCGCCCTGCATCTCGGCGTGCGACATCCACAGATCGTACATGAACATCTGCCCCATTTTGTGGACGGGAATCGTCGCGTAGATCGGGCAGCTCGGCGGCAGATTGTACCGTCCAGCCAGCATTGCCAGGCCGCCCAAGTGCGCCAAGTCCGGGTGCGACACCAGCACGCAGTCAATCTGAGGTGCGTATCTGATTCGTCAGCAAAGCGCGCAATGATGATGAGCGAGACAGTAAGAGCAAAGCAGTCAGAGCGTCCCATTGTGAGTATTGTGTATGGATGGATGGACATTACAGCTGGATGGCTTTGAGGCTCTGCTCGTCCAGCGCTTCGTCCCAGCCGCAGTCGAGCAGAATGTGCGCCTCGTCAATTTGCAGCAGATAGCACAACGGCGAGCGCTCATCGACGCCCGACAGCGCCGTGAACTTGATGATCGCAGCCATTGAAGCAGACGATTGAAAAAGGGACTGAGCTGCTCAGAAATTAGAAATTGGGGAGTGGAAAGTGTATACTAGAACAAATAGAAAAATGAAACAAAACAAAACCCGCGTGTGCTACTACATTAGATGCCAGTGGAAGTGGAACAATGAACACACAAAACGGATTTTGCTCTAGCTCCTTTATGCTCAGTTCCAGGACATTGCAAATTCAAGATTATCACGCTCTTCAGCTGCGCTAACAGTTAGAATCGACGATGCGGTGACGGATGGGAAGGCGTCAATAAAGCGCAAGCTCGAGACGTAGCAATGCGGCGTGGACACGAGTGGACTGAACTGAATGTCGCCAACGTTGTCAACGCCATACTCGAGCCAAGTCAGGATGGCATGCGCCACACCAGCCTTGTCGACATTGAGCTGGCACTGGTGCTGAACAGGAGAGGAGGACGTCGTATCGGAAGCGGCCGCGCCGACGACAGCCTGGAAGTCCACCCGCATCAGACACTGGGGCTGCGATAGCGCAACAAAGCCGTACTCGTGCATGTTGTACACGTACTCGCCCTTGGACGAGGCTTGGCGAACGGATTTGAGCGCCGCCATGGTAAATCCGCTGGCGCCGTTGATCTCGCCGTGGCTCTTCCACAGCTCGTCCAGCTGAACAACCACAGCCATCAAGCGACCCACTTGAGGCAGGACGCGTGCAGTCGGACTGAGCAGCGGTGCAAGCTCGCGCAGTTCGTTTCGGAAGCGGAAGAGCGTCTCGTGTGGAATGCAGATATCCGAGTAGTATGGGATGCCAGCGACAACATCCACTTCGCCTTCGTACCATTGTACGCGACGGGCACTATCTGAGGGCGGTGGGGCTGTGCCAGACCTGTCCTGCAATGAGGCGGGAACAAAAACAGGATTTTCCACAAACGCATTCACCGTGTCTTCCGATGCCTGGATGGAAACCACGTCCCCGACCTGGTTGGCAAACAAGACCTGACGAGCCACAGCCGAGGGCGAAGGGATGGCAGACTGGTGTGGAGCGAGGGACACAACCTGGACTTGCCCCACGGTTTTGTTTGCTCGCAGGGCAGTCGAGGCAATCATGCCTGCTACATGGGGCATGTCACCGAGCGCCACCGCTCGAACTGTCTCGGGGCACCGGCTGATGGCCGAGTCAATCCATCGCCACACAGTGCCCATCTTTTCCGTGTCGTTATACAGCCAGAGTTGCTCTCGGCCGCAGAGATTGTGCGCGTCGCAGGTGCAGCTCGTGCCACCAGAGAGCGGTCGATCAGGTTCTTGGGATTGCACTGCGCCAGCCGAAACGTGGCAGTGGATGGCATACAAGTCGTGGGATACTTCGACGGTCACGAGCGAACCTGGGGCAAACAGCCGTGGCCGCCCTCGTGGGAGGACATAGGCGTTTTGCATCCAGTGATCACGCCACTGCCGCGGCTCGGTGGACGTGTGCGGAATCCAGCAGGGTGCTGTCGACAAGTGCGTTTCGCTGTCCAAGTGGAGCACCCACCACACAACCAAGGCGTGACACTCGCGCTTGTCTTCGGGCACGTCGGCGTGAAGCGCCACCTGCACTGCGTTCTTGCGCACGCCATGGGCGCCAAACACGACGGGTCGGGTGAAATCAAACTCAATCAAGGCGAACGGCGGAGAGACCGCAGTGATGTTGTCGGCCAACCTGTCAAGCTGTGTCGAGTGCGGCAGAGTGATGCTCGGGCAGACATCATGCCGCGATTGGTCTGCAGCAAACGTCCAGTCGCTGAACTTTTGCGGCGGCAGCGGCTCTGCTGACTGTGGCGTGGAAGAAGAATGCGGGGCCGAGCTCTTCAGCGGGTAGTGCGACCACTTTTCCAGCGCAGGGCAGTGCACGAGCTGGCCAACCATGGTTGCGCTTCCAGGAACAACATCAAACCGAGCAGGCTGGTCCTGTTGCAGCAGCGGTGTTTGCTGCGGCTTGAGGAGCTTTTGCTGAGCGTGCTCGAGCGCGGCGAGAATGCCTTCGCCAATGAGCTCTGTGTCGAAAATCTCCGTGATGAGCATGTCGGCCTTGTTGGACAGCTTGAGGTCTGTCGAGTGCTTGCCAAAGACGCTAATCTTGTCACCCATGCCGTTCTCTCGCGCGATGAGTTTGGCGACGGCAGCCATTGGCTTGAAGACCTCGCACGCGACGACGCGCTGTGCTCCCGCCCGCACTGCCATCATTGCAAGGAGGCCTGTTCCAGTGCCAATATCCAGCACGACCGGCGGCGGTAGTCCTGCTGCGAGTCGCGTTGCGATCGTCCGCTTGATGGCCGCGTCGTACAAGTTGTTCTGTTGTCCAGCCAGGCAGCCCAACAAGGTCATCCGTCGGTCAGTTGGTACGACTTGCAAAAACAAGCCACTCCATCCGCTTGTTGAGGGATGCTCGGGAAGCTCGGGATGCTCGGGATGCTTGGGATGCAGCTCCACCATGTGTGCTTCCATACTCAATACTCACTCATATACTCATACTTACTCCACTCCACTCCCGACTCATACTCTTATTCATGGGGCTACTCAACTCGTTCAATGTCGAGCAGCATGTCTGCAAACGACGCCTGGCCGAGCTCTTCCTGGTGCTCGTCGTCGTTGTCCAAGTCGCTCGGATCGACTGCGCGCGCCTTCTTCCCGCCTGCACTCATTTCTGTAGATTGAAAAAAAAAAATAAAGAAGTGAAGAGTGAATGCATACAATGCAGTTCATGCAGTTCATGCAGTGAATGAACAACGAGTGAAGAGCAGAGAGAGAGAGAGAGTCGTTGTGCTGTTTGTTTGTTTGTATTTGTTTGTCTCAGAAAGCGGGCGAATCTGAGAATCTGAGCATCCGACATCAACATCCAAAGCAAAAGCGAGAAGCGTTCCTCCCTTTATTTTGCACTGAAACACACAAGTCAAGTCGTCATGTAGACGATCATTCAAACGAAGTCTGTAGCGCTTCAATGCGTGTCTTGAGGATACTCGTGCATCACTAACTCGCCCTACGATTCCGTACCCCCTCTCACTCACTCTTTTTTTTTTTTTTTTTTTTTTTCGTTCTTTGCTTTTTCCCGCTCTTTTTCCTCGCTCTCTCTCTCACTCTTCCATCGTCATCATGCAGGGCTATGGCTATGGTCAGCAGCAGCAGCAGCCTGGCATGGGCGGCATGAACGCCGGCCTTGGTGCTGGGATGGGACGCGGCCTCGGGATGGGCGCTGCTGCTCCGGGTCAGCCAGGCATGCTCGGGATGGGCGGCCAGCAGATGGGCGGCCAGATGGGCGGCCAGCAGCTCAACCCAATGGGCCAGCAGCAGATGGGTCAGATGGGCCACCAGATGGGTCAGATGGGTCAGATGGGTCAGATGGGCCAAATGGGACACCAGATGGGACAGATGAACCCAATGGGAGGCGGCATGCCAAGCAGGCCAGATGGGCCCGCAGCAGCAGATGGGCCAGCAGCAGATGGGCCAGATGGGTCAAATGGGTCAAGCAGGCCAGATGGGCATGGGCGCAGGAGCGATGGCCACCCCTGCCCAGCAGCAGCAGCAGCAGCAGCAGATGGGCGGTTATGCCACGCCACAGCAGGCTGCAACGGGATACCCCCAGCAAGGAGCCATGAACGCAGGCGCCGTCGGCCAGCAGCTCTTCCAGACACCGCAGCACCAGGCTGTTGCTGGCGCTGGCATGATGGGCGCTACCCCCGGAGCACTACCAGGTGCAATGCCGGGCGCAATGCCGGGCGCGATGGGACTCGGAGCACCCAAGATCGGGATGGGCGCTGCTGGGATGGGCGCTGCTGGTTTGCCAGGCGCAATCGGCGCCACTCCCGGCGCCGCCCCCGGACTTGGCATGGGCGCTGGACTTGGCATGGGTGCTGCTGCTGGACTTGGCGCTGCCCGTCCTGCCGGCCTCGGCGGCATTGGTGGCGCAGCTCCTGGCGCTGCTGCTGCTGCAGGTGGCCTCGGCGCTGTTCCCGCTATGGGCGCGATGGGCGCGATGGGCGCTCTTGGTGCCGCGCGTCCTCCTGGCGCACTAGGTGCAGGTCTTGGCGCAGCTCCAGGCGCCGCTGCCGCTCCAGGCGCGCTTGGTGGCCTTGCGGCCGGTGGCCTCGGTGCTGCGCGCCCTCCAGCAGCTCTGGGCGCTCTCGGAGCCGCACGACCCCCTGGTGCGCTCGGTGTTCCAGGTGCTGCCGCTGCAGCAGTTCCAGGAGCAGCAGCTGCACTCCCAGGCGCCGTTCCGGGCGCAGCCGCCGTCCCAACAGCTCTCGGCGCTCCTGCCGCCGCTGCTGGCGGTCTTGCTGGCGGACTCGGCGTGCGACCGACTGGTCTTCCTGCCGTGGGTGGCCTCGCCGGTGCTGCTCCCGCCGGCCTTGCTGGCGCGGCTCCTGGTCTTGCTGGCGCAGCTCCTGGTCTTGGTGGCGCTCTCGGCGCTCCACGACCCCTCGGCGCTCCTGGTGCTGCTCTTGGCGCTCCTGGCGCACTCGGTGCTCCGGGTGTGGGACTCGCTGGTGCGCGTCCTCCTGGTGCGCTCGGTGCCGTCCCCGGTGCTCTTGGTGCGCCTGGTGCTGCAGGCCTTGGCGCTCGCCCGATTGGAGGCGTGCCCGGCGCACCCCAGTCGTTCGGCATTTCTCTGTCAAGCGCCCCGACAGTCACCATGAATACAAAGTTCTCCGAACTCCCTGAGGATTGGAAGCGAAAGCTTTTGGACCTCGAGTAAGTCACAAAAAATTGGGAAAGCCGGTTCCAAAGCTTGCGATGAATCTGAACTTCATTTTTTGCCTCATTTCAAATCATTGTAGGAAAAGCATTGCCACTCAAAAGAGCGCCAGCAACGAGATTGCCAACCACACGAACGCCCGAGCGCTCAATGTGGCCGCCCGATGCAAAACCCTCAAACAGGTGCGTTTGATTGCGATTTTCATTTCTGGAAGGTCGGGGACGGGGACGTGTGAAACGTAGCTGCTCAATGATCAATCATCTTTTTTTCGAGACAGAAAGCTGCAGTCCTCGCCACCACCATTGAGCGCGATACTGTCGTGATTGATCGATTGAAGCGCGACGTGGTCCAAGAGCTCAAAAATGCCGAAATGGCATCACGAACGCTTGCTCGACTCAAAATGCCGATTCCAGCCAGCATGCAACTCGAAATGGCCTCGGCATCAGAGTACGTACTCCTGGTTGTCTTCATCGATTGCCCGTTGTCGCTGTCGAAAGAACACCAGCCTCACCGCCCCCTCCTTGTTCCCGTTCTCTTGTTCCCTCTTGCTTGCAGCTACTTCAACCACCTCGTCACAAACTTTGAAAATCGCATGCAAAACTACCGACAGCACATTGAGGAGCTCGAGGCTCATCTGTCGAGTATTAGCGAGCGCGAGCAAATGACTCCGCAAGGTGAGTGACTTGAATTTTTTTCTTATCTCACTGCTACTCTGGCGCATTCGTCAATCTCATCGATACTCTGTTGTTGGACGGGTGCAGCACTTTCCGACATCATGCGTAATCAGCACGAAACATTCCTGGCGTTGGCTGCGCAGGTCGCTCAACTCCACGACGCCGTGCAAGAGCAAAAGGAGCTCTTTTTGAGCCATTCTGCTGGAGATCCGTTTGCTGCCCGCAAGAAGGCCAAGGAGGCGCAAGGTACCTGGCCCATTTTTGTCCTGACTGCAAAATGTTTTTGACCGTTTTGGGTTTTGTGTGTGTGTTCTCATCTGTCCTCCATTTCTTGCACAGTCAAACGGCCAATCCCTGCTTCTGGTGGTCTCACCTTGGAAAGCTCTCTGCGGTATTACAATACGCGTAAGTGTATTGGAGTTGGTCTGCAGCTCCAAGTTTGCTGCGTCTCACTTTTTGTTTTCCGGGCGATGCTTCTCTCGCTTGTCACGCAGCGGCTCAAGCGCCTCGTCCAGCTGGCATTGGAGCCCCTGGCATGGGCGGTTTGGGCGTTCGCCCACCAGGCGCTCTCGGCGCTCCTGCTCTTGGTGGACTTGGCGCAGCTGGTGGTCTCGGCGCATACCGTCCCCCAGGCCAACTCGGCGCGGTGGGCGGCCTGGGCGGAGCAGGTGCTCTTGGAGGTGCAGGCGCTCTCGGTGCCGCAGGTGCTCTTGGCGGTCTCGGAGCTCCCCGGCCTGCTCTCGGTGGCCTCGGACAACCCGGCGCCCTCGGACAGCCCGGAGCGCTCGGACAGCCTGGCGCCCTTGGACAACCCGGCGCCCTCGGACAGCCAGGGCTGCTCGGCGCTCAACCTGCTGCCGGTGGTTTGGGTGGCATGGGCGCAATGGCTCCACAAGTGGGAGCTGGCGTGCCACCACTCAACGTTGCCGCCACAGGCAGCGATTTGTTGGCTCGCCGCATGCAAAACAAAGTCTAAGCAGCGTGTTGGTGCTCTTGCAATCCCAACAACAACAACAACGTCAACAACAACAGTTCCACTTGCAAACCCGTGGACGGACCCTGTCTCTTTACTTGCTTTCATAAAGATAACCACGTTGAACATTTACCTGCCCCATTTTTAAATTGTTTATTTCATTCTTGTCCGCTTGAAAGAAGAAGCGGAGAAAAAAAAAGCACATGCGTCTACAGCCTTGCAAACGTACAACCAGCACGCAGGCTGCATCAGCGCCGTGCGGCAACCGACATGCGGTGGCCGTTTCCAGCCATACGTTCGTCGAGCGGATGAAGAGAGGCAACAAACGCGTCAATCATCTCGTCCATGGTCGGGTTGTAGCCAAGCAGCTCGGCAAAGAGTTCTCGCGCCTGGCGAGCTCCGCCGGCACGGAGCAGTTTGGTGACCCGTCGACCACCCTCCGCGCTGAGCGGGTCATCCGAAAAGAGTCGCTGCTTGACAAGCGTGGCGTACGCGTGGCACCAAGTGTACACGTAATAGTGAGCTGCGTACGTGAACAGGTGATGGACGAGGATTTGAGGCGCGGTTCCTGGAACAGGCTTGGCATGCGTGTGTTTCGCGATCAGCTGGTGCCAAATGTCCGTCGCTTGCGCGGCGGAGGTCGGCGGGTCGACGCCGTGGTACGCCTGGTCGCCAAGGCCCAGCAGAATCTGGTGCTCTGCATCGATGGGTGCAAGGCCAAACTCGGCGGATACCATCTCAGCCAAGTAGGCCGGCATGGGTTGACCGGTGTGGAAGTGCCGCATCAAGCGGGTCAGCGTGCGCGGATCGAGAGCAATGAGCTCCATCAGCGTTGACGGGAACTCGACCACCTCCAGAATCGAGCGCGTGCCCGACACGTGCTGGAAGCGCGTTTTGGCAAGAAGAGCTGCAGCGAGCAAGCGGGGAGGGAAGGCGGGGGTGGAGGGAAAGGAGATGTTGCGTCAACAAGGAAGAGGACATTCGTTCGACAAAAAAAAAAAAAACACTAAAGCCCAATTCTACTCACCGTGCATGGCATGGCCGGCCTCGTGCATGATCAGCTTGCATGATCAGCTTGAATGCTGCTGGATGGACGCGGATGGGTTGGCGCGATGGTGGTTTGTGAATGCCGCAAGACAGGGCCACCACCGTCCGTCCAAGCGCTCACACGAGCCACGGATCATGTAATTGGCTGACTTGTCCGACTTGCCTCTCCGGCTGAAAAGATCGAGAAAGATCGAGATACAAGTCGCCTACATATTCGGTCTAGATAACGACAAAAAGAAAAAAAAGACAAAAAAAGAATGTGAGGTGAGTGAAATAGATCTTCCAACGCAACCATAGCTCTCACTCAGCATTGACGTTACCTTGGCGTGGTAGACGGCGATTTTGTACACGTGAGGCGCCCACAGCTCACCGGGTTGCATCTCCACCCATCGCAACTCAACATCAAACAGATTGCGAACAATCTCCTGCAACGCTGTGAGGCAGTTTCCGAGCGAAAAGTACTCGAGCACGTCTTCGTTCACGCAAGTCAAGCGATTCGCCAGAGGGGCCAAATCCCACGGGTTGATATCTTGCGACGGATTGACCTGCAAGCGCCTCAGCGTGGCGAGGTCGCGACGCACCGGCTCTCGAATGCGCTCCGACAACCGCTCCAAGAACGTTCGCAACACCTCTGCGGGCATCAATCACGTTCGGAAGAATCCGTTTGGTGTACGCATGATGAGTGAAAACAAAAAAACAAACAAAAAACAAGAGCTGCAGTTGTCATTGCGTTGACATGCACGCTCACCAGGATTCTCCAAATAGGCGTCTTGGCGGACGACGCGATGGACGTGAGACGGGTAGCCCAGGAGCTTGGCGAGGTCGTATCTTGCTCGCAGCATCTTTACGAGCGCATCCAGACGATCCGGGCGGGCTTCGGCGGCTGCAATAAACAAGCGCTTCCGGGTGGGCTCAGGAAGATGGTCTGGGCAGTTGCTGGCCATGGCAAGTGGAGCGTCGTAGTTTCCGTCATTCCGTCCTCGACATTGCGAGCGCATGCTGGGTGTGAGAGTGTTGTACACGTTGCTGTTAATGATGAAAGTTTCGGTCGGCGAGTCTTCCCGCGTAAACTGAGATCGAAAGCCGGCCAAATCCCAGTCAAACAAACACCCAAGATGCAAAATCACATCACAGGGAAATGAGCATGAAACAAAGGAATTCGTCAGGCAACATGGCAGAAGGTGATTCGTACCAAATAACCTTGTCCCAAAATTTCCTCGTTCAGCTGAACGACCTGGTCGCGCTCTTTTCCTTCGGGCTGCAACTCACAGCATAGTAGTACATGTGAGTGCAAACGAAACACATGCACGCGCTCTCTCCCACGAGCACCGCAATAAACCAGCCATTCCTCCCTCACCAAATGCAGGCCATGAAGCACAAAGTCGCTCATGAACAGCTCGGCAGTGCGCCGCAGGTCGTAATCTTGGGCGTCAAACGTTGCCTTATCGTTGATGAACGAGTCCAGGGCGATCTGGATGCCACGATGCGTATTGAGCCTGCGAGAACACCCGAAAGCAACCCCAAACAAAAACAAAAACGGAAAGGTGAGTAGGTTGACAGGCGCAAAAACGCGCAAGCAGCTCAACAGCGTACCGATCTACGAATGCGTGCAGTGTCTGGCAGGTGTCCTGTGCCACCTGACGGATTGTCTCGTTGGTGTGGTTTTGGCGGATGAACTCGCACGGATCCGACAAGCTGCAGATTATATTCGAGAGCTCGTCCATAGCCCGCACGATCATCGGACCTTCCACTGTCGGAATGCAGCTCACAATGCGTGCGCATTCAGTCAGCGTGCGCGTCGTGGCCGTAGCAAAGTCGGCTGGCGTGCAGAGGCCAGTGACGCCAAACAGCGAACCAGGCTGTTCCGGTGGGACGGAGCACGGCTGGGGCCACTGCACCTCGCCCGTCACAGGATCACAGTACAGCGCGCCATTATGAGCACCAGCCAGTTTAGCAGTGCCAGTGCCAGCGCCAGTGCCAGTGCCAGTCGCAGAGGAGAACGACGAGGAGGAGGAGGAGCCGCCAAACGCACCGCCAGCACCGTAGCCACCGTACTGGAGCGCAGTGGGATGCAGCATGCCGTCCATGCCACTGCCACCACCAACCCCACCGCCAACACTACCGGTGCCGAACGGCGCAGACTCGAGGCCAGCACCGCGACCATTGCTGCTTGAACGCCGCGCGTTGCCGTCGAGCATCTCAGCCAGGCCAGCGATGGAGCGACGTGCAGGGCTGTGAGCGACATAGACAGCAGCAGCAGCAGCAGCGTTGTTGTTGGGTGGGACGACGACGGTCGCGGATTGCAGCCGAGGCGCGAGTCGGATGAGCGTCCCTAAGCGCAGCATATTGGCCAACAACGAAAAATCTTGGCAAAAGAGAAAGAAAGGGACTGGATTTTTGTAGTGGATACATGTATGGAACGGAGCATGAACATGAAGATGGAGAGCAGAGTCGTTTCGCTAGTTGTATTGGAGTTGGAGTTGGATGGCAGCAAGGCAGAGAGAGAGAGAAAGAGAGAGAGAAAGAGAAGAAACGGGAAACACTCGCCAATACAAAACACAGAACCATGCTGGTCGACCATTTTACGCTGTGCGCAGAATGATGTGGACACCCGAGTCGGTGAAGACGGGCTCGCTGAGTTCGCCAACCTGGAGAGCAAACCTGGAAACAAAAGGTGTGAGTGTGAGCGCGGGAGAATTTCAATCACGTCGACATTTGGGAGGGAAAACTTACGTGGCGTGCTCGAAAGGAGCTGCGGAGGAGGCGCACAGTAAAATCCACATAAAAGTGTCGCACAGCACAAAGAGAAAGACGGAAGGTGAGCGGATGAGGGGCCCACTTCCTTGTGCTCAAAGCACCAACGCCACAAACCTTGCATCTGGCCAGGACCGAAAAAGCCCAAATCGCCGCCGCTCTTGGCCGAGCTGCAGTCGCTCTCGACCTTGGCAATGTCGGCAAAGGTCTTTTCCTTGTTGACGATTTGCGCGCGCCACTCTACGCACACACACACAGATGTACACGCAAACAAAAAAAGTCAGACTCGTTCAACAATAAAAAAAAAAAAAGTGCAACAACCATAAGACTCACGTTGGATCATGGCGAGGGCCTCATCGCGGCTGCGAGTAATGTTCTGCGTCTTCCACGAGCTGGGACGGCGCGAATCCTTGTGCTTGGCGAGAATGTGCGATGCGCGGACTTGGGACTAGACGGTCAGAAAGCAACAAAACCCCGATCCAACGATCAGAACGATTCAGTGAGTACATCCATCCACATCATGATCCGCGAATTGCAGCGCAATGCTCGTTTTGAGCTCTTTTGGAGTCTGTTCCATTTTGAAATGGATGTTCGTTCTACTATGGGACTATGGGGCTTTCCATTACGTCTGCGGCGTTTCTTCATACCATTGTGCTGCTGTTGCTTGCGTCGTTGCTCTCGCTCTCGTCCTCGGCGTTGCTGTTGAGTGCTGGTGGCTCCCACTGGCTCTTCTGTGTCGGAACGTGGAAGTAGTACGCGCGCTTCTTGGTTGCAGAGTGGCGAATCTCCCAACCGTCTGGCAATGCGACTGGTTTGGCGGGCGCCTTGGATCTGAAGCCCCCCCCCGTACCAAAAGTCAATGCGCAAGGGTCAAAAGAGCCACAGTCAACAGTATAGCGAGTGAGTGAGTGGGTGAGTGTCCGTAGTAGTGATAGTCGTTGCAGTAGGACGGTTTTGTATAGGAATTGCATTGAACCCCCAACCCCAACCCTCAACCCTCAACCCCGACTTCCCCTTGAACCAAAATAAACAGATTGGAAGGCAAGAGAAGGGCCAAGTTGGAAGGTGGTGGTTGGTGGTTGGTGGTGCGCGCGTTTTCTTTACTCCTTGTAAGGGTGGTTGGTGTCGGGATCGCTACGAGCGCTGGGCTCTTTCGGCATTCAGAAGACTGAGCTAGCTCGCTGCACACGCAACGCACATTTGTAATAAAAGGGGATATATAATGTCGGGGTCGGTACTGCATGGAAATAGGAGGTTGACGGTTGAGATTGTCAAACGGCACTTTCACAAAGTCAACGCACAACGGGTGATCGACGATCGGATAGCAAACATAGACGGCTCTCGGTTTGCAGCATGAAGCCATCTTGAGAGCAATGGAGGGGAGATGGAGGGAGGGAAAGTGTATTAAAAATAATAAATCCGACCGCTGCTTCCCACCACTCAGGACCAGGTCTCCACTTGCAAACGATTGACGCGCTCCAATTGCGCAAGATACGCCTCGGCATCGGCCTCGCTTTGGCCTGTTTGGGCAACGACGATTTGTTGCAACGCCGCTCGGACATCTTGCGGCATTTGTTGCGCCGATCCGGAAATGTAAATCACACCGCCGTCGCTCAGAGCGCTCCAGATGGCTGCGCTCGCATCCTCCTCCAGCATTCGGTGTTGGACGTAGTACTTGGCGTCCTGGTCGCGTGAGAAGGCGGTAAAGAGCTCGATTTTGCCAGCTGCCACCAGGCTCTGCCACTCGTCGCGGTAAAGAAAGTCGCCGGCCGCGTTCCTCGAGCCGAAAAAGAGCAGGTTGCGTCCAGGGGCGTTGGTGGAGACACGGTGCGTCACGAATGACCGGAAGGGAGCCACGCCTGTTCCAGGACCGATCATCACGATCGGCGTGCGCGGGTCTTCAGGCAACGTCATGGTGCCACGGCCTAGTGAGAGCAAGAGCGTGGTCTGTGGTGGTAGTTCGGCTGCCCAGTTCGAGCATAGGCCGCGCCTTGGCTCGGAAAGCTTGGTCTTGTAGTTGACGACAGCCATGCAAATGTGGAGTGAACGTGCGTGAGCTGCTTGGGACGAAGAAAGTGAAAAGGCTCGAGGTCGAATTGGGGCGAACAATTCAAAGAGGTACGCAAACGGAACTTGACGGTGCACTGAAGGAAAGTCTCGCAGAGTTTCGACACTGGTTCGTCGAACGCGGTTGCAGTACGAATACCGCTCCTCCTGTGGCAAGATGAAAGTAGTGGCTGGATGTGAGAAAGGAGATTTTGCGTTGGGTGGGGCTGGTGGAAGGGCGCGAAAATGCAAAAAAGCGAAAACAAAAAATGTCATGAAAAAAAGCAAACGCGCCCCCTTACCTGGCCTTCCATTGAGGCAAACTCTCGCAATTTGTCGCGCTCTCGGATATCCATGGCAAAATAAGATAAAACTTCGAAAAAGTACCGCCTTGGGACGCTTGCAATGTCGAGATACTTTGTCAGCAAGTCTCGAACAGAGCACGGCCTGGGAAGATTGCTGATAAAGGGTGATCCGTGGTCTAGAATTCAAGAAACACAAGGGAGTGAGAGCGACGCAGCTCCCAAGGAATTACAGATGCAATTCACAAACGCTTCGTTACCCATGCCCGATGGAACTGCGACAAACGTGTCATCGAGCGACCATCCCATCATGTCTGCCACCAGCTCGGCATTCTCAGGTGTGTTGTGTGGTTGTAAATAAAGCACGTCTCCAGGAGTGTAGCTAAAAGTTGAGCCAGCGCACCAAAAAGCATGAGTTTCACGACGACGCCGCACAACTCCAGCTGCTGACTGTGTCGCAAGTCTTACTCTGGCAACGTGCTTTGCTCTTGGGTGTCAAATACAATGCTGCGAACATCTTGAAAATGCCCCGCCGCAGTCAATCGAGCATTCTCGCGGACGGTCACGGAAATGCCGCCTGTCGCTCGTTCGCTGGCGCGATCTGTCGTCTGCAACGCATTCTCTGCCAGCCGCAAAATCGCTTCATCCGAGGCTGTTTCATAGTACGACCGTTGCTGTTGCAGATGAAGCAGGGCTGGTGCAGACGGCGAATTCAGGGACGGATCGAGCTGCCGCGTTTCGCGATTCAAAAAGATGGTCGCAGCTCTGCTTGGAGGCCTGCATTCGCGACGGATGAAAGTTGTTGCAACACGTCAGAGATTCCATCAGCTCCATGCGAGCACACGCTTAGCCAGCATGGACACGGTCAAACGCAAACTGCAAAACACACTAATCGAAAACAAAACCAAAACCAAAATCACGGAGACATACAGGACAAACGGCGGAACGACATCCACGTTCGGCGGCTTGGGTGCAATCTTTTCAATCAGCGGCCACAGGGACGTCAGCCACTGCTCGAGGGTTGAGTCGACACCGTACGCGTCCTGGTCATCGGCGAGCGCGACATCGAGCAGCGGTTGCGCGCCAAGTTGGACAAGCCGGCGATGCAGCTTTTTCGCTGCAAAGTTGAACTTGACATAGGACGAGTCGCCCAGTCCAAGCACGGCAAACCGCAATCGCGCAAGGCAGTCGGCGGGCAGGGCTCTGCGGCACAGGAAGCGCCAAAACCGCCGCATCGAGTCCGGGTTGGTCCCTTGGCCAGTGGTCGCGCAGACAAACACGGCGCAGGACGCTTCAGGCAGCCTGTGGATGAAGTCGTACTCGTCCATCGATGCGAGCGTCAGCGTCGTCGTCGCGTTGGTGAACAGGCGTTGGCGTCGTGCGTCGCGTGCGATGCGCTCTGCGACTTCCTGCGCAGTGCCCGTCTGTTCATCGCAGTAGTAGTAGTAGTAGTGGGAGTAGGAGTAGTTGAGACGATTTGGAAACAAGGTTAACGTGAGAAATGTGAGAAGCGGATCGCTGGATGCATTGGATTGACGGCTCACCTGCGAACCATACAACAGTGCAACATGTTGCATGGTGTGACTTGGTAAATGCAATCGAGAAGAATAAAAGGTAAAAATTGAGTGAGCCAACAGTAGTTGGTAGTGCATCTTTGTAAGAACGATCTCTGAGCATTTGGGTAGGTCTTAGAAGAGGATTCGATCAAAGGAAAGGCTTTGCCATGTCCCCTTGACCACTATGTGCCCCATCCAGCGCCGCCACAACACGCTATGTGATCAGTGCCATGTGTACTGCATGCCTAGGGCCACCAGAGTGGGCGAAAATCGCTCCAAACCGAGGGCTGGTTTCCGGTTGGTTTTTGGCGTTCTTCATGTTAGAACAGTCTTTCACTAAGGATTTTCTGCTGCTGCTGCTGCTGCTGTTGTGCTTTGTATTCATAATCCATTCATCGAGTCGTTTGCAGTGACTTTCTCAGCCGCTCAGCTCAGTCACTTTTCATCTCATTTTCATACACAGACAATGACCACGTAAGTCTTGCTCTGACGATCGCGCCTTTTTTGGGGGAAAAGATCATCCAAAGTCGACCGTCGTGTCATTCCGCATCAGAACGAACAATGAGGAAGAGAGAGAGAGAGAGAGAGAGAGAGAGAGAGAGAGAGAGAGAGAGAGAGAGAGAGAGAGAGAGAGAGAGAGAGCGAGAGAGAGAGAGAGCGGGAGAGCGAGAAAGAGTCAAAGTGCAATGCAGAACACTGACAAAAAAAAAAAAAAAAAAAAAAAAAGCACATGGAAATTTGCATTGGAAAGTTCCAGAAAACCAACAAGGCAATGCTCAATGCATTGTGAATGGTGTGGTGTGCGGTGATCACCTTCCTCAACATTGTCAGCGCTGTGAAGTGTGAGCACAACGCCGAGGGCTGCGCAGTGACGCGCTCCAAGCACACACACACAGCTCCAAGCGAAACGACTTGCTGTGCTTGTCTCGGCGAGCTGCTTCCCGCGCTGATTCGCTTCAAAACCCCAAATCCCCAACTGGATCCAGCCACGACCACCCACCATCCAAGAGGAGCGTCATCGGTTGGTGTCACGGCAAGTGTGTCTTTTGTGGGGGGGGGGGAGAACGCGACCGTCCAACACACAGTCCTACGATGCGTTGGAAGCGCTTCAAAAAAATGACAGCGATCTTTCGCTTTTTGAACAAGGGACAGCGACAGCGACGACCAGGATGATGATGATGATGATGATGATGATGATCGTGGTGACGATGACGATTATACTATAATCATGGTGGTGATGACGACGATGGGAGACGGCACACAAACGCATTCTCACCCCGCTCCCTCACACAGATTGCTTCCGACCGTCCAGTGGGCCCAGCGCCGCGACAAGATTCTGCTGCGCGTGTCGATTGCCGACGCTACAAAGGACGCCGTCACGATCGAGCCCACCAAGGTGTCGATCGACACGGTTGCCGGCAGCCCGAGCAAGCACTACAAGGTCGCCATCGAGCTCTATGGCGAGATTGACCCCGCACAATCGCGCTTCCACGTCGGCGGCCACGAGATTACCATCTTCCTCATCCGCAAGGAGGAGGGCCCTTACTGGCCCCGCCTGCTCAAGACGGCCGGCAAGGCTCACTACCTCAAGGTCGACTTTGACAAGTGGAAGGACGAGGACGAAGCCGACGAGAACGACGACATGGGCATGGGCGACATGGGCGGCATGGGCGGCATGGGCGGTATGGACATGTCCAGCCTGATGAGCGGCATGGGCGGCATGGGCGGCATGGGCGGCATGGACATGTCGAGCCTGATGAGCGGCATGGGCGGCATGGGCGGCATGGGCGGTGGCATGCCTGTACGTTTGGTTGATTGTTGGTTTTGTTGTCGTTGTTGTTGTTGGTGCACACGTCAAACAGAAACTCACTCCCCCTTTGTTTGTTTCTTTTGCTTGCCGCGTTGTGTGATTAGGACTTTGGCGATGACGAGGGAGACGACGAAGGCGAGGGCGACGAAGCACCCGCTGATTCGGCCGAGCAAGTCGAATAAACGTCAATTTTTGGGTTTGCAAAAACACCAATGGTGCATTCTTGTTCACGTTTTATTGTGTGCATTCCGTGTTGAAGGAGGGAGAGTTGGGTTGGGCGACGACGAGGTGCGAAACAATGGGACTGGATGAGAAAGAGCTGGTACCTCAAGTTCGATGCGGGATTTGGCACGCATGGACAAGAGAGAGCGATGGTATTAAGCCGTCTGGGAGCCAATCGCTTGCATATTGAATTCACAGGCATACATTTTTCACACTTACGTCGTCCTATTCAGGGGACAAACCCAGAAAAAGTGCCGGGAGCCGTCGATGTTTTATTAATATTGAAGGCTCGAGTCGCCGTACTCTCGCAGTGTCATCCGACAGAGCAACTCAGCGAACAAAAGTCTCAGTAAATGTGCCTTCTCGATACGAGGTCGAAAGGACTCGGCAAATCATGCACTTGTCTTGACGCTGTATCATCCATTGAGCACACGCAACGCAGACACATGCGTGGTAGCATGGCATCAATTGGGCATTCGTCGGGGCGCTGAAACAGACCAAGCACTCACGTTGGCTGCCGGCGACAGCCTCCTCAGCCTCCTCCTCGTTTGCTCCAGCTCCGCCCCCCGACAATCGGTGCAGGATATCTTCGAACGACGGTCGATAGACTCGTGCTTGCTCGAGGCAATCTTCCGCAAGCTCCGCCAGGGCTTGAGCCGCTTCCTTATCTGGAATGCTCCAGTCGATCGCCTTGTCAAGCACCGCATCGATTTTACGATTTCTTTTGAGCTGGTGTCGAACGCTGGCCATCAAGTCAATGCTGGGCTGCTGTCCAGTAACGAGCTCAAGCAGAATCATGCCATACGAGTAGACATCCGTTTTGATGGAGACCTTGCCTTCGTCGCGATACTGTGGGCAGATGTATTGAAGGGTTCCTTGAACGGTCTGCGTACGAATGTAGCTGTGCGCATCCACTTGAGCTGGCACAGAGCGCGTCAGCCCAAAATCCGCGACTTTGGCATGAAAATCAGCATCCAGCAGCACATTATCCGTCTTGAGGTCCAAGTGGAACAGCGGCTGCCGCGGAATCGCAGTCTGGACAAAGTGCATGGCGTTTGCAATATCGGTCGCAATGGTTCGGCGTTGCTGCCAACTCAATGCGAGCGTTCCCTCCTTGCGATCGAGACGGTCGCGAACAGAACCGTTGGCCATCAGCTCGTACACCAAGCAACGCTCGTTGCCTTCCTGGGCATAGCACATGATGGTGACGATATTCGGGTGACGGAAACGAGAGAGGGCGTTGAGCTCGGCCTCGAACTGAGCGACGCCTTGCATCGAATCTGCTGCCATGCGTTTGACTGCAACTTGATGCCGATTCCAGACGCCAGAGTAGACGCTGCCAAATCCTCCTCCACCAATGCGCTTGGCCTCTGAAAACTGCGCTGTTGCTTGCGACAGAACTTGCAACGACACTCGCGGAATGATTGGCGGAGCGGTTGTGGTTTGCTGAGGCTGTTCCAGAGGGGTCCTGGGGGGTGCAATGCCGCCAGAGAGGCGCATCGTGCCGCCATCGTTCGAACTGCTCGAAGAGGGTCGGTGCACCGGCGGTGGGATGGGTGGTGGTTTGCTCGAAGCGGGTCGGTGCACCGGCGGTGGGACGGGTGGTGGCTTGTTGATGTGTTGTGGTTCGGCGGCAATCGGGCGCTCTCGGGCCGCAGTGGTTTGCTGGACAAGCAGGGCGTTGCGGTTGGCGCTCGCGTGATCGGTCGAGATTGGCAGCCTCAGAATGACGGGGTCGTCCGACTTGTTTGTGCGAATGGGGTGCTGCATGTAGTGAATCACGAGCTCGGACACGGACGAAAACTTTTTCTTGGCAATGTACACTTGGTTGGAATCGTCAACATGAATCTTAAAGTGCTTGATGGCGCCCTTCGAGCTGGCAAAGGAGGCGATCAACACCAGCAGCAGCAGCAGCAGCAGCAGCAGCAAAGTAGCAGTCACAAGAGAGGCCAGTAAGTCTGGACAAAACATGTTCAACCGACCCAGGTCGTTGGCTTACATGACACCGATCGAGTATGCTCCAGGATTGCTCTGGCTGGGTCGAACAAGGAAGGCGCCGTCATACTGGATGTATGTGTTCAAGAGCGCTTGAACCTGATTTGGGTGGAATCAAGCGGATGGGAGGAAGCAGGGAGGGTGAGATTGATTCGCAGCACAACAGGCTCAATTGGATCATCGATGCACCCAGACAGCGTGTGTGAGCAAAAGCAGAAAGACGTGACAGGTATCTCGACAGATCTATTGCAAGACAGAGCCGAACAATGACAGAGAAGCCCGCGACCGACCTTCCTATGAATCGAACATTGACTTGACAACAACCAAGAAAAACAAACAGACAAACAAAAAAAAAAAAAAAAAAAAAAGGCCCTCTCACTGGAGACAGATGGGCTGGCCGTTCAGCCTTCCCCCCCCCCGTGCGGCAGCAGACACAAGCACACATGTGTGGCTGAGAGCAACGCCACACGCGAGTGCCAATCACAGCAGCAGGCGGTCGAAGATGGATCAACAACAATGGGTTTTCGCGTTGTGATTGCGCGCGCCCCCTTCTCTCTCTCTCTCTCTTTCTCTCTCTCTCTGAGTGCTGATGACTACCGAGTCAAGTTCGTGCTGGCATCCCAGCAGCCCAGTTAACTGGAAGAGCGACACACGACAGAGCGCTGCGGATGGAACAGAAAGCTTGCTTGTCCGCTGAGATGGGTCAAAAAGGTGCGGTCGACGTACACGATCACGACTAATCGTCACAAGGCCGGGGATGGCGGACATGGCGGTCGAACAGCACAGGAAAAAAACGAATCAAAACCAAAGCAAAGTGAAGTGATTGGATTTGAGACGAGACGAGACGAGAAGGACGAAAGAAAGTGAATAAATAGATGGAATAGAAGACTGAGCAAAGCATTGCCCATCTGAACACAAAGCTCCATAGGTTGGAGCATTGGCTGGCTCCCGTTGAGAATTCACTCTGAGGTGAAGCCACTGGAGCATGGGACGGGGATGAAGAGGTTCGGGAAGGATCGAGGCTTGATTGTGCTGCACATTGCTGAAACGGCCGCCGTGATACAGTGCCTTCGTTCGCGTTGCCACAAACTTGAATTCGGATACTCAAATACCACTGTTCATTCACACTGTAAAACCAAATGACGTACCGCAGTCTTTACTTTTTCATTCAAACCAAAAAGCTAGCAAACAACACTTACACAAATGGGTCGCCTGCGAGCTGTCGCCACCAAGATTGCGGACGCCGTGCCACTCCGCAACCGCACCAAGATTGTGTCCCGACGCATTTTGAAGGCCGCCAGCGAGGACAATGCATCGCGCCTGCAGGAGATTCTCCTGCGTCATCCGACGTCGATTGAGAGCTGCGACAAGGAAGGCAACTCGGCGCTTCACATCTGTAAGACGCGAGCTCCCTTGCTTTCGACTGTTTCCCCCCCCCCCAACTCCCAGGCGCACGGATGCCCCACACACGTCCATGCGTCTGAATTGCAACAGGTCGTTCCAACAAGCGTGTGATTCGCATGCGGAACAGAAACATGGAACGAGAGCGAAATGGCGGTTCTTTTTTTTTTTTTTTTTTGAATTTGTTTCAAAACCGTTTGAAACAGTTGATTTTTTTTTTTTTTTTTTTTTTTTTTTAGGCTGCTTTTCAATTCTTGCGTGTCTCGTTCGCATCAGTCGTCGATCGAAGGAAGGGAACGCATTCAACGAAACGGCGATTTTACACCTCGGTCGTTGTGCGCTGTTGGCTGAATGCAATGAATGTCGTCAAACTCAACTTGATTTTGCGTTTTCGGTGTAGGCGTCGATTCAAGCGCACGTTATGGCAACTCGGCAGACTACTACCGCTGCGCCCGCCTGCTCATCCGAAACGGCGTCAACATTCGTGTATGTATTTTGTCAAGTCTTTGTCTGTGCAGTTTCGCTCAGTGTGCCGATGTGAATGAGGAAAAAAACAAAATGCTTGCGTCGGAATGCTCACTGCTGGGAACCCTCATCTGCTTGTTTTTTTGCATTCAAACTAGGCTCGCAATGCATCTGGCAAAACAGCGCTGGACCTTGCTCGAGACTTCAAGATGAAGGAGTTTGTGGCGCTGCTGAGCGACCAAAAGGTATGTGGTCCTGACCGCTCGCGTTTTTGGTTGGTGAATGAATGCGTTCAGTTTTTGTCTGTATTCACGCCCTCCGCCCTGCTCCCACATTTCTGCTCGCTATTGCAACTTTGCGCGATGGTATTCAGCTCCAACAAGCCGAAAAAGAAAACGTCACCAGTAAGCGAAACAAAAATGGGACTCGTTGTGTCATGCACGCTCGTTCCACCCCGTTTCTCATCCATTGTTATGTTGGTTATTGAACTTGACTTTTTTTTCTCGCAGAGCTTGAAAACCGCGTGTCTGACAACATTGTCGACACCAAGACTGTCGTCAACCCCGAGCTGCGCGTGAAGGTCTTTGAGCTGATCAGCTCAGAGTGGAAGGCAGTCGGCACTGGCAACATTCGCCTGCAAATGTCCAACCGCTCGTTCATTTTCATCGACGACTTTAACAATGTGCTGCTGACGGAGCACTTGTACGACTTTGACTCGGACGCCACTTCCTGCGGCCTGTGCGAGATGGTGCAGGACAAGAATGTCAAGATTGCCATCAAAGACAGCCACTCTGGCGCCCTCAAGGTTCTCCTCGTCCGTCTGAAGGATCACTACGACGCCTCTATTTTGTTCAACAACTTGCAACAATGCCGGCAGTCTCTTCGTGGTGGAGTTCGAAAGCAATCCGCCAAAAAGTGAGGATGGCCTTGAACTCGGTCTTCCCGCAAAAGTTGATCAATCGCGGAAGAACCACAATTTGTATTTAAAAACGCATGTCACGCAATGAAAGTGTTAACTCGTTGAAGTTCTGGAGGAATGCTGCTAGATTGTCGGCGGCAGATCGTGGTGATATGGAGTGTTGTTGCTGTTGCTGATGTTGTTGATCTTGTTGCTTGCTGTTGTTGTTAAACGAATGGACACTCGCATCACCATGCTTTCATTCACAATAGCCATCAAGTTTCATTCATTGGAACACAACATCGACAACAAACATGACATCGCGCACAAGCAGCATCCAGCAGCTAGCCGAAATCTGCAGTTTGTGCACTGTGCAGCACAGGCTGCTGAGTCAGCACGAGATCAACAAGGCGTCGTGCTCAAAAACGGTGAAAGAGTCGGTCGTAGCACTTACAGCCATGGGTGAGACAGCCACGAAATAGACTGATCATACGCTTCGCTTCGTTTTGGTCGTAAAAGTTCAGATAATGTTGTCCAGGTGAAATCGCTGCTTTCAAGCAGGACGAATATTTGAAGAGTACAAGATACAATACACATTGCAAGCGAATTGCAACAACAAAGGTTTTCACAGCATTGAAAAAAACACACAAACTTAACGCTTCAACGAAGAGTAATAGCGCATGCCCAACATGAACAGAATGGTGAAGCCAAGATAGAAGCCACAGATGCCTCCAAAGTACGGCCAGCCTGAAAAACAAGACGCAGACGAAAACAAGGAGGAACGAGTCAGCACTCAAACCCGGACACCCCTCAAAAGCAAACCAAAAGGCATGCCAACACTTCCAACAATCACACTTACGGTTGTCGGGATCAATGCCAAATCGCGCAAGAACGTCATCGCCGTTGCTGATGGGGCAGAAGACGGTAGACTCGGACACATTGTAAGGGTTGTGAACCACAATCGCACCTTGGAGATTGTTGCAGTTGAACGGGACACCTTGGAGCTCGTTCACTGACAAGCTGAGCAAGGGGTACGCAAAGTACGAAATGTAGTACATCCAAATCCATCCTTGAGGAATGTTCTCGTAGGTGATGAAGAAACCGGAAAAGAGGAAGCCAAAGGTCAGAATCAGCGGGGCGAGGGCGTTCGCCACAGCGGCGTTCGGCGAAAACACGGCGACAGTCGACATGAAGGCGTTGGCAGTGAGACCAGTCACGTAAAAGACCAACATGAAGAAGAAAAAGTGGTCGGCGCCAGATCGCAAACCCGCAATAAAGTACATCGGGATGGCAAAAGTGAAGCAGTAGACCGCAATGAAGGGCAGCTCAACCAGCACCATGCTCAGCGCGAGAGTACCAGGGTGGTATGTGCCAGACGCCTTCTCGCGGAAGAAGACGGGACGAATGTCCATGACCTCACCAATGGCGGACTTGGAGCTGAATGAAATGAACACGACCGAGAAGAAAATGACGGCGATGCGGTTGGAAGCGGCCAGCTGGCTGCTGTCTTGCTGCCAGTACATGGTGCCAAGAATGAGGCCGACGACGAGACAAACGGCAAAGCGCACGAGGACGAGCGAAGTGTTGCGCCAAAGGCTGGTGAACGTGCGGCGCCAAACTTGATTCATCTGTGTGCTGTACGTGGTCGAGTATCCGGGGCGATCGAAATGCGGCGCAGTCACGCCTGGAGGAGTGACACCCGTGCGAAGCGTCTGAAGGACCTGGGCGCTCTCGGGAGAGGCATCCCACAGTGCCGGGCCGTCAAAGTCCTTCTGGGCGCAGACAGTGTCGAGGACCCAGTCGGCAGGATTGCGGTCGTGATTGAAGGTCAGTCCAAAGTGCTTCTTGATGTAGCCGAGGAGGTTGGAGTGGTTCTCCCCAACGGGGCCAAAGAACACCTGACGGCCGCCGGCCTTCAAGAGGAGAAGATGGTCAAACTTGCTAAAGATTTCGGCCGATGGCTGGTGGATGGTGCAGATGACCGACTTGCCGCTGCGCGCAATTTCGGCAATCTTGTTCATGACGAGCGCGGCGCCGTAGGCATCCAGACCCGAGGTGGGTTCGTCCAGGAAGAGGAGCGGCGGGTCGGTCACAAGCTCGACCGCAATCGTCAGACGCTTGCGCTGCTCGGGGGAGAGGCCGCCCGTTGCCAGCGATCCCACAAGATCATTGCCAATCTCCTCCAGATCCAACTCGTAAATGACCGACTCGACGCGACGCATCTTTTCGGCATGCGACATTTCTTGCGGAAGGCGGCACATGGCCGAGAAGGCAATGGCCTCGCGGACGGTCGTACGCGCAAGGTGCACATCCTGCTGCTCGCAGTAGCCAGACATGCGCTTGAAGAACTCGTTGCGCGGGGCATTGTTGATCAGAATCTCGCCAGTCACCACGCCACCCGTCTTGCGATCGGCCAGGACATCAAGAAGCGTTGTCTTGCCCGCGCCCGATGGACCCATCAAAGCAACGAGCGTGCCGGGCTTGACATAGCCGTTCACGTTGGTCAGCAGAGGCTTCTCGCCCTTGTCCGTTTGCACAGAGTACGAGAGATTTTTGAATTCAAGATACGCGGGCTGCTGCGCGGAGCCAGCGGCAGTCTCGGCTTGAACGGGCTTGAGGGCAATGCCAGAAGCAGAGCTCTGCAAACGCTCGATGGCCTTCTTGACAATCAGCGTGCGACGCGCATTGCGGGAGGCTTCGTCGTCGACGTGGGGATTGAAGGCAGCATCAAAGCGAATCACCTTCAGGCAGATGTACGACACAGCCACAAAGAAGAGGTAGTAAAAGTAGATGATGAGCATGTTCCAGGCGAGCCACGAAGACTCCTGGGGGATGCCGTAAACGGAAATGTACTCGTTGCCAGTGTTGTACGGGCACACGCGGGTATTGTTAAAGCCGCCTTGGTCAAACGGCAGGGCCAAGCGCGGATCGCCGGGATGAGGGACCAACTCGTTGGGGTCGCATCGTAGAGCAACGTCGTTAAACTCGTTGAGCGCCAAACCCGAGTACGCGTACGTGAGCGGGCTCAGATGGTACATCCACTTCCAGCCAACCGGGAACGAGGTCGCAGGCAGCATGTAGCCGCAGAACAAGAAGAGAATGGCCGTCGAGGACGGGACGATGGCGTTGGCGATGGCAAACGAGGGAGCAATGGTCGTGGCGGCGCGGCAGTACGAGTTGCCCCATAGGCCCATGCCCACACACAAGAAGAACAGGTAAAAGAACGCACCGGCAGTGTTGCGCAGGCCGACAGACCAGTACACAATGAACGTGAACGGGATGACTTCGAGTAAGACGAACGGCATTTCGGCAAGCGTGACGGCAATCAGATAGGCGAGGGGTTGAAAGTACTTGGCCTTGCGCTGGACCAAATAGACTTCGCGCTCGCCGAGATACAGGGGAATACGGGCGGCAGCACCAAGACCAAAGAAGGCACAAATGGAGACGAGGGTGCCGAGCTTTGTGGCGGCGTCGTTCTGGTTGTCGCCCAGGTTCATGAACAGTGTGGCCGTGATAAAGCCCATCAAGAAACCACGGAAGATGCGCACATTGAGCGAGGTGGGGTCGCGCAAGTTGATCTGTGTTGTGTGAATGAGCAAAGAAAAAAAGTGTGTGAGAAAACAAGTCAGAAAAACAAAAAAAAAAAAAAAGATCAAGCACAGATCAACCAACCGCCTGCAACACTCACCCTCCAGGAACGAGCAAAGTTAAGAACAAACTGGCGCGCAAATCGCGAAGGATACTTGGGAAAGTCGTCCGCCTCTGCAGCACGCGGGGCAGAGCGAGGCGAAACGCCCTTCCAAAGCTTGCGACCAAGCGCAGCATTCACCTCGGACTTGATGAAGGAGTCGATGAAAAAGTCAGTGGTGTACTTGGAGCTGGTCTCGGGAGCAACAAACTTTTCGGGGTGGTCGGTGACTTGCGCGAGGAAATCGGCAGGGTTCATCTCGGGCGGGCACACAAACCCAAGCGACGCAAAGTAGGGCAGAACCTCTTGACGATCGCCAAAGTACACGACGCGGCCGTTGCTAATGACCAGCACGCGGTTGAAGAGCTCGAACAGCTCCTTGGATGGCTGCAGCAGAGCAGCCATGGCCGGGAAGCCGACATCGGCAATCTTGCGCACATGCGAAAGCACCTTGTACGCGGCCGCCGAATCCAGACCAGTCGTGGGCTCGTCGAGCAGCAAGACGTTGGGAGTTTTGAGCATTTCAACAGCAATCGTGACACGCTTCTTCTCGCCGCCAGAAACACCTCGGATCAGGGGGTTGCCGACCAGCGTGTTTTCGGTATGCTCGAGACCCAGCAGCTTGAGGATGGCGCGCACATGAATCAGCTTGTCCTCGGCTGGCATGTCTTCCGGCAGCTGGAGCTCGGCGGCAAACTTCAGGGTCTCGCCGACGGTGAGCGTGGGAATGTGCACGTCGTTCTGCGGAATGTAGCCACAAATGCGGTTGTAGTTTTCAGTGTCCGTCACAAGCTCGCCGTTCACAAGGACACTGCCAGAGATGGTGCCAGAGTTCAAGCGTCCAGCGAGAGCCTTGAGCAGCGTGCTCTTGCCAGAAGAAGGACCGCCGATAATGAGCGTGAGATCGCCGGGCTCGACAAAGCCATTCACGCCTTGGAGCACTTGCAGCTTTTGTGTCGTGGGGCGCTTGCGCAAGTGCAGCATCTCGAGCACTGCAGTCGCGAGTGTGCTTGCGTGCGGCACGTGGCGGTGGTTGTCGCCTGCCTCCATTGCGGCGGCGGCGGCGGCAGCTCCACCAACGGGTGCGCGAACTTGGGCGGAAAAGCCGAGGTCGCGGAACTCGATGAAGGCACCCAGCATGCGACCAGGGAAGAAGCGCTCCACAAAGTGAATCCAGTAGTCTTGCAGGTCAAACTCTGGGTGGTGAGGGTCGGAGACAATCTCTGCGAGCGCGGACGTGGTGGACGCACGTGCCACCTCTGCGGTTTCAGAAATGGCTTGCAGCTCAATGTTCATGTCGGACTCGCGCTTGATGCCCTTGCCGGTCTTGGTGAGGCGGCGAACATCGTTGGGATACAAGGCACGCTGAGGGTCGGTGGCTGACGAGCGCGTGGGATCGAGCCGCGCTTGGACGAGCAGGTCCTGGCGCGAGTTGGTGCTGGCAGCCGACACCTGCGAGCCAGCAGCAGTTGCATGTCGTGCACCCACCTGGTCAAGCGTGCCCAGCGGTGCTGCTGCTGCTGCTGCTGCTGCTGGTGCTGGTGACACGACGATGGAAGGGGCGGCAGGCTTGCTCGCGTCGGTGTTGGCGGTCGCGGGCAGCGGAGCGGAAGAGGCGGAGGCGGCAGACCCACTCGGCGACGGCGGGGTTGCCGACGTCGAGGTCACTGCTTCGACCTCCACGTTGCGTTGCGTGTACGACGCAGGCTTGTCGGTCACAGCCAATGCCTCCAAGCGCGGCTTGACGGCGGTGACGAACGACTCGCGGCGCTCGGATTCGGAGAGCTCGAGGGTGGCGGCGGTTTCCATGATGATGAAGATGATGGGTGTGGCGTTCCTTTCTCACGCACAGTCAATGGGAGGGGGAAGTGCTCTCTGTGAGTTGGACAAGAGTCAGTCAAGTTAGTAACGACAAATAGAACGACAGTGGAAGGTGGAAGCGTGGAGTTGGGTGTTTGGGTTGGTTCGTGGGAACAGGGTCGGTTCGGCAACGGAGCAAATCAGACAAGGTGAATTTTTTTTTTTTAAGGTTTGGTTCGGTTTGTGAGGATTAGTGTACAGCTGCCAGTGTTTGGAGTCACGATACTAGTCTGGCATCGAGAGTGATGAGGATGTAAAAGTAAAGTTACCAATTGTTGTTCTTGGAAATCAGCGTGAATCAGATTCGTGAAAAAAAAAACTCAAAACAGCAAAACCCGAAAATCAAACAATCCAGAAAGTAAAGATAAAAAGTAGACTGAAGTGCTGGATGAATTTGTGTTCTATTTAAATGGTAAAAGAACACAACGTGTGAAGAGGGCGCCGGGCCGCTCGATCGGTTTAGACGGAGGTTTTTGGCGAAAGTATCCCGTTTTGCTATTTTCCCCACTCCTCCCACACTGGCGAATGTTTGACAAGGACTGGCTTGTTTTTTTGCTTGCGAACTCGAAGGTTAAGCACAGAGTCGAACAAGGAGAGCGAAGTACGAACGACTGAACGAACGAACGGGAACGAAGTTGGCGGAATCGGATCGGAAGCGGACGGTTTCTTTTCGTTTTATTCCGTGTCGCGTGGAGCATTCCCAGTCGCTCCTGCTGCTGCTCATTGCGCTTCCGCTCGAGGGAGGAGAGGGGTGGAGCATTTTGTGCGAGGAGTTGTTTATCGTTCTGCCGAAAAGTAACATGCAAGGACGAGACAGAGACAGGGGGCAAACGCAGGAAGATTGCATCGGCGTTTGCGGTTCCATAGCGTGGAAAAAAGCGTGGGAAAGTGGTCGGTTTTTTTGGCGTTCGATCGGGGAAAAATACAAAACGAGCAGCACAAAAAGAAGAAGAACGTCTTCAACAGTGAAATAAGTGGAAAACATTGCGGCGTAAATATTTGGGGATGGGCGGGGGGGGGGGCGCAAAGGCGGCCAAGACACTGCAGAGACGCGCTCATAGCAGCCGTCAATCGATACACGTCGAACAGCACTCGAGCAATCCCGCCCGCGTCGGTGGCAATGAAATGAGGGTTGTTGTGGATTGTGTAACTTTTTAGTTGTGTTGTTTTTTGCCAACTCAGGTGGATGGCCACGAACGGAGCGTTCAATCCGGTGCGAACCGACGGCGCGGCTCCGAGTCGGCCGAAACATCCGCGCGCGCACGGAGGTGATAATTTGCGGCGCCTAAGAATCGGCGGGATGGGTCATTGCCTTTTTTAAAATCAGTGGGAAGAATCCTGTGCATTTATTTATACGGCGCAGCGAGATCGCAAAGCAGGCCCGAAACGAGAATGAAGAGATTGACAGGGATGAACGAGTACTGGATCATCAGGTCCACAGAACTTTTCGGATGCTGATTATTCTGATTCACTTTTCGACTGAGATTCCCTCCGTTCTGAGAATTCTTGTCTGAACCGCCCAGTCTTCCCTTGAAACAAACGCAAAGCTCCCAGATGGCAGCGAGTGCTTCATTCGCGTGGCCTGCGCTGTACTCCTTCCCGCCGTTCTTTACGCAAGTCGCAATGATGCACAATTTCTTTGACGACAGCGCTCTTGCTGGAGCGACAGAGTGGAAGGACGGGAAGAAGTCGTGCTCCAAAATTCTAACTCGTTCCTGTGTGTGTGTGTGTCTCGCTCGATCTCGTTCATTCTCTCTCTCTCTCCCCATCAACAGATTACAGAGCAACGCCGATCTCGTTCATTCTCTCTCTCTCTCCCCATCAACAGATTACAGAGCAACGCCGACACGCGGCAGACTCGCTCGACGTTCAGGAAGCGCTCACGTCGCCCCTCTTCAACAACCAGACCATCAACCGTGAGTTCCGACAGACAGCTCACGTCGCCCCTCTTCAACAACCAGACCATCAACCGTGAGTTCTCCAGCACAACTCTGGCCAATCGTGATTTCGCGTCTGATCTGCTTGTTTTCACCAATCTTTACATCTTCATCCACGCAGGACACCTCTCGCCAGAAGCGGTTCGTATTGTGCTGGACGAATTAGCAGCAAAGGGTAAGTGTTGTCGGGTTGATTCGTTCTTTGACTGGTCATTTGCTTCGAGTCAATATGTGTTTTTAACTCGATGTCGCTGCAGGCAACGTCGAATGGACGGGACGCGACAAGTCTAGGTGTCGTGTCTTGTGGCGCACGATTGAACAATGGGCTGCCATCATTTACAGCTGGGTAAGTGTCGGAACCAAGCCCAATCCTCGTATTGCCAAACCAAACACTGAATTTCGCTCCTTGCTCGTATGGTCTTTTTCTCCTCAGGTTGAGAATAACGGAATGACAGGGACAGTGTGCACCCTGTATGAACTCCAAGCAGGCGATCACGCTGTTGGCACTGGTAAGGACTTGCCGCGAGCGCCGGCCATTGTTTGTCTGTTTCCACTTGTCAAGGAGCGTTTCTAACTTGGCACTCAAACGCCTGCTATTTCCCATTGGATAGAAATGTACGGAATTGATGAAAATACGCTCAAAGAAGCGCTAGCAGTGCTGCAGGCTCAACGGAAAGCACAGGTCTTTTCCAGTAGCACGGGGGAGTTGGACGGTGTAAAGTTCTTTTAGCAACTGAGTTTATTCGACAACATGAAACTAAATACATGTCAAAACAGAAAAGAAAACAAACCGCTGGACTACACGATGCGAGTGAAGGGTTGGGTTGCCATTCCATCGCCCAGTTGAGTAGAGCGACTGAGTGCAGCACCACTGTTGCTACTACTTATAGGAACAGCGCCTGCACGACTCGTAATTGAAGCAGCGTGGGTCCTTCCATGAACAGTTGAAGGCTGCCACACTTGCGTGCTCGGCCCGGACTGAGACGACGAGGGTTGAGCTGCAAGCTGTGTAGCTCTGTGATGCCGCGGTGTAAGCGGGTCTGGTGCTGCAAACGACGAAGAAGATGCTCGATCACTGCGATAGTTGCCTTGATACCATGGCGCGGCGGCAGCGGCGCGGTGTTGAAACTGTGACGCTTGAACAAACCGCCTCGATCGATTTGCTGTAGCCTCGTAACCGTGATCGTCACCGTCATCGTCGTCGTCGTCGTCGTCGTCGTCATAGAGGTGCGCCACTGCTGCAATGTTGTCCTCGATATCGTCTTGCGAGTTGTCGTAAGTGGACTCGTCCACATACATGCCCAGTGGTCGCAGCCGATAGTCTGTAATGCAGTCGAGAATCCAGTCGCTGAAAACAACCTGGACACGGCCCGAGCTGGCCAGGGAAAGCGTTTCGCGCGTGCTGCACCCCTTGTCCACGACAATGAGAATCCGGGATCGCTGGCGCATTTCTTTTCGCGTCAGGGAGATGCCCTCGGTGGCCAGCGTGTCTTGGAAGGCGACAACCCTATCTGTCAGCTCTTCGGTCGTGTGGAGAATGCGAGCGCCTCCCAAGCACACGAGCTCGACCAAGTTTTCTCGCGTATAGTTGTAATGTTGTCCGTGAAAGTGAAACTCGTACCCATCAAACAGTTTAGGTTCCTGTGGGATGATTCAAAATGACACACACACAAAAAAAAAAAAGACAGAGGCAGGGGGAGTTGCGATGAAGAAACTGGCAAAAGGAAGGCGCCTGTATGCAACGCAAAACAAACAAGGAGGAACTTACGTTGCACTGCAGACTCAATCGGGCCCGCCGTGGGCCATGGTCGGCGAAATTAATGTCACCGCGAATCTCAAACTCTTCTTCGGCAACATGGCGGTTTTCTTTCAGACATGCTCGTACCCCTACGGAGCGGAGGGACGTGCCCAAATAGAGTTAAAAAGGAACTTCAACATCAACAATCCACAACAACAACAGCACCACAGAATGCTTACATTGACAACCCACCAACCATGTGCCAGTCATGATTGCGAAAAAGAACTTGATCGTCCGCCTAACAACGAAGGAATTATCTGCAAAACGCCCGAATTGGTCAAAGTCAGAGACAGTGCCATGGATGGAATCGACAAGTCGAACGCGAATTCCCTTGCCATACCGCATGCGGCAACAAGATGTGTGGCCGTGGTGTTAAAGTCCTTCAGCATCTTGCCGTGAAGCAAGTTGGCCAAAGCGCGAACCTCCATCTGTTTGACAAGTGTTGGCAAAGAGAAATCAGTGGAGGAGCGCATCTTTGGCACACGCGAAATCCCACCAAAGACCAAAACGCCTTACGAGCTGCTCTGGAGCCAGTCCCGTCATCACGATGCGAGGAACGACATGAATTGAATCAACGGGGCTGCGCGTCGAAGGAATTGCGCGAACAAGTGCTTGAGGGCGGCTGTGCAGCGGCGAATTGGCTTCGAATGTGAGCCTACAACAAATGCACGTCACAAAAGGTGTGAGAGGTGGAAAGGTCAAATCAATATCAAGGAACAAAAAGAAAAATGGCCGTACGGAGTTGACAATGAGGGGGCGACAGGCGATTGCGCAGACGGGGGTGCGGCAGCCGAAGAGTACTTTAACGGAAGATTGAGGGAATTTGGGACCAGTGAAGGAACTACAATGACAAAGCACTCGGTGAGGTTTCCACATGAGCGCCAACCAACCAACCTCATCCACTAGAATCTCTCTGCTCACTGGACTGGGCAGGCTGGATGCTGGGATGCTTGAACGTTGCAGGCGCTGGCTCTTGCTGCCCGTATAACTGGTCGATCAGCTGGACGGTCGACATGTTGCTGTTCAATTCCCTGATTGCCTCCTGTCTCAGCAAGCACCATAACAAATCAACAGAAAAGCATGAGCAAAAACCCAAAACCATCCGTGAACGGAAGATCAGATCAGCACTGTACGCACCTGCGTGTTCATTGGATGCGACCCAGAAAGCTCATCATCTCCGCCGCGGTTGTTCGGGGAAGTAACATCAGAGCGTGAGAGCGAGGCAGGAGACCGGAGGGTTGGAGGAGCAAACGAAGACGACGAGTATGTCGGCGCCTCAAAGGCCGAATTGATTCGTGTCAGCCCGCGTGATGATGGCATCGCTGCCTCAACCGAGCTGTTTGGAGCAAGCACCTCGCCGGGAGAGGATGAGGCCAGCCTGCTGCTGTTGTTGGATCCCACAAGAGGGTCAGTTGGAGGAATAGATGCCGATGGCGATGCTAGTGGAGCCTGTCCCAAGCTGGAAAGAATGACGACGCTGGATGAGGGATCGATGAGTCGTGGCGGCTGCTGCTGCTGCTGCGAGTGCAAACTGGCCTCTGGCGCGAGTGCCGAGTCTGTTGTCTGCTCCGAGTCTCCCGTGGTTGCTTGCAGAGCGGCTTCTTTGCCGATTGGGTCGGGGATTGGTGGTTGCTGTTGTGCTGATGGTGGTTGAGCTGGCTCTGCAGTGGTGGATTTGGCGAGTTGGAGAAGCTGGCGGGCACTGGCAGGCTTGGGCGTGACTGCGGCAACAATGGGCTCAGCTGCAGCTGTTGGAATGGTCTGCTCGTCAGTTCCAGTCACAGTGCTGCGGGAGCGCGGCGAGCCTCTGCGTGGCGAAACAATGCGTGGTGACGCGTTGACGCGTGGGGAAGCTGCGACCAGTGCAGGCGAGGCCGCTGCGTTGGATAGACTGCGCGATCTGCGCGTTGTCAAAGAAGCAGCAGCACGCTCGGAGGATGGTTGTCCGAGCAGTGTCGCGAGGGAAGGAAGTTGTTGTTCGCTCGGTTCCTCGAGAGACATTGCCGATGCACCAACCCTGTCCGTGTCATCGTGATCAGGTGCGTTGCGAGTGGCTGCACGAGTAATACCTGCTCGAGATGCAGAGTTTTGCCGCAGAGGGGTTGCAGCGGCGGCCGAGTTACGCGGTGAAGCAGCAGCCGATTCATTCGAGCGCGAAGCGTGTCGACCTTGTCCCTGTGCGCTCCGAGTGTTGTGGTGTGGTGCAGCAGCAGTAGTAGTAGTAGTAGTAGTAGCAAGGGGCGTATCCGCATCAAGGCTGTCGTCGACGGTTTGCGGCTCGGCATGCGGCTTTTCGGGCTGCGGATACATTTGCGAAAGATTCTCCACTGGGAATGCGCAGGTTGTGTTGGTGATGGCGACGCGCTGGGATTGAATTTCGCCGCCAGTGTCCTCCTTGATGCCTTCAATCACAGCGGTGACGGACTCGACCAGCGCTGCAAATCGCGGGCTCTGTTTGAGTGCGCGGCGAGTGAATGGCTGCTTGCACATTGGGCAGCGGGCCGGAGCAGCCGCCTTTTTGGAGCGCTTGGCCTCCTGCTCGTCCTTGGTGCTTCGGTACTCGTGCTCGAGGATGCATGTTCTGTGCCAGTGCAAGATCAGCAAGTGAAAGCGGTGAGTTTGAAGAGCAAGTGCAAGAGGATCCACAAAGAAAAAAAAAAAGCGCGGGAAATTGAAAGTTGTCTCAAGTCTTTGCTGTCCAACACGCTCGCTTGTCACTGAGCCGCCATCGGCATTGACATTCGCACGCGTGTGTGCTCTGCGAATCACTACTGCGCGTACTTGCAGAACTGGTGGTTGCACGGAGTCGAGTACGGGTCTACGAGCGAGCAGCAGCTGTGTGTGTGTGTGGATCGCAGTCGTTTGCAAGCACAGAGCGCCTCATTCAGCGTGAGCGCACGAATCCCCCAACAGACACCCAGCGCGCATCCGTGCTGCACAAGTCATGAAACGCACCATATTGGGCACTCAATGCTCTTCTTGAGGTTGCTGACGCACAGCTGCACCTCGCGCTGCTCGTCCGTGGTCAAATCGCCGCAAGTGGGCATTTTGTTTCAGAAAAAAAAAAAAAAAGCTGCCAATGCAAATCCCAGCAAAAAAAAAAAAAAAAAAAAAAAAAAAAAAAAAAAAAAAAAAAAAAAGACTATGAACAAATCCTTCTTGTTCCATTGACCCTTCCAAAGCGAGAATCGCGTGCTACTTTGCGTACTGCTTCTTGCTTCTTTCAAATTTGTTACCACGACTTGTTGCATATGGGATCAGAGTGCTCAGTCGTGGATTTGTGCTTTGGGTTGGTCAGAGTTTCGTTTCGCGTCTCGTCCCTATTCTTCGTATCCCCCTCCTGGTTGAATTTGTTGTTTCAAACTAGATGCCGCCGAAACGCGGTGGCATCGCTGGCTATCTGCGGCCGACAGTGCAAGGTAGCAGCAGCAGCAGCAGCCCAAACTCAAAGGACAATCCTGCCGCTGCGACCGCCTCGCCCACCGTCCGTCAGACCCGTCGCAGCAGTGGTCTCCTTGGCCTTAGTAGTCATGGCGATAGTAGTAGTACTAGTAATAGCAATGTTGTGAGCAGTAGTGATGACGGATCTGCGTCTGCTGCTGCGGATGATCCTGCGGATGATGCTGGGATTCAAAAGCCGACGCCGTTTCAACCGAGTCGCAAACGGCCGCTGTCCGAGGTCGACGCCGACCCAGCAACGCCCAGCCTGCTGCTCCACAAGCGCCCGCTCGTCTTCCATCCTGCTGCATTGGAGCCGATTACCACTACGACGACGACGACGACGACCGAGGTGAGGTCGCTCGCAGACGCACTGAGGCAACCGCCGCCAGCCAAAGCCAAAGGGCGTTCAAATTCAAACTCGAGCATCCTCCTGCGCAACGCAGCATCCACCAGCAGTGCAATCACAAGTGCCTCTGCTGCAATGCTGGCGCGATCAAGTCAAGTCCAGACAACAGAGGTCGAGCACGACAGCGAGGACCAAACGGCTCGTGCTGCCGAGCAACCAGACCTGTCAAAAAACGAGACCACCAGCAGCGCGTCCGTTCAAACGGCTCTGCCGTCCACCTCACCGACCATGCAATCCGCCACCGACAAGACACCGAGTCACCAGAGTCAATTGCAGGAATCTACGGTGGAAGCGCAAAATCCACCCTCATCATCATCATCATCATCATCATCATCATCGGCACCACCACCACTACCAGCCGCCTCTGTCACAAACCCCTCAGAATGGCGATCCATGAAGGACTTTCCGCTCTTCAATATCTCGCGACCAAGATCCTCGCTGTCCCTTTCCATGGCATCGTTTGTACCGGCTCAGCCGCAGCCTCCCTCTCCTCCATCGCCGACGGCTCCGCCTGCCGCCGCCACGATCGCGACCGAACCAACCGCGCATGCGGCAGCTCGGCCACCCATGCCAAGCAGCCCACGCCGTCCTCACTCATCGCCGGCCAAGTCGCCGCGATCGACAGAACCTGTTGAATCCATCTTTGCGGCGGTGGATCCGAACAGTCACTCGCCGTCGTCTGCGCGACCTTACAGCATTCTGCCCCCGTTGCCACTCGACGTTCCGCTCGGGGTTTCGTCGGGCTCGGTGTCGCCGGCGCGACAGTTTGTATCGGCTCTCTCGTCGCGAGGTCGCGCAATGGCGTTGCAAGCTGCCGGACAGCCCGTGTCAGCCGCACGCGTTTTGCAGCTTGATCCTGCGTCTTCTTCTTCTTATTCTTCTTCTTCCTCCTCTTTCCCATCTTCCTCGAGCTTGGTATCGGCCTCTACTGCTGTATTGGGCCTTCCGCCACGAGCCACGGCCATTCCGTATGCTGCCTCCTCGGCCTTCGATCCAAGCCCGTATCCGAATCTGCAGAGCGGCTCAAGCACGGTTTTGAACACTGAAACAAGCTCGTTGAGGGCTAAAACGGCTGTCGAGGATCCTTACCCTCAGCCAATTCGATTGCCCGCGGTATATGAAAAGCTTGAGCGAAAATTTCAGGCTCTCGAGGATATTCTGCGAACCCGCACCATTCGTGACGTTTCTGTTTCGCTTCAAAGCTTGACGCGACACATGTCGCAGGGCGATTACAAACTGTAAGGCATTTTGTTGCATGGACGTGGTCGAGCACAAATGGCAGTCTCTCACTTGAAACGTGTTGTGATTTGTTTTCGGTTGTACCAGTTCGTTTGGACCCGAGGACTTGGCTCTGATTATGGCTCTCATGCCCAATGCATACAGCCTCAAAGTGCTCAAGTCTGACGCGCACAAGCTGCACAATTGGGCCGATAGCCAGTACCAATTGCACGTTCGATTCCCAGCGGCGCCTGGTGTCCCTTCCACCGAGTGGGCGGGAGAAAAGTCGTCAATCATGTCAGACACCACCAAGCTCCAGCGAATGGATGCCTTCCATCAGAACTTGCGCAAATTGGCTTGGACCACGTACGACACCAAGCTTCGCCATTTGCTGGGATACTCGAGCGACATTAAGTTTGCCGGAACGTTGCACCACGCCATTCCGTGGGACACCCTGCCACTCGATATCGAACCAATCACACTCCCTACGCCCGATCTTGGCGTGGTTTCCTCGGTCGCACAGCTGCTCGACAACCCCTCCTTGACGGCATCGGTAAGCGTTAAAATTGGGTGTTGCAATGCCAAATGCAGCTCCCGAATTCTGTTCTCGGAAATGCTCATGCGCTGAAATTTCGTTGGAATGTGATAGGTCCGGCAAAAACTTCAAACTCTGGCCGACCATCGAGCAAGTGCAGCGGCTGAACAGCAATCCAGCGCCGCTGCACCAACAATGGCTTCTGCGGCGGCACCCGAGCCTTTAGACAAGAGCTTGAAAAACGTAGACAAAGACCTGTTGGCCCGTGTAAGTTGATGGAATCGGCATTTTTAGGCATTTTTCTTTTTGAAAAAACTACAGGAAAGTCAGCTCACGCGTTGCTCCGTTTGTTTTTCTTTGTTTTTTTTTTTCTTTTGTTTCTACTCTGCTGTTGTTCACAGATCCAACAAAAGCAGCAAAAGTCTCTCGGCCTTACACTCGACAAGCTGAGCGTGGCTTGGCAGTCTGCTGTGCAAAATTTGCAACACAGCTTGAGCAACGTGCAGTTTTCGCTAGAGTTTGGCAAGCGCACTGTACCCGTCCCGACCATCATGGCGCAGCGGGCCGGAGGCGCAGACGGTGAGTTTTTTTGAGTGGAGAGTGTTGGTATTCTTGTCATCTTGGGGATGGCAACTCGCTCACTCGACTTGTGGTGTTGTTGTCTTTCTGCGTTCTCAGTTGCGTACCGGCATAAAATTCTCGAGTTTCTTGTGGCGCTTCGCCCCGACCTGTGCGAGTTAAAGAAGGCTCTGCAGTCTGTGCAGTCTCACGAGTCTCCGCGAAGGCACGAAGTAGAGTTTTTCCGTCTGCTCAAAGCGGACGCCCTCGGCGAACTCCGCACGTTTGTATCCGACCTCCCTGCAGCTCCCACAGCCGAGCATGAGCGGCTCATGCGCGCTGTCGGTCTCTTAGATTAAGTTATTCATCGTGTTTGTGCTTTTGTGAGATTGTAACAGTACCTTTTGTGTGTCCTCTAAAATCCACATTATCCTCGAATAACGGCAACTACAACTGGTTGCTTTTTCCAAATCACAATCAGCTCAGCTCAGCTCAGATCAGATCAGTCGTTTCTTCCCCCACTACCTCAGACGCTCAGACTCCACAACCAACAACCAAAATGTCTGAGAATCTGCGATTGTTCAGCACAAAGCGGCTGTCCAACTCGCACGTCTCGACCACCGCCAAGCCAGCCAAGTCAGGCAACAAGTCCAACCTGTTCCTTGATGACGACGACGACTTTTTTGGCGGTGGTGGTACTGGTCGCAAGGCTGGCTCAGTCACGGGTGGTGGTCCCGCAGCGACGGCCAGTCGACCTCCAGCCGCCGACGCCGATGCTGATGATGCTGATGATGTTGATAATGCCGATAATGCTGACGGTGATGATAGTGTCGCTGCAGCGGGCTCCACTGGCAAGCCGAATGCTCAGATCGAGCCGCCCGTCATCATCAGCAGCCAAGTGGTGCCAAGCGCACAACCCAAGCCACCAGCCACCGCTGCTACCACTACTACTACGACTGCTACTACTACTACTCCTGTTGCGGCTGCTGCTGCTCCTGCGGCGGCGGAAACAACGCGGCGCGAGTCACTCCCGCTGCCCCAATCCGCCAGAACTCCCCCGGCGCTCTCGCCTCCCGCAACACCCTCGCGCCAGTCCATCCTTGCAGATCTGCAGAGTAGCTTGTTTGATGACTCGGATCTCATCCCTGCAAAGCGGTCGAGCAAGCCTGCTGCAGCCAGCAAGCCGCAGACAAGCACCTCGTCGTCGTCCTCGTCGTCGTTCACGTCCGTCACTGCAACTTCGAACGCTGCGCCGTTCGCATATACGTTTGCGTCAGTCTCGGTGGACTCGCAGCCTAAACCCGAAGCGAATGGTGGGCGAACGTTGGGCGCACCTCCGCCGTCTTCCAAAACAGCCCCAACCATCGACGTCAGCCGGCAGGTGGAAGTGTCAAACGCGCTTTTTATTGCTGCCACAACACCCATCCTGACCGAACAGAGTTGGGAGCAACGCGGCCTGCCCGAGCGAGCAAGCACTCCGTCACAGATTCTCCCGCCCCACGCGCGAGGCGCCGCCTTTGCCGGAAGGAGCCACCGCAGCTGCTGCAGCGTTTGACATGGAACTAGTGCCATCCGCGCTCGTGACTGAATCCCCAACAACAATAGAGGACGACTATGTGTGTGATCCAGTGTCAGACGACCCTCTTGAAGCATCCGCCTTGTCAACGAGCTCCTCCACTCTCGAACCTTCCGTCGTTGTCACCGATCCAATCCTGCCGCCCGCCGTCAACGAGCCTGTACCGCTACTCCCAGCATCGCCATTGCCCGCAACTGCTGCGCCACAAGCTGCGAGCAGCAACCTGGCTCCCACATACACATTCAAGAGCCGCGGCGAGCTGCTGACGCGCGAAATGTGGCTGGCCATGCTGGCCGATGGCCGCGTCATGAACGAGTCGGGTCTTCGCAGCGCAGTGTTTTGTGGAGGGATTGACCCGCAACTCCGCGCAGAGATCTGGCCCTTGCTTCTTGGAATGTATCCGATGCAAAGCACGCTTGTCGAGCGGGAGATTTTGCGCCAGGAGAAGCATGCGCAGTACTATGCGATGCGACGGCGCTGCTTGCGCGTTCTCGCCGAACTTGGCTTGGGGCAGGACTCGCAGTACCTGAGTACGGCGGCCGAGGTCGCCAGCGGCGTGCCGGAAGACCCTTCGCTCGCCGTGCTCGCGGACATTAACGCCAACTCAAAGCCATTCGACCAGAACAAGCTCAGGCGCGCTCAGTCTCAAATCGACAAGGATGTGCCCCGGACGGAACGCGAGCACCCGTATTTTGCTGGGCCCAACGGTGTCCAGGGAGCCCAGAAGCTGCGTCACATTCTTCTGACCTTTGCCGCCTTCCGATCGCAGCTCGGCTACGTCCAAGGCATGAGCGACATTCTCGCCATGCTTCTTGTCGTGCTGGACAATGAGGCTGATGCCTATTGGTGCTTTGTCGGGTACATGCACGACGTCGAGTATGACTTTCAGGAGGCAGGCATGTCCTGGAAGCTCCAGCGAATGAGTGCGCTCTTGCAGTTCATGGACCACGATCTCTTTGCCCAGCTCCATCGCAACGAAGCGCATGAGCTGGTCTTTATGCACCGCTGGCTGCTGCTCTCCTTCCGTCGCGAATTCCGTTTCGATCAGGCGGTGCAAATGTTCGAGGTGCTCATCAGTCGCCACCTGGGCAAGGCCACCATCGCGCACCCTTCTGTCGTACTACAGGGCCGTGTCCCAGCCGCAGCGGTGACCAGCAAGACCTCCGCTGGTGCGAAACGAGGGGGCGCTTCCGCTCCCACATCCGTTGGTCGGCCAAACACGTCCAGCTCGGTGTTTACCAGCAACAAGACGGGCAGCGACAACCACGACCATCGCCACTTTGTCTATACCTTTGAATTGTTCGTGGCTCTGGCCATCATTGAGGGGCAACGGTCCAAGTTCCTCGCTTGCCACGACCAGACAGAGGTCTTTCTGCTGGCCAATTCGCTCGCCACCCGCCTCGACCTGGAAATCACACTTGCCAACGCCGAGCGCCTCTTTCTAGCTTACCGCGAACGGACTACGCGGCAGCGCCCCGATCTTTGGGACTTTGTTGATGAAAAGGATGATTCCGTGTACACTGCCTAACCAATTTAGACTTGTTGTCAAGAAAGAAAGAACAAGAAAACAAAAACGAATTGGACGTGCATTGGAGGACGATGCAGGATTTGAAAATACGCATTGAGCACAACAAATAGGGAGGGCGCTGAAACAATCGACAACAACAAGAACAAGAACAAAAAACATCAACAAAAAGAGGAGAAACAGTCATGGTGTGGAACCAGAAAAGCAGAAAAGAAGGATTTCTGAAGAGGAAACGGTCGGTCGAACGGGCAACGACTGAAAACGCAAGACTTCCAGGGCGAGTAGAGCATCCAGCCAAGAATCAAGCGAATACAACATGCGGGGAAAACAGGGGAGGTGAGGGAAATTGCTGTTTGCGATAATGACGCCAGGACAAATCGCAAGCGGAAGATCGAGTCATCACATGGAGAATGCCGACCGGACCAGCAAAGGAAAGAAAGAAAAAAGGCTGTGTAGGATTTGTGAGAGAAGTGTGACAGTGGTGAAAACAATGTCAAAGAGCGCATAACAAGGCATGGACAGGAAAGTTGGAAAAGAGAGAGAGGAAAACAAGAACAAGGACGGTACAAATAAAAAAAAAAATGAAAACGAAAAAGGAAGGAAAAAAAAAGTTTTACACCAACCCATAGTTGGTAAGGTTGGTTTGCAGAATAGTGTCTCGAACGGCGGCAAACACAAAGCGAATGTTGTTTGTGTCTGTTGCGGTCGTGTAATGGGGATAAATCTGCTTGGAGGGATTACGGTTCTTCTCGACAAACAAGTGACGGATGAATTCCTTAACAGCTTCGACGTCAGTTGGTGAGCCTGCGTGAGAGAAGGATGCAAGGGGGAGGGACAGAAAAAAAAAAGAGTCAGTGCTGCTCAACAAAAACAAAAAAGGGAACGAACGCCGCTCGGCAGCCTACTCACCCTTGTAATCCGAAAAGTATTTGGAAATGTCGCTCTTGGGGAGCTTTTCGGCGAGAATGTCCATCTTGTTGAGGAAGAGAATCATGGAAGTGTTCTCAAACCACTTGTAGTTGACGATCGTGTCAAACAGGGTTAGTGCCTCTTGCATGCGGTTCTGCATTCGGTGCAAGAGAAGGAGGGATGAGTTGAGCGTCACCAAGAAAAAAAAAACAGAAAAACAGAAAAAAATAAGCCACCACACAGCACCATCAACAGTCCAGCCCTGCTTGCTTACCGTGTTCTCGTCCTCGAACAGCACTTGATCGTAGCCACTGGATTCAATGACAAATACGATCGAAGTGACGCCTTCAAAGCAGTGAATCCACTTGCGACGCTCTGATCGCTGGCCACCGACGTCAACCATTCGGAAAACCGATGTCCCCAAGGTGAACTTGTATTCAATGATGCCGGTCGTGGCAACACGCGATCGGAGTACGTCCTGCTCGTTGGGGACATAATCGGCGCTTGAGATTCGAGGAAGGTCGTCAAAGTAGCTGTCGAAGGCACAAGCCAAAGTCAGAACAAAACGAGGTCGATGGGCTGTTGACTCAAACGCAAGGGAGAAGACGTACTATTTGGCAGAGTCGTTCAACTGGAACTGTCGTTTTCGGTCGAACGTTTCTTGAATCGAGGGATCGGCCCACAGCTGGGTCACGCTGTCGGCGTATTCTTCAAACAGAACCTGTTGCTGGCCTTCGTACTCTTTGAGCTTGTCAGCCAGCTCCTGTTGCAAAAGGGGGGGGGAACCAGAAAGAAGGAGAGTTGAGTTTGAGCAAAATCAACAAACAAGAAAAATTCGCAGCAGAACAAGAACATACCGGATGTTGTAGGGGCAGCTCAAACTTTTCGGCTTGAATCACAAGCGTTTGCATAGACTTGACAATGTTGTCGTAGATGATGTTTTTGAACTCTGCGCAGTCCTTGGCAGAGTAACCCTCGCCGTGGATGATACGCATCTGTTTGACGATGGTGCTCTTGCCCGACTCGCCAGCGCCTGCAATGCGAAAAGCCCAAAACAAAACAAAACAAAAAAAACAGTGAGTTGACAATCACAATGAGGCGAATGACAGTTCGAAATGGTATGGTTGAATTGAGCAATGAAAAATAGAAAAGCAAATCTTTTTGGTTTTTCATCCGCAAGAAGTTTGCTTCCCAGTCCAGCACGGACGTAGTGGTATGAGACTCGTGCGTTCGCGGCGCAGGCATTTTCAAACCAAATGGACAAAGCGGAAATACAGGACACAACAAGACAACAAATAGCGAAACCAAATTGCGCACTTGATGAGCAGCACTATGAATTGACCGTTTTAAAACGCCAATTGCCTACCAACCATTGTTCACCAATTTTCGCTTTTCGCAGCCTCGTTTTGGTTTGCTCCAAAAAAAAAAAAAAAAAAAAAAATCCCAAAAAATCCCAAAAAATCGAAAAGGCACGGCACATGCAAAATGGAGTTGTGCTGCTTTGGAAAAGGGACACGAGCACACAGCACCGCGCTGCCTTGCTGTTCGCTGGCCACAGTGGAGGGGAGGCTGAGCTACACGCTGGGCCCAGCGGCAGTCGCCATGGCCCCAGACGCCCAAACGAACAAATGCAAACGCGTCGATGGCAATCCCAACACGCCTTTTTATTGAAAATGCTGAATGCTGTTGCATTGAACGGAAAAAAAAAAAAAAAAAAAAAAAAAAAGCCATAACACTCAAAAGGGTTTTTTTTTTTTTTTTTTTTTTTTTTTTTGGTTTCATTCAATGAGAAATCCATTGTGATCCTTATGCAAAAAAAAAAAAAAAAATCAATGCCAAAAAAACAAAACGAGAATAAAAAAAAGCGAACAAAACGAATGGAGCCGTTTTTGGTGCTGCTCCTCAGTGCACAGTCGGGAGAGGGCAAACAAGCACGAGTCCGTGTAACTCGCAACAAGTCAGACCCATCCTCAGCCGAACAGCCGCACAAGGGCAGCGAAGGACTGGGACAGCGCAAGAGCAAACTTCGATATTATCAAAAAAAAAAAAAAAAAGAGAGAGAATAAAAATGGTCGTCTGCTTTGTCGCACCGAAATAGCTGACCATGCGCTTTGCCGCCCAACCCCTCACTTTGGCACGCGCTTGCCTCAGGTAGCACCCTGCAGGACTCTCGTGCTGCGCGGCCAGTGCCGTGCGGGGAGGGGGCTCAAAGACAACATACACAGCTGTCCAGCACTCACTCGCTCTTTTTTTTTTTTTTTTTGCGTTGGTTTTTTTTTTTTTTTTTTTTGCTGCCTTTTTGTTCTCGTTGGCTTTGTGCTTACCAAGAAGAAGCAGCTTGACTTCCTTGCGATAGTCGCGAGCATCACGCTTCAGCTGGTTTTCGATCTCGCTGCTGCGGCGCTTGGCCTCAGCGTCCTCTGGAGTGGACGAACAGAAGCCCATTATTGGAAAAATCGAGATTAGAAAATTTAAAAACAGAAAAAAAAAAAAAAAAAAGATTGAACGGATTTTGTTTTCCATCAAGAGTTTTTTTTTTTTTTTTTTTTTTTTTCCCCATTTGATTCGGCATTCTCACTGAAACGACGCGTTCAACATGGGCAGTCATCCAACCGAGTAATGGTTTATCAGCTATAGCAACAAAAGCAAGACCAATGCGATGTGCGCAATCACATCACCTCGAAGTGGAGCAACAAAAAGAAACTGCTTTTGATTGTCAAAGTGCGATTCATCGCACAACCCCTGTCCGTCCCAAAGAGCCCTTGCTATAGCATACTCCATCACATGTGGGGCTTATTGTTCTGTGGTCCAGCATTGTCGTGCCCGTGGCTCTGTTCGCCGCCCAGATGAACAATATTAAAGTATGCAGTTTATTCTACGAATTAAAGAAGGTGAAGCGATGAAAAATGGACATATAGAGGCAGAAGGGTGGGAAAACAAAGTCGAGAAAGCTTGGAGTGAGAGCTAAAGGTCCATTTCAAACAAGGGGTCGACGCCTGCTGTACGAGGCAACACAGGAGCATTCATCAAGAGCGCTGCATGCTCTAGCTGGTTGGCGCGTTCTTGTAGCGGGGTTTCGTTGTCGGCGGCCACAGCGGCTGGAGCTGTCACCTCGCCCACGAGCATAAAGGCTGCAGTAGGCTCAAAGCTCATCTCTCTGTTTGGCAGGACGAGGTCTGTGCTGGGTGCGAGGACGACGACGCACGAGCGGTGCACTTCCGATTTCGGAGCAGCAGCGCCTTCCTGTACATCAACCGGCGGCATGTGCGACAACTGGAGCTCTGTTGCAACGACGGGCACCCGCATGGAAGACTTTCGAGGACGAGCATGCGCTGCGGGGACTGGTGAAAGGAAGATCGGACGTGGTTCGCCCTCTTGAATGAACGCGCTGGCGTCCGCAAACAAGTTCGCTTGTTGTGGCTCTGATGTCAATGCATTCGAATGCGTTTCGAATGTTTTTGACGGAATCTGCTCCGGCACAGCAAACCTGGACAGAAACACAATCCGTTAGAAATCCACAATCAAGCAACGAAATCACCTTGGTCGCGACATTCAAAGCCATGTGGAGCGCACTCCCGTGCTTGTTGTCTCACCTGACTCGTTTGTTGGTCGATGCAACAGTGGGCGATCCGCTGGGAGAGGAGGAACTGGTGGCAGCATGGCCGCGTTGATTCTCGGTCTCCAACGGGTTCTTTGCATTCGCCGTTTCGGGAGCCTCCCATGTGCGCTTGGCAGCAAGCCGCAAACGCTCAAGAGCTCCGTCAGGCTCAGCGCTGGAAGAAGGTGTCGAGCCGCTTTCCAGTGGGTCTGCGGCGTGTGGTGCGCGGCGACCTGCCAGTTTGACGCTACGCAGGATGGCTGAAGACCCCAATCCGCGTTGACCTTGGACACTCGACGGAATTGCTGCCGTTGCAGGCAGATCGCTTGCGATTCCGGCAAGGGCAGAGCTCTCCAGGCTTGACGAGAGGTGGTGGAGAGGCGACTGCGAGATCGGAAGGTTGCCCTCGATCCTGTGCCCTCCAGGCGTGAACGCTTGAGCCATGTTGTTTGATGCAAGCGTGCTCATGACTGCTGCAGCCGCTGCGACTTGTTGAGTCGGCGATTGAGACTCGTCAAACACGACCATGCTGCTGCGACGACGCCTGCCTCCAGAAGAAGACGCCGCGCTCGCAGCCTCGGGCTTACTGGACACCGTGGTTGCGAGCTTGCCTGGCGGGAGCTTGGATGCCATTCGGGCAAACGCTGGAAGCGTCATTGCCTGCTTGGAACGGTTGTCCAAGTTTGCCATCGCGTACCGCAGCTGCGGCCTCGGTCCTGTGGTCCCGGAGTGAGGCTGAGTCTGAGTCGACCCTCCTGCAGCAGCCTGCGTGTGCGTTTCTGCAGCGCCGTGGACTTGAGTGCCTGTTCCAATGGGATCAAGTGAGATGATTCAGTGTTTCAGGGACAAACTTGCGTTCTTCAGGTCTGCCTCCTCTCCTTTGCGCTGCGTCCGCCTACCACTCCGATGGGCACCCAGTGCAGCAGCCGATGCGTCATCTTGAACGTTTTGACTTTCAGAAGTTGCAGACCGCGCTGCCGTGGAGCCGTCTGTGAATGAACGGGCTGGCTGTGAAACATCGAATCCTTTCGCGCCAAAACGAGCCGGCAACAACACAGCCTTGGGGCGCCCGTAGGTCGCGATGGCCGGCCCAAACACTGTGTTTTCGGATGCGACACTTGCGTTTGTTGGTTTCGGCGTGGAGCTGTCGCTGGAGGACGGCTCTGGACGCGGCAATCCAGATGAACGCGACTTTGGCATTGAATGGGGGGTTTTCGCGGGCTTTTCTGTGGCTTCGGGATTTGCTTTGGGGATTGATGGAATGGGGGTTTTCTTTCAAAGTTGCTTTCTATAGAATGGAACTAGAACAATGAATGAACTTCCATAACGATGGCTGATGGATGTAGCTCTACAGTAGGGCATCGTTGATCAGGCAGGATTGTTGAGCTTGCTCACCTCTTGCAGCCTCGTTGTAGCCTTCCGCCCCCCCCCCCACCATCTCAATGACTCGAATAGTTGCCAGTTCTTTGCACTTGTGGTTGTACTTTGAACTCGATCGGCAATACAACTCGACAACGCCCAACCAGCTCACTCCTCGTCCCCTGTCTCGATGTCGTCGCTCTTCACCTTGCGTCGTGCAGAGGACTGCATGCCCTCACTTCGCGGCGGCCAGGTAAATGAAATGTTCACCACCACCACCCCCTTCCTTAGCATGATCTATTGACGCTGTTCATCCAATCGAGTCCGGATTGCTGGTTGTTCCATTGAGTTCCCATTGAGTTCCCATTCAGTTCCCATTGAATTTCCACTGATCCCCCCCCCCGCCTCCGCTGTCCCCCTCTCTCGATTCTCTCTAATCACAGGCCGTCTCGTCGCTGTTTGAAACAACAACGACGTATGGGCCCAGCTCGGCCAGCAGTGGCCCAAAGACGACCGACGTCTGGGCGATTCCAGGTCACCTGCTCGTCGCCTTCCGCCAGCGTCAGAGCCTCGTCGCGTTCGACAGCGTGCCCACCACGCGCGCATTGCCAGAGCTTGACTTGGATCGCCTCAAGCGGCACTTTGCAAGCTGCTCGTCCGCGAACGGACCAGCCAACGGTCCAGCCAACTCCACCACCACCAGTCCTGCTGCGCAAAAGCAGCAGCATCTCGCTAGCAGCCTGGGACCGGACTTTGGAGGGGGGATGCTGCTGCATGACTTTGCTGCCCCGCTTGTGGACGTGTTTCTCGTGTCTTCGGCGTCGGGTGGGCTGTCCAGCAGCTCGGAAGCGGACTTGACGGCTGGCGGATTGCGCTCTGGCAACGCACGGCCGCTGGTTGCTTCATCCACCATCATTGCCGCCGTCGATCAGGACGCACGACTGACATTGTTTCAGTATGTGCATGCCAGCCACGCGTGGGTGTTGTTGGGCTCGTTCAACTCCCCCATCAACTTGATTACCGTCACGTCGCCGGTTCGCGTCGCGCCTGGCTCAACCATCATCTCGCCGAGCGCGACCGGTACTGCGACAGCAGCGACCACACATGCGAATACGGCTCCTGCTGCGGGCACAGTCTTATCGGCAACCTTCCACTGGCGCTCGCGCACACTGGTTTGGTGTCTCTACGACCCCGTTAGCCTCGTCTACTCTGTGAATGCCCGCTCGCTGGTGGCCGACTCTGAACAGAGTTTGGTGCATCTCGGCCCCTTGATGAGTGTGGTTCAGCGGTCGCCGTACGCGTTTCGGCTCTTTCCGCTCAAATCAGCGGTTGCAATGGCAGTGATGCAGTACAGCTCGCAGACCAATGCCGCCACCACCGGCACTGGCACTGGCGCTGGCGCCGCCCTCCCCACGATGAAACGCTCAAACAGCGGCAGTGCGGTCGCGGCGATTGCAGCAGAGCTCGGTGCTTCGACACCTCCGACCACCTCCAGCAACACAGCAACAGACTCTGGCGTACTCACCTTTCACCCTGTTGCCTTTGAGGGGTGGAGAGCATCGCGACGTTTGCTCCTCTGGACGCCGCGCATGGCCACAGAGGCCCTTGCCTTGGAGCTCTTTGTCTGGGGTCGTGGGATTGTGCCCGAGCGCGTCACGCGCACGGCATATGTGGACATTCACGTCGCGTTCGATCGATTTGAATCCAGCCCCACTCGAAGCGACCCTGTGCCCGACGTCATGAGTTTTGTTGTGCATCGCACCACGGGTGAGCTGCTTGCGGTCGCCAGCAATTGGTCTGTGTGGGTGATTCGAAACGACGACCACAACAATGGCTGGGTCTCGCTGCCCTTGAGTTCGCTCGCCGTTGCTGGCGCGATTTCTGCTGCTCCATTCTCATCACCATCGCCAGTCGCTGGCCAGGAATCGGCTGCAGCTGTACCTCCCTCCGCCACATCGCCTGTGCAGTTGCTCGTGCTGCACTTTATGATTGGGTTGGTTGAAAATGGCGCGTGCACCATTTTCAGTCTCGCCGACGGCTCACAGCTCTCTCGCGTTGCCATACCGTATACAATGCCCGTATGCCACGTGTGGCATGGACAAGGGATGGTACCGCGTGCTGGCCTGTGGGGAGAGCATGGCGTGTGGCAGTTGCAAAGCAAAGCAGTTGTCGATCAAGCAGAGATCTTGGCTTCCGCTGCATCAACCGCGTCGACAACAGCGCCAACCTCCGCGGCCATCCAATCACCAGCCCCTCAGACACCCTTGGCCGGCCAAGCTCCCTTCCTCGAGAACGACACGAAAAAGATGCAACATTTGCGGCGCGCCAAACAGCTTTGCGAGCAGTGGGGCTTGCGTCGTCTGCATGCAAAGTATCTCTTTGACATTGCGTACGCTTGCTTGCACGACGCCTCGACCGCATGGGTGTCGGCACATGGTCATCAGCAGCACGAAATGGTGCAAACACAGCTTTCGGTTTTATCCGAACTGTTTGCGAGCCGCGTTCTCGGCAGCCCCGCGCTTGTTCTCGCCCTCGTCGGTGCCGATTCCCCCGTTTCCCAAATCCTTGTGTCGGAGCTGGATCAATTTTTGAATGCCTTTGTTGGCAAGAAGGGTGAGTGTGATGGGTTGCTGCTTTTCGTCGAATTTGTCTCTCATTTGATTCTCTCGCTGCTGCTGCTGTTGCTGCATCCCATGCTACGCTGACTTGCTTCACCAGGCACTCGATCATTCACACACGTCGAGGACTCCGCCATGAACGAATCAGCCTGGCTGCTTGCACGAAATGCCTTCCATTTGCGCACCCCGCTCAGTTCGTCGCTTTCTGCCATGCTGGAAGAGTATGCTGCGTGGGCACGTTTACGATTAGAGGTGCTGAATGCCGAACCTAGTGCGGCTCAAGATTCAGCACTCGAGGGCTCGTCTTCCGCCAGCGCCTCAACAGCCGCGGAACGCCAATCCAAGCTTCTCTTGGCGCTCAATCCTCTCATTACTTCGAGTGCGAATGCGGCGCTGCAGGAGAGAATGACCGAGGCGCAGCGCTTGCTCGTCTCGGGCGATATTGACTTTGCAGCTGGCACAGTCTTGGCAGCTGGTGCCGCTGGAAGTGGTTCTGCAGCGGCGGTTAGTGGAGGCGGTGGCGATTCCAATCCGAGCAACAGCGGTGCCAATCCCAGCAGCAGCGGCGGCGCAGGCGCGACCACCACGTCGACCAACACGTTTGCCACCAAAGGCCGGCTGCTGGATCTGGATCGCGGGAAATTTGAGCACCTCATTCGCAATGCTCCTCTTGCGACACTGGAATGCGTCATTGAATGGCTCGATCTCAGCTCTGCTTTGGATGAGTTTGCGGTGGCCGACCCAAATAACCCTTCAGCAACCTCGTCATGGCCGCACGGCACACAAGCGCGAACCCATCTCGACAAGGTGTTTGCGCCCGAACGTCTGCACGGCCTTGTTCTTGAAGGCGAGTCTGTGAGCCGCAGCCCTCGCCACCCCTTGTTTGAGATTACTTGCAGACTGCTCCTCCTGCACCGCCCGGCCCACCTCAATGCGTTTGTTCGGCTCTCGCATCACCATCTGTCCATGCTCGTCAAGGGGAACAACTCTGCCGCTGCCATGGCCTCGCCCATGCGTCAGTACGCTGGCGTCACCATTCGCGCTGGAGGTGTCACGACCGTGCATCCTCACTACTATCGTCGCGCCATGGCGTGTCTATTACCCATGATGGCGCCCGCCAATCTACAGGAATTGTCCCGAGAGAGTGTTATGGCTCTTGTAGAGCTGTTGTGCAGGTAAGGCTGTGGGGGGGAGCCGAGTGCTTTGTTTATTTTTGTGTCTGACTTTGATTTTTTGTTGTTGTTTTTTTTTTTTTTTTTTGCTGTTGTAGTAACTATTTGAGCGCCGCCCCTGTTGCCTTGCGCTTCTTGCTACTCAAGCAAATGTACGATGAGGCGTTCGAGTTGCTTTCCGATCGAAGCAAGCAGGTCAGTGGGTTTTGTGTTGGCTTGCTTTTTTTTTTTTTTTTTTTTTTTTTAGTGTTTTTTTAAGTTTTTCGTTTGTTCGATTGATTTACTTTTTGCATTTTTTTGCATGATTCACAACAACTATAGGACGTCGAGCACTTTGAACTCTTCCATGTTTTGTTTGCAGCACTGCTGGACAACAATTTGATGCGCCGATATGGCTCGCAGCTGTGGAACCTGGCGCCTCGTAACTTTGGTGTCTACGAGCTGCTGAACGTGCTGCAATGCCACTTCCAGCAACAGCAACGCGGCAGCAATCATCGCACGTCCGCTGTTGCTGCCGCTGTTGCAGCAGCCACAAGCCAGACAGACTCTGCGAGCGGTCAGCGGTGGCGTGTCGGCAGCACCATTTCGTCGGGCTCGGCTCAACCACTCTCGGATGCCCTTGTGCACCAACTGGGCGACGCCGACCTTTTCAGTTCGTTGGTGGACAGCATGGGCATGTTTATTGTGCCTACTCGCACGCCCGTTGGTGCGCCCACGTCCGATCCGCACGGCATCAACTCGACCACGGGCGCGGCGAATGCCGCCGCAGACGATTCTGCCGCCTGGCTGCCCGACCCCAGAGCTGGCCTCAGCGTTGATTTGTTCCGTCCCCAGCTGTTAAAGATTTTTGCTCGCATGAAGGAGCGCGCGAATCAGCCTGCCTGAACGCGTGTGGCAACGACAAAGTGAAAAGCTGGGTGATGTTAGGAATCGGACCAAAATACATGCTTGGTTATTGTTGTTTGTTGTTGTTGTTGTTATTGTTGGTGTTTTAATTTTGCAAACAGCAATGACCACCGGCTTTGGATGGCGTGATGATATGTCGCATTGTTTCAGAACGGAAACGCGCTTAACGACCAATTCCCAATTGGGAATCCGTGTTAACTGCGCAAACTTTTCAGCACAAACACAATCGCAACTACTCAACAGCAGCCCTTCACCACTGCTGCTGGTAACTACGCATGACGAGCATCACCGTTAGACCTCGTCATGTGGCTGTGTTCACGAGGAAGCGGAGGCGGAAGTTGGCCGAACGCGATCGAGTTGGTTGAAAACATCAACACAAAAAGGTCAGCTGAACTTCCGACCTTCGGCAACCAGCAGTGCTTTCGTGGTTTTTGGTTGTCAAACGTTGCTTTTCCGCTCGCTCAGGTCCGCTTCTGCCGACATTTCAGCCTCGATATCACTGTCCCCATTGGTGTTTGATTGCTCCTTCTTGCCTGCCGATGGTCGGGATGGAGTGTTTTGTTTTCTTTGTTTCATAAATCTCCAAATCCTGAATAAATCCGGCATTCAGTCTTATTTCTCTTTTTTTTTTTTCTCTTTTGTAAGTAGTCTCTGTAGCTCTTCCCCTCGCTCTCTTTCATTCTTTTCGCTCCATTCCACTCATCATCATCATCATCATCATCATCATTGCACACCACTGCTCATCTTCTCGTTGTGCGCCGAGTGGTCTGCTCATGAGTCGTGCTGAGTAAAACCGCTCATCCCTCGTGCCTTTTGCTTGTTCTTCTTGTTCTTCTTGTTTCTTGTTCTTTCTTCACCGTCGCTCTCGTGTGCGCTGTGTCAATGCGCCTCTGAGTGTTTCGCCCTTCGCTAAGACTGTCTTCATCTCTCCTTCTACGTCTGTACGATGCGCCTTTTCCTCCTCGACGTCTTCTCTTTCAACAGACCGTTTGTTTTCCATTAGTATTTTAGTATTTTATTATTTTAATTTTTTTTTTTTTTTTTTTTTTTTTTTTTTTTTGGTTTGCGCTCACTCGTTCTCGTGTCTGCTTTGTTCCTTCTTCTTCTAGTCTTTCTTCTTCTTCTTCTTCTTCTTCACATTCAACATGCGCCATTCTGCTGCCCTGTCTGCGGTGGTGGCAGTGCTGTGCGTGGTCGCCTCAGTGGCCTCGGCCGTTGAGTTTGCGCACCCGCCGGCCGTCACGTACAAGCAGTACACCCCTGCCAAGGAGCGCTCCTACCTGGCCCCGCACCCTTCGCTCGACTACCAGCTGTCTCGCTCGCCTGCCCGCCACCTGCGCCAGGACGGCACCAACCTCCAGTGCCTCAAGGACCTCAACTACTACTTTAACATGTCCACGCTCATCGAGACTGGCGGCTGGCAATGTAAGGTTTTTTTGTTTCCCTTTTGTTTCTCTTCCCTTTCTTCTCCCGTGTGTCGATTGTGGGGTGTGCCGTCCTTCTCTTCTCCGTTCCTTGCTGGGTGAACTGACACTTCGATTCAAGCGGCGAGAAAAAGCGAGAAATGAAGTCAAGTTCGCTTTTTTTTTTTTTTTTTTTTTTTTTTCGTTCGGTTGTTCGGTCTGATTTGCGCCGTTGCATTGAGCGCTGGTGTGCGGGGTTTCTTGTGCACCGTCTACCTGCATCTGTGAGATTGCATCACACGCAACACAAGTGTCTGAATGTGTGTGTGCCGCGGGGTGGTCTGAAGCGGTCTCCCCGGGCCCTTGTGAGTGTCACGCGCGTCGTGCATCAGGTGGCACATGAGAAGCCGCGCTCCGGCATCTTCAAAAAAAAAAAATTATGGAAAAAAAAAAAAAAAAAAAAAAAGGACACTCTTTGACAAACACTTCCGCTTCCGAACAGAAAAGAAGAAAAAATAGCGAGCGCGTTGCATGTGTGATTCCAAACAAAAAAAAAGAACACACACAACGCAAGAAAGGGGGAGCAGTGATGAGCTCCGCGAACAGGCGGAACAACGTTTGGAACACTACAAAATAATGGCAAATCACCGTCTCACTCTCTGCAACACTTCGCGCAGACGTCGATGCCATGGGCAAGGTGCCGTCTGGCCTGATCATCTCCCTGTCACCCATCTCGTGGGGCGACTACGACGGGTGCATGCGCATTCCCGGCGCGACGTACTGCATGATGAAGGGCGACATTGACTCTGTCGAGTACAAGGGCATGGTCTACCCCAACGAGACTCTCCCGACTGCGTACGCGTTCGAGTGGGGCGTCTGCGTGCCAGCAAGCTGCGACCCCGTCACCCTCACCGACCAGTCCCACGCCGTCCTGCAGCTCATCTACGAGAACACTGGCCTCAACTTTACCGTCTCGTCCGTCGGCGCCTACTGCCGCATGGACAACGAGTACCATGCCGGCGCCATTGTCATGCTCTTCCTCTCGGGTGTCCTCATCGTTCTCGTTCTTCTGGCCACCGGCTACGACTACTACCGCACCTACCTGAAGCGAAGCTCCCACGTCGAGCTCTCGCCCACCAACGGCCACGACATCCAGGGCAACGGCCAGAACGGCGAGACCCGCCCTCTTCTCGACGCCCCCACCAAGGCTGAGAAGGCCAGCGGCCCGCGCGTCAAGCAGCCCCTTTGGCAGTCGTTGACTCTTGGCTTTTCGCTGCTCCAGAACGTGCCCAGGATGTTTGCCACCAACACCAAGGACGAGAGCCTGCTTTCCCTCAACGGCATCCGTGTCATCAGCATGTGCTGGGTCGTTCTCGGTCATACTTACCTCTGGGCGCTTGACTCTGGCATCCAAAACCCTTACGCCGTCTACTACATGTCCATCCGCCCCACCTTCCAGATCATTGCCAACGGATTCTTCACTGTCGACTCGTTCTTCTTCCTGTCCGGCTTCCTCGTCTGCTACGTTGTCCTGGTGATGCTCGCCAAGCGCAACTCGCTGCCGTACTTCCCGTACATGATCCACCGCTTCCTCCGCATCACCCCCACGTACATGTTTGCCCTCTTCTTCTACTGGTACATTGGCCCGCTCTTTGGCGACGGCCCCAACTGGTTCCGCGTTCAGTCCAACCACGCTTGCGAGCAGTACTGGTGGGCCAACCTGCTCTTCGTCAACGACTTTGTTCCCAACAGCCTCTACGACGAGTGCATGGGCTGGAGCTGGTACCTCGCCAACGACATGCAGTTCTATGCCATCTCTCCCATCTTCCTGCTCCTCCTCTACCGCCGCCCGATCTGGGGTGTCATCTCCCTCGGCGCCACACTTGTTGTCAGCTTTATCGTCACCATGGCCCTCGCCATACAGTACGATCTCGACGCCAACCTGCAGGTCGCCATCTTTTTGCAAGCCATCCCCAAGTACGACTACTCGGCCATCATTTACACCAAGCCCTACTGCCGCATCGCCCCGTACATTGTCGGCATGTTCACCGCCTACATTCTCAACCGCTACGGCCAAGCCAACCGCCGCATCTCGCGCCCCAAGATTCTCGGTCTCTTCTTTATTGCGGCGTCCATTCTCCTGGGCATCTTCTTTAGCATGTACTCCAAGTTCGACTCGACCTCCTTCCTGCACTGGGACGGCCGAGAGTGGTCGACTGCCGAGAACGCCATCTACATTACCTTTGCCCGCTTTGGCTGGTCGGTCGGTCTTGCCATCATTGTCTGGCTCTGCGTCACTGGCAACGGCGGTGTTGTCAACTACCTGCTGTCGACCAAGGCCTTCATGGTCTTTGGCCGCATGACCTTCTGCGTCTACCTCATCCACCCGATCGTCGCCGCAAGCTTCTTCTACACGCTCCGTCAGCCCACCATTCTGCAAGATCTTCCTGAACAGTTCTATTTTATTGCCAACACTGTCATCTCCTTCGCCGGTGCCTTTGTCATGTGCATGTTTGTCGAGTTCCCGCTTGCCAACGTTGAGAAGACTCTTCTTGGTTAAAACAGAAGGATGTCTTTTGTTTTTTCTAGTTTTTGTTTTTTTTCTTTTAAAACAAATCTTTTTTTCCTTTTCCTCTTATCTCCCTCTCCCTCTGTAGTTGTGTATTTGTGTGATGTATCGCTTTGTTTGTTTTGTGGTGTTTCGGTTGTACAATGAAGAATACCAAGCTCAACAACTCCATTGCAAGCCACTCGTGCTTTTCTCTGTGTTTGTATTCAAAGCAAATCGACCGACGGCCATTTCCGTTTTGTTGATACTCATCCTCACCACCTGATCTCGTCTCACCCGTCGATTGGGCGTCCAACCCTCAATTCGGAGACCCCTTTGCTCGCCTTCTACTACGACTACTACTACTACTACTACTACTACTACCATCACGAGGTCATCCGAACCCCCGCGGGTCTCCCCGTCTCCAAGAGCAAGATTAACGAATGAGCCGGCTGTCCATCCCGCATGAGCCGGCTGCAATCTCGGCTGGCAGCTCCGCTGCTGGTGCGGGCCACACGTCGTACGGCGCTATTGGAGCGTCGTCCATCAACGGCGACGGCGGCCTGGATGCGTCGGGCACTGGTGCAAGTGGATCGCGTGGCATGGCGACCACCCATCGCTCAGTCTACGAGCCGAGCTCCTCTCAGACTCAGACTGAATCTCAGTCATTGCTGAACAAACGCCAGCAGTCACAGGCATATTCCCAGCAATCGCAGGGGGTGTCTCGACCTTATTCAGTTGGCACGGCCAAACAACACTACCAACCGCGCAACCACTTGCTCGACTTTCGCGTGATGCGATCCATGGCGCTGTATCGCTTCACCATCTTCATCCAGCTGGTTGCGTTTGGTCTTTTGCTGCCTGCCGTGTTTGTGCCGAGATGGCTGAGCGTGCAGACTGGCTTGACACAATCCACGCTCGGACTTTACAAATTTTGCGTCTCTGTCGGCAACCTGCCACAAGAGTTGCTTTTACCTACTACCAGACAGATGCCACCGTCGAACCCGGTCACTGTTTCGCTGGCTCTGTTCTCGGGAGGCGTGTTTGCCAACTTGCTCGTGTTTGTCCTGGCCATCTGCATTGCGCGAGCGGGCTTCCCCAGCGGTTTGCTGCGAGGCGCCCATCTATTCTTCTCCATCGTGTGCATTGCGGGGATTGTCTCGTCCATTGTCACCTTCACCGACCACTTTTCGGCCAGCTCTGGCGACTTTGACTACTTTTTGTGGATTGTGATTGGCGTCACGATTGCCTTGTTTGTCGCCTTCCTGCTTGTCCTTCGTGCGCTATGGCTGTTTGGGCAAGCGACGCGATGTTGATGCTTGCGTTTGGTGAGTTGTTGTGTTGTTGTTTTGGTGATACTGGTCCATCAAAGTCCAAATACAGTGTAAATTTTCTTGCACGATGCTCTTGATTCGGACATGTTTCAGTCCTCAAACAAAGCAGCCAACAAAAGTTTCACGAAACTCCCACTGCGCGTGCCAACCACAAACAAAAAGAAGACCACAAGAAAATGTTGCAGACGTTGTTTGCCTGGTCTGCGAGCGTTGCGTCGGCAATATGTGCCGCGTTTCTGCTTCCACCCGTGTTTGTGCTGGATCACTACGCTCCCGGCACTTGGCCAGCTGCTGCTCGTCTTGGTGTCTTCCTTCGCGAAATGTAAGCCTTGGCGCGGGGCTCACACCGATCGCACGACTCTTTATCATCGACGAGAAAACATCCGCCACGGCGACTGCTTTTTCCGACGTCAAAATCCCAAGCTCTGAAATTGTTCTGCTTGTCCTTTTCCTACCGCACCTCACACCGCTCCGTACCAGCACTTTACCTTCCGTGTTGCCCCCATTGAGATCGTGTTCTACAATGCGTTTGATGAAGGGATGGTTTGTTTGGCGGTCAACGACGATACTGACCTGTTGTGTCTCGATCGGATGGCGTTGATTGTTTGGACAAATAACAACAAAAACGCCTCCGCTTCCGTCTGGCTTCCGGCTGGCTTCCGTCTTGCTTTCGACGCACTGTGACAGAGACGCTATGCGCCAATCCACTCTAAATTGTCCGCCGAGCCAAATTACTGCAACGACAGGGATGGTAGCGCTGGTGTGGACCATCCTGATTGCTGTGCTGGCCGTGCGAGGAATTGCCAAGCTCGTGTATTGGCTGTTTTTTGCCACCATCCAGCCACCCGGCCTCCAACCGGTTGTGATGGGTCAGCACCTCTCGGCATTCGCCCGCGAGGAGATTGCCTCTCACGCTTCGGGCTCTCCGACAGCAAGTTCCCGGCTGGTGTCTGCAGAAGGCGCCAAACAACAACCAAATGTCAAGCCAAATCCGCCCAGTCGCGCCTCTGGTTGTGCTCAGCAGGCCTTTCAGATCCCTAGTGGCAGACAGAGCCCAGGATATCTCGTTCGAGGTAAAGTTGACAAGTTTGATGGGGGGGGGGTTTGGACGGGGGCAATGCCCTTCTCTCACCGTGATGTTTGGGTTTGTTTGTTTGTTTGTTTGTTTGTTTTGTTGTTGTTGTTGTTGTTGTTGTTGTTGTTGTTGTTGTTGTGGTACTCGATTTCCCTCTGTCTTCTGCAATGTTGCCTTTGGTCGCTTCAGCAATGTTCGGCTCGAAAGGAAAGCCTCGACTTCGGTACGACTCGAGCCCATCTCCTGCATTTGTGCTTGACCAACAGTTCTTGAGCCAACTTGTTTCTTCTTTTGGTTTTGTCCGATTCTCCATGACAGGAAGCGAGATGCACTGCGCTACATGGCGCGCAGCTTGTTGGCATCGGGCAAGGCTATACCTCCTCCTGTGCGTGTGCGCCCGCACGACTTGCCTGCATCGTTTCTGGAGCCCGACTGCGGCGTTGATTCGGTCGTCAATGGCATGCAGCTGCCCACCGAGATCATGTACATGCTCAAATCCTGCGAGGCGTTTGGAAAGTCTCTGACCGACCCCGTGTACATTGAGCTGTACAAGTTTGTGGACACTGTCAAGCTGTCTCCCGGAGAAAAGCTGTTTAGTCTTGGCGACACGGACGACTCGCTGTACATTGTCGCCAACGGCAGTGTTCAAGTCACCGTTCGCGACCCAACCACGCGTCGGTAGGTTGTGGTGCAGTTTTTTTGTTGCAGCAAGAGCGCAAGAGAGCACGCGATGCTCTATCGTGGTTGAAAGTCAAAAGCAATTGCCTCTGACCTTCTGATATCACAGGGACCACATCTTGTACACTGCGGGCAAGGGCGATAGCGTGTCGAGCATGCTGAGCATCCTTGACGTGATTGCCCAGCGCGAGTCCGTGTATCGAACCATTTCCGCGCATGCCTTGCAGGAGGCTGTCGTCGTGCGACTTCCCGCCAAAGCATTTGAGCGGGTAGGAACGAAGGCCCAATGATGAATGCAGCCTGATTTTCGAACGAGCTCTCGCCTGATACTCACATTCTGTTGTGTGCTTTTTTTTGGCAGATTTTTCAAAAGTATCCTGCGTCCATGATCAACATTATCCAGATGATCATGATCCGGTAAGTGGACGAGCATTGAACGAGTGTGAGCCGACTCACGCCTTCTTCTTCTTCTTCTTTGCCTCTGGTTTCTTGCGACAGTTTGCAGCGCGTCACATTCATGGCGCTGTACAAGTACCTGGGTCTGACAACACCGCTGATCAAGCAGGGCCGGGATGAGCATCGCCCTCCGTGTTGTCCCACAACACACGAGCCCTGGAGCAAGGTGTTTGACGATATTCGACACGGCCGGGATGAACTGCAGCCGCAGTCGTTGAGTCACAGCAACAGCACTGGCACCCTCAGCAACAGCAGCAGCAGCAGCAGCAGCAGCAGCTGCGGTGGCAGCGTGAGTGAATCCAAGCCTGCCGTAACGACGCCATTGCCCGTCTCGAGCAACCCCACGCGTGCCGAGCAGCAGGAAGACAATGTCCCACCACCGGCTCTCGTTTGCCCAACGCTCTTGCCCGCAGAGGCAATGCCAAAGGGCAACATGTCACGGTCACAGTCTGTCAGCAACATGAGCGCTCCGTTGTCTCCAATCTCGTTGTCTCCCCCTTCGCTTTCACCTTCCGGAACCCCGGATCCGAAGGAGAGACATGCCATGGAGATTGTCTCGCGGTTGCTCGAGCTTCCAAGTGCTTCGGTTCTGGAAGGGACAGGCCTGACCATTTCGCGGCTCACTCCGAATTCCAACATTATCGAACAAGGTGAGAAGAACAGTCCGCTGCTGCTTGTCGTGTCTGGCGCGCTGTCCGTCTCGGTGCGTAGTCTCGACAACAACACGGACGACCTTCTGCACACGGCTGAACCTGGAGACATGGTGGGCGCGCTCTCGATTCTGACCGGCGAGCCTTCGTTTATTGCGGTCAAGACGCCACCTCTCCCGCCACGAGCTCCAGCTCCGACCCGAGTCCCCCAACGTGCTGCGGACAAGCAGCACGCTCTCTGTTCGTATCCAGCCCCGGGATATATCAGCCCGCAGCATGCCCAGTATGCCAGTGTGCTCACTCCGACGCTGTCCTTTGGCGGCAACGGCACGATGCGCGGTCCGGCAACGTCCGTCGTGCGCCCCAATCCTGTCACGTGGAACTCGGCAAATCGCGCGAATGATTCGACGCCAGTCCCAGCGACGTCCGCCACAGCAGGAACAGCTGATCCCGCTCTGGCCACGCCGCATTCAGAAGCCGATGAGGTGGTTGAAGTGGTCAAAATCTCGCGGCAACTGTTCGAAGGAATTGTGCAAGCCTTTCCACAGGTCTATGTGACGGTCGCTCGGCGCTTTTGCGAGCTCTTGTCTCCATTCGTGCGCCAAGTCGATTTTGGTCTCGATTGGCTGCATGTGAATGCGGGCCAGTCGCTGTACAGGCAAGGAGACCCGAGCGACGCCATTCTCATTGTTCTGAACGGGCGCGTGCGCTCCGTCGTCCGGCGCGAGAACTCTGACAAGAAAGAGTTCCTCGCAGACTTTGGCCGTGGCGAAATTGTTGGCGAGCTTGAAGTGCTGACAACCAGCCCTCGAGCGACGAGCATGCATGCCGTGCGTGACACCGAGCTCGCCAAGATTCCCACTGGCCTCTTTCGGATGATCCAGCGCCAGCATCCGCAGGTGGTGGCCCACTTTTCGCGCTTGCTTGGCAAGAGGCTTCTGGGGAATTACACGTCGGGCGTGCAGAGCGCCACTGCTCCTAAAATCAGCCGAACCAATCCGAAAGAAGGCACGGCCGCTGCAACTCGCAATCTTGCCACAGTGGCCATTATTCCTGCATCGCCGGATGTGCCCTTGTCGGAATTCTGCCGGAAGCTGGCAGCCGCTCTTCAGCCCATCGGCCCGAGTCTGCTCCTCAACGCCAATGTTGTCCGCAACCTGGTCGGGGAAACGGCGTTTGACGCACACGAATACCGCCTGGTCTCGTGGCTCGGCCAACAAGAGGAGCAGCATCGCATTGTGCTGTACGAGGCAGACTCTTCCATGACGAGCTGGACGCAGCGCTGCATTCGCCAAGCCGACTGCGTTCTGGTTGTTGCCTTCGGCGGCAACGACCCAACACCGAGTCAGCTGGAGCAAGGGCTGGCGAACATGACCTCCAACCGCGCCCAGAAAGAGCTCGTGCTCCTTCACGGGTTGGACGTGCGCGCTCCTGCGCGGACTGCCGAGTGGCTCAACCAGCGCAACTGGGTGAATGCACATCATCATGTAAGATTTGCTTGCGACAGCTGCTGGGTTTGCGTGCCTTTTATGTGACAGTTGTTGATCACTTGTTTGCCGCGGTGCCCCAGATTCGCTTTGAAAATCACGCGTCGGAGCCGTTCTGGACGGAAGCACAGATGAACTTGGACATGGCCCGTCTGGCTCGTCGGCTCACTGGTACCAGCATTGGATTGGTTCTTGGTGGTGGAGGTGCTCGAGGTCTTGCGCACCTTGGCGTGCTTCAGGTGCTCGAAGAAGCAGGTATGCACGATCATTTTTGGCGCTAAGGGAGGGACAAAACGAAGGCAGCCAACATTTTCATTTTGTTTTTCACAGGCATCCCAATTGACGTGATTGGTGGCACGAGCATTGGCTCCTTTATCGGCGGAATCTACGCAAACGAGTGCAATGCCGCACGGACTGAGACTCGCGCTCGACGACTCTCCACCGATATGGGCTCGCTGTTCCAAAAGCTCTTGGACCTGACGTACCCAGTGACGGCCATGTTCTCCGGGCGTGGCTTCAACCGGACCATTCGCGGTGTCTTCAAAGAGCAGCAGATTGAAGACTTGTGGCTGCCTTACTTTTGCGTGACGACCGACATCAGCACTTCGAAAATGCGCGTGCACGAAGACGGTTCTCTGTGGCGTTACGTGCGCGCCAGCATGTCTTTGTCTGGATATCTTCCACCGTTGTGCGATCCACGAGATGGTCATCTCTTGCTGGATGGAGGCTACGTGAACAATTTGCCAGGTAGAGAGGGAGAAGGATGATTTTGTCTTGCGCTGTTGGCTCCGACTCACTCGACAACAAATTGCACCTTCTGTTCCAGCCGACCTGATGATGAGCACCATGGGCGCCAACCGTGTCATTGCCATTGATGTAGGAGCTGAGGACGAAACCGCCTTGACCGACTATGGCGAAGAACTGTCCGGATGGTGGCTTTTGTGGAAGCGCTGGAACCCCTTTGCGATTCAAGTCAAAGTACGCAAAATGCACCTGACAGTTGTTCGTGTTTCGAGTTGAATCTGACGTGCTGGTACCACCCCCGCTTTGTTCTGGTTTGATTTCTGCCATCAGGTCCCAAACATGGCAGACATCCAGTCACGGCTCGCTTACGTTTCGTGTGTTCGCCAGCTGGAAGCAGTCAAGAAGGATCCGAATTGCCTGTATGTGCGGCCTCCCATCGATCATTACAAGACCCTGCAGTTCCACAGCATGGACGAGATTCAAAAGGTCGGGTATCAACACGCCAAGGCCCTGATTGAAGAGTGGAGAGCAAGCGGCCTCGTCCAACAGCTCCTGCGCGGACAAGACCCGCAGTTGTACGAATTGGCCAATGCCACATCCACAACGTCACGGAGCATTCCCAACCTCAGGTCCCCGGATGGCCTGGCGAGTGGTCATCACACCCCACCATGGATTGCCATCTCGGACACGGAATAGCGGTTTGTTTGGGGGT